AGTCGAACGCAAAATAATGTTATTTGCCCGTTTGCTTTGGTATCCCTGAATGGTTTCCAAATGCTCCAATCAGATTTGTACCAACTTTCTCCAAACACGCTCTGGGCCTAGCTGAACAAAAGCTAAAAAGGGATCCAACAAAGGATAGAGTTCTAACCACCGTTTACCAAGCGCGTCGCTACTCGCGGTGCGGTTAACTCAAAGGGATCAAGTGGGATGTTGACTTCTAGCAGTAAATCGATGTACTAGTGAAGATTCACACAATGTACCGCGGTAAAGCTCGGGTGCCACTGCAGCTTGCGGGAGACACAAAAGGGAGCATGAAGTTTGGCGTCCCTTCACACATCAGTGGCTCAGGTCTTCGAAAACTGCTTTTCGGGTCAGAACGTCATTTTAATCAAGCGACGAGTCGAGAGAAGTTCCCTTCGAATTTAGTCCAAAACCTACTGCATCATGAAGATTGAATGGCTTACTACCAAATGGACAGGAAGGCAGGAAGAAGTGTCGACGAGTCGAATCAAGACCAAGGGGCCTCTACACCCCGGTATGGAAGTCAAGGTGGCATACAAATCGGGCTTGTATAAAGCAAAGATTGTTGAAATTACTGGAGGTAAGTCAAGACAATTGCTACACTTTGTAGCATTTTGTTTTACATTTGAAATTGAAAATCAGCAAAACGAGGCTTGTTATCTGCACTTGCATGGACCGATATTTACTTGTATGGTCGGTAAATCTCCTTTTAAACATCGCACACCACGATATATGCAGCAATGCCCATTGCATATTTTTTCATACTATTTTGTCAAGCGAGAAATCATGCCATGTGTAAATGAAGTCCTGACCAGATGACTGCCCAAATTCTCCAGCAATTGGATGTTCATTGAAACGGAAGTCAAAACATGTTTGAAAACTTTTAGTGCATACATGACTTTTTTACCGGAAAAGAACAGGGCTTGCAGAATGCGTTCAGAATAAAATCCCATTCATAGCTATTCGTGTGCTATTATGCTTACTGTTGTAATTGTTAAATATTTTATGTATACGCCAGAATTCTTCCAAATGCCATTGTATTGCAGATTTTAAACTTCATTGTTTTTTTTATAGGTACGAAGCGGTCTCTTGACACCGATGAAGACAGCGACGAAGACGTGCCCCTCATGACGCTCTCTAAACGGCTGAACCTACAGGCTGTAGGTGAAGATGTCCCCCCGCCTGCCCAGTCACCAGTCCAGGGCGAAGCTGTACCCCCGCCCGCCCAGTCACCAGCTCCAGGCGAAGCTGTCCCCCCACCCGCACAGTCACCAGTCCGGGGCGAAGATGTTCCCCCTCCCGCCCAGTCACCAGTCCGGGGCGAAGCTGTCCCCCCGCCCGCCCAGTCACCAGTCCGGGGCGAAGATGTTCCCCCTCCCGCCCAGTCACCAGTCCGGGGCGAAGCTGTCCCCCCGCCCGCCCAGTCACCAGTCCGGGGCGAAGATGTCCCCCCTCCCGCCCAGTCACCAGTCCGGGGCGAAGCTGTCCCCCCGCCCGCCCAGTCACCAGTCCGGGGCGAACATGTCCCCCCGCCCGCCCAGTCACCAGCTCCAGGCGAAGATGTCCCCCCGCCCGCCCAGTCACCAGCTACAGGCGAAGATGTCCCCCCGCCCGCCCAGTCACCAGTCCTGCCCAATCGACTGGAGGCTCTTCTGAGCACTATCATCCAGCACTGCGAGCGCCAACAGCTAGAAAGTGAACTGATAAGGAAGGACTTGGCCTTAATCAAGGGCCATTTGGGCTTGAACAACACAAAATCCGAACCAAAGGTAGTTCCATTTTCTGATGAGGAAGTAGTCATCGGTTTGGATGGGGTGTCCACTTGTCTCATTAATAGATCAGCCTATGTAGATGTGCATTCGAAAGTGTCCGGCCCCAAGGAGTTAGTACTAAAGTTATTATCGGTCTTGTTTTCTGAGGGGGATCTGGCCCGAAGCAATTATCATGGGGGGGAAGTAGTCTGCAAAGGGGGGGGGGTCGTTATCAAGAAGAGTCCACTAAAACACCAAATGGTTTTTCAGGCGATACTAGCGCAGGCAGGGAAAGAGTTCCCTGGAGCGACAGAGAGTGATGCATACAGAAAATCGGTCACTGACGCCGTCAACGGGAAATGTAGAAAACTTGCCACAAAACTAGGGCTGTAGTTTTCTTAAGGTAATTTTATCACAGCGAGCTAGTGTCTCATGAAGTAATTGTAACTGTAATAATGTTGTAATTGTAATACTGTAGTCAAAAATACACACAACTACTATTAAAATCGTATAGAAGGAATGGTAAGAGAAGCAAATAATAAAGTACAGAAAAAATATTGAATAATGGAACTTATCTCTATGTTATTGATTTCTTTTATATAATTAGTGAGATCATGAAGTCCGATTCCTGGAAAAAAAATTATTTGGAATTAAGAAATCTTTTTAATTCAGCCTCGGCAAAATATTGACGGGTTTTATTCGCCCCACCCGATCCCATATTATTCTTTTTATTTCGTGCGTGCAGCCTCCCCAATATTTACTAGACTTATTAAGTTGGTCCCGCAAGATGGCATTATTTTATTCCGAGCATCCAGCTCCCAAAAATATTGACGGGTTTTATTCGCCCCACCCGATCCCATTATTCCTTTTATTTCGTGCGTGCAGCCTCCCCAATATTTACTGGACTGATTAAATTCGTCCCGCAAGATGGCATTATTTTATTCCGAGCATCCAGCTCCCAAAAATATTGACGGGTTTTATTCGCCCCACCCGATCCCATTATTCCATTTATTTCGTGCGTGCAGCCTCCCCAATATTTACTAGACTGATTAAATTCGTCCCGCAAGATGGCATTATTTTATTCCGAGCATCCAGCTCCCAAAATATTGACGGGTTTTATTCGCCCCACCCGATCCCATTATTCCTTTTATTTCGTGCGTGCAGCCTCCCCAATATTTACTGGACTTATTAAATTCGTCCCGCAAGATGGCATTATTTTATTCCGAGCATCCAGCTCCCAAAAATATTGACGGGTTTTATTCGCCCCACCCGATCCCATTATTCTTTTTATTTCGTGCGTGCAGCCTCCCCAATATTTACTAGACTTATTAAATTCGTCCCGCAAGATGGCATTATTTTATTCCGAGCATCCAGCTCCCAAAAATATTGACGAATTTTATTCGCCCCACCCGATCCCATATTATTCTTTTTATTTCGTGCGTGCAGCCTCCCCAATATTTACTAGACTTATTAAGTTGGTCCCGCAAGATGGCATTATTTTATTCCGAGCATCCAGCTCCCAAAAATATTGACGGGTTTTATTCGCCCCACCCGATCCCATTATTCCTTTTATTTCGTGCGTGCAGCCTCCCCAATATTTACTAGACTTATTAAATTCGTCCCGCAAGATGGCATTATTTTATTCCGAGCATCCAGCTCCCAAAAATATTGACAGGTTTTATTCGCCCCACCCGATCCCATTATTTCATTTATTTCGTGCGTGCAGCCTCCCCAATATTTACTGGACTGATTAAATTCGTCCCGCAAGATGGCATTATTTTATTCCGAGCATCCATCCTCCCAGTTTTTGAGATAAAACTTTTTGTTTCTGAAAACATACACTAGACCTATGTCACCTACGCATCTTTTCACCAAGTTTGTACATGTAGGCCTACACTTTTTTTCAATCGTGAAAGAAAAGGTACCAATTCTAGTTTTTACATGAACATGTACTGCTTTGAAACTCCACTTGTACCTGTTTAATTGAAGGGGTGAACTGCTTTTGTTCGGGGGGAGTTACACTTTTTATCAATCCTGAAAGAAAGGTACCAATTCTGGCTTTAGACGTGCTGCTTTGAAACTCCAGTATAATAGAAGGGGTCAATTGCTTTTGTTCGTGGGGAGTTAATCGCCTTTGTTGTTAAACCAGATAATCTTCTCGGGCTACCGGGGCGCACTGACAACTAATCTTCACAGCCCGCCGCAGCGAGCCGAGCGGCTAGCTGGTAGAGTGCCCAATTAACATAACAATGATGCCAACACAATAGCCGATCGGTAATGAGCTGTGGCTGGGTCCACTGCGCCGCACTGCGCCGGGCTCACTGAGAACTCGGGAGGGTAAAAAAAACCGCCGCAAAGGGCCGCGGCGGGCCGAGGCGCGCCCAGTAACTGAATAAGGACGCTAAACCTAACCTGATGAAGTTTCGGCTCAGCTTCAGCTGTATATTTGAGATAAACAGCATTCTAGGATCTCGATTTCAAATAAAAAAGTTGCTGAATCATGTTTTGAACTGGGCCTGAATTGAGCGTCCGAGACACGTTCTTACTGAGCCGATTGTAGCCACGCCATGTCGCGCACCGATCCAACGAATTATAGTAGCCGCGCACGCGTGTGCGTCGTGCCAACACTTGCGCACGCTTCGCCGAATAAAAAAACGAACTACTAACGGAAATTTCCAACGTTGCATCTTAAGACGCACCGTTGGAAAGGTCTTCTTTCGTTGATTTCTTCAAAATGACAGCTTGCCAGAGAGAATAATTTCACAGGGAGTTTAGTCCCCATACTATCTTTCAACCAAGTATGTTTGTCAACAATAATTACGTCAGTTACTTTTTGGATAGTTGCAAATGATGGACTATATCTTTAATCTCATATACATGTACAATGTTCTTAAAGATTGTCAGCTGGGACACCTCACCTTTTGAAATCCAATATCCCCATTGATTGGCTAAAGATTCTGTTAACTCCTTAGACTTTGCAACATGAATGTGTATAGACACATTGCCTACAGTAGCCATCTTTGGGGTGTTCTGTTGTGTTATTTTCCTTCCTAAACGATGAATGCACAACATGTCTAATCAGGTATATTCTTGTGGAACAAATGCACACATTTCAGAGATGGTCGTGGTGTAAAGGATCTATTAACCAAGATTATTGTTAAGTCGTGAAGACAGCAGATTATTTGAGTTTTCCCTCATTTCTTCACAACTGTGTTTTAGATGCGTCCACATATCTTAGCCTTCCGTCAGGGTCTTGCTAATGTCATTGATGCTGAGTGGCTTCAGATGTTTGATCATCAAGAGTTGCAAGTCTTAATATCAGGAGCACTGGTTCCAATTGATTTGGATGACCTCAAGAGAAACACCAAATATTCAGGTAAATTAATCAAATTACTTGTAGTTTTTTTTTTTTTAGTATGCATCAGGTTAATTTTTTTAGGGGGGATAAGGGTGAAGACATGTAGTACATGAATTGCGGGTTATGTCCCAATCCATTATAAACTATATTGTGAGATTTGGTTGGCACTGATAAAACTAAGTGGTCAATATCAGCTTTTGTTGAAATGCATCTGCTGAAAAATGTTTGTGATGGATCTGTTTCAGTGAGTAAAACTGACAATAGGCTGACATCAAGCACATGCTGAAGACTTGGTTCTGCAGGCTTAGTTTTTGAATTGTGATTACAGCTATAAATGAGCTATAAATTTAGCAGAAAAAGCAAAGAACTCACTTTCTGCAGTGACTTTTCCAGTTTAATGTTGTACATCTTGTGCATCTTTGTTTTTAGGTGGCTACACTGAGGATCATCCCTTGATTGAGACCTTCTGGAAGGTGGTGGATGCAATGGATGATGAGCAGAAGAGAGCATTGCTCAAATTTGTCACAAGCTGTTCTAGGCCACCATTATTGGGCTTCAAGGTAAATACTTATCACTCTGCAAGAATTCCACCATTGCCCTTCATTGTATCTTGACTTCCTTGTATCTTGACTTCCTTGGATCAATCCATCATTTATTTCCTTTTCAGATGTTTTCTCTTCTAATCACCCATCTTCCTTAATCAATTCTTTCTGCCCTCCTGTGACTCTTTTCTTTATCTCCTTCATCAATGTTGACCTTTCTCCATACCTTCATTGCTTTAGTGGTATCTGTTTTCCTATTCTTCCATCTTTCTCTGTGGATGCACCACGCTAAGTGACTATCTTTTAAAAGGGCTGGATCTGAGGAGAACGTCAGATGATACCTTAATGATTCTGGACATGAATTTTAATATAGTTACAAGTAAAGAATATAAACCAATTCTGATGATATTTGTATCTCCTCTGTCTCATCTGCCCATAGGAGTTGTATCCTCCGTTCTGCATCCAGTATGGTGGGAGTGATGAGGACCGGTTACCATCTGCTAGTACATGTATGAACCTTCTCAAGTTGCCAGAGTTCAAACATGAAGAGATGCTGCGAACAAAACTGCTATATGCCATTGACTCAGGTGCTGGCTTTGAATTGAGCTAAGTTTCTATAATAACCACCTGTCTCCATGACATGGAACCACTGTGGACAGGTTACCAATTCATTGCAAGTTGCTTCCATACTTGTAGTTTGAGAAAGGCCATTTTCTAATGAATGCTACCCAGAGATTCAAAGAGCACTTTGTGTGGGATGAAAACCTTATTGTCCTTGATTAATTGATGGTCAGAGACATTCAGATGTGCTTCTGCCTGTTTTTGTTGGCCATTGCTTATGAACACAGTACTTGAATAGTAGATGGTATTGGGGCTACTCAAGACATCTGCTGTGTGCAGGACGCACCATTTGAACACACTGGTTCACATGCATAGGGTGCAAAGTACATACAACCTGTGTGTGTGCTGTTTGCTTGGGGTCTAGTGTGTTGCAGTCTGTTTAACTCTCTCGTCACCGTTGAAACATCACATGTGTATGGAGTCCATTGCATCAAATCTGGTGTATTTGACACCAAGTCACACCCTTTCCAAAATCGAAATCAACAGCAGTAAAACCTCTTATATATGCAGATCATTTGATTTGGATGTATGTTTTGTGCACGCTTACTTGCTAGCTTGGTGGCTTGCTGGTGTGCTTTCTTTGTAAGGGGTCGGTTGGTTGGTCACTCATTTGGTCCATCAAATAGGTAGATTGATTAATTAATTGATTGATTGATTTATTGACTGATTGATTGGATTAATTAGTAAATTAATTACTGCATTGATCAGATTTATCAAATTGATTGATTGATCGGATTGAATAATCATACTTCTTATGCTTTTTATATTCAAACATTTTTGAACGTGGATTAAGGGATATATTAGAAGGAAAAAAAAGACATTTTTTTTTAATTATTGTACATGTTATTACCGGTACTAGATATCTACAACAAAGCAATATGTTTACAATTTTGTAGCAGACAACATCCATTAAGAGAACTTTGATGTGCAGGTGTGAATGTGAGATTGATGGTAAAATGTCACCATGGTCCTCATGCGTAGGATATGGTCAGACCATTTGAAACACTGAAGTTACATGTGTGAAAAACATGTCTACATAATATGGATTCATTAATACATATATTCTCACCCAGTCTCCTAATACTGCACATAGCAAGGTTGAAAAAGCCATGCTTTTCAATATGAAACCTTTCAACTTTGACAGCCTAGTTTTTATAGAGGACTCATACCTCAAAGGAAAGCAGTCACTTCTTTATCTGTCTCATTGCTGAGAAAGTCCAGATGAAAGAGTAAATTAAATGTCTGTACCAATGGATTTCCTGCACAAGTACCCCCCCCCCCCCCACACACACACACACACACAGTTACTAAGAGAGAGTTGGTGGAGACTAGTGGAGACAACGGAAACGGATGTTCAATGTCAAACATTACCGTATCTCACACAATGACTACAGGTTTGCATGTGCTCACTCAGAATAAAATTTGTTGTGTGTAATTCGCACCCTACGTGTGTGAAATAGTGTGCAAACATGGTGGTCCTTCTCCTCCCCCCCCCCCCCCCCCCTCCCCGGGGCTTTTGTTCAGGCACGCAGTCCAAATATATGCACACGCATGCATCATACGCATATACATGTACATTTTATTTGAAAGAAATCAGAAAAGATGTTTGATTCTTCTTTTACTTCACCTATAATATAAAAAAAAACTGGTAATTATAGTTTATTTTGAATATTAATTGAGACGTTGATGTTGGCTTACATTGGATTGAGATGATGGTTAAATCCTTCTTGGAATCCAATAGCAGGACATCTTTTTGTACATTTATTTTTAAAAACCTATAAGAAAAGGAATAAAACAGGTGCTTGTAGAAACAATTCTCAAACTTTTCATATTTATAAGTATATATGTGAGTTGTACTAATGTATTCAAACTGCATTTTGTACATGCCATGTGTAATATGAATGAATTTTTGAAAGACATTCTGTAGAATTTCTGTGTCTGTTGTGCTTTAGAAGCAACAGAAGTTCACAATTCCTGTGTTAAAAAAATGATTGATTTCTAGCTCGGGATAAGAACTAGCATTTTGAAAAGCTGTGGCATACAATTCAAATTCTTCCTGTATGCCCTTCTCTTTTATACTGTCTTAAATAAACATTAAAATTAAACTTTTATGGAATTAAAGATGTATTTTATTGGTTAAAGGAAATATACAACATTTGCTTTTGCTTATAGCAAATATTGTTATTCCAAACAAGTGAGTGTAACCATGGAGCTCCATGGTCCGAACAGGCCAGTAAGGTATTTCGTGATAATTTGGTAGTTTTTTTTTTTTTTTATGTTTGCAAATGTTGCATGTTCCCTTTAAGGATGATCCATTGGACATCAGAGAGTCTTGCAACTGAATAGAATGGCTAAGCTTTGCCTGAAGGCAGTTTTGTATTGTAATATTTAACTTATGAACACTCTGTTGACTATAAATATGTATGTTATAAACATGATTTATAATAAAGTTCTATATAATAAATGTATTTTTTTTATTTATGATGGTCTGTTTATGCAGAAATGCTTATTTTTTGAATAAGTTTACAATAAGCTAGTTCGGTATTTCAACTGCGCATGAGCACAGTGATATGGGTCACGGTTCATTCGTGATAATGGAACGTTTCGAAGGCACATGAACGCGGGTGCACAACACTTGTGTAAATTACCAGTAGAATGGTCGTAACATCGTGTAACATCACGTCAGCGATGTTATCCCGAATGACCTCGGGTCATTGAAATACCAAACCGGCTTATTGACAGGGGGATGATATTGACAATTTAAAAAGGTCTGATAATTGGATGGAAGGTCTGAAAATGCATTTCTTTCATTCCTGATAATGAATTTCAGATTTGGAAAGTATGAAAAATCTCACGTCTGAATTCAGTACCGGTAGCGTACCTGTGTGCATAGGGGTGCTTTGGAGGGGGGCACATTTTTTTGGAGGGGGGCTCATCAATATGTTTCGTAGTGGTTTCAAGCAATTCAGTGCTGATCTTTTCCCCTTTATCTATCTGATGGAGCATCCCCCCCCCCCCCCCCGGCTTACTTGTTAAAAATGAAAGATGGGCAGATTAAAAAAAAATGTTTGTTTTATCACCCCCCCCCCCCCTTTTATAAGTGCTATCTTAATGGGCCATTTGAAAATAAAAAAATATATATATTTAGTTTTATTATTTTATTTTTCTCTCGTCCATTTTGTCTCGATTTCATTTATTGCAATGGCACGAAGGGATGTCCAAAAATTTTTGAAATGGGGATATCGCAGGCGCGGATCCGGGGGGGGGGGGAGTCAACCACCAACGTACCCCCCCCCTCCCAAAAAAAAATTCATAGAAATTCATTTTAAAATAATTTGAAACATCCCCTCCCCTGCTCTGATACCCCCCCCCCCCCCACTTTATTTTGTTAAACAGGTTAAAGCTACTGATCTCCATATTAATATAGAGAGAGTGATTAAAACAGGTTTTCGCCAGCGCCTAGCCCTGGCTCTTGCCGTAGCGCCCTCTGTTGACTATGCATGATTGACGTCATAGATCGGCAAGGAGATGGTAAACTTTCTGTGCAGTGTGATGTGCGTGTGGAACATCAGACCTTGCCGGAATGTGACGATGAATGCAACATTTCTTCAAATCTTATTATCAGGATAGTCTCAAATTATGGGAACTGGGGCAGGTAAAAACCCGCAGGTGGGAATGCCACTGAGTCCGACGGTTGAGTACGCCGAGAAAAGAAGTAGAAAAGAAGGAGAGGTAGGATGGGGTTGCCATATTATCGCGGTACTTATCACGTTTCTCGTTCAGAATAGAGATTGCCCACTAACCTTCCCGAATTGTCCTGTCTATTGTATACCTTAATACTCTTCCTTCTCAAATTGATATGAAAAAATCCGATGGTGGTGTGGTTTATTCCGTGTACGATGCCTGTGAAAAAGTTACTCGGACTAGTTTAGTTAAAATTTAGACGGTACCTTTTAGCAGACACGGTGAGGGAAAATTTGCAAGTTTTGGAAAACATTAATATTTATTAAAGATTGTTAAAAGTCCCGAAAGACACAACATTTTTTAATTGTCCTTTTTTTACAACTCAACAAAGAGTCCTTAATGAGGAAATGGGTCAACTCGTACCCGAGTTAACTCGTACCCGAGTCAACTCGTACCCCAAAATTGACACCCAAGTCAAGTCGTACCCGAGTTAGGTCGTACCCGAGTCAAGTCGTACCCCAGTCAACTCGTACCCGAGTCAAGTCGTACCCGAGTTGACTCGTACCCGAGTCAACTCGTACCCGCAGCTCAAAATAGTTGCCTATTTTCGAAAAGAAAATCAGTGAAACGAACGGAAGATCGGAGGGATATGGCCGGTTGTCCGTGCACGGTGACATCGTTTGTGCCTAGCCTGTGCGCGTCGCCGGTCAACGTGGTCGTACCGTGCACAGTGACATCGTTTTTGCCGGGCCTGTGCACGCACTCGCCGGTCCACGTGGTCGTCCGTGCACGGTGACATCGTTTTTGCCGAGCCTGTGCGCACACTCGCCGGTCAAAGTGGTTGTGCGTGCACGGTGTTTTTGCCGTCGCGTAGTTAGTGTCGGAACCTTCGCCGTTTTTCAACGGCATTAGGCCTTGGTGTAATTTGTAGTTGTACATATTTAATACGGGGCTAATTTTCATACTTCAAATAAATGTTCTACCCAAAGTATGCATGCTTTTATCAATTTATTTTATTTTTATATTACAGATGATCCTGTGGTTTTCCGATGAACCATTTTCTGCTGCTCAAACCGATCGATCGGATGGTCTGTCACACAGTTCATGATGAATCGAATCGGATGTCAAGTTTTGAGGATGAAACCCGATTAGCTCAGTTTTGTTTAAGATAAAACTTTCTCTTGCACTTGAATTACAATTTGCTAATGTCAAACAATCTTTCACACCCAAGGATCAACTAACAAATTGGTCCCCTAAAACTTATAGAAAGAGCATCTCTGAACGAAACGAGCCACCATTTTCCTTTATCGTGTTTACTTCCTTGATGCCTCAAATGTAAACAAATAATTAAAAATCCTACATTTCTGTTACGAAAATAATATTCTAGTTGAACTTATCGCAGAAACTTTATTTGAGCTGCACAAGATTTTTTTATGACATTTACCGAACTAATTGTACAAAAAATGACCAACATATTAAAGAATCATATTAAATTAAATAACGATGTCCGTGTGACTCTTTTAAGTTTCTTGTAACATATTTTCTCTTCAGATTTGTACTTTCAGGGCCCCCAATCTTCCCAAAGAGATTTGTGCCATGTGCAGTTATTATTCAATACATGATGCCAAAAATGGAGTGAGTGAACGTTGAAAAATATTACTTTTACATTACAAAATTCATTTTTTAATAGCAGCTTTCTTTTAAAAAAAAAAAGGTCTTAAATACTTAATTCGTAAAAAGAAAACTATGCCCTTAAAACACGTTCGACCGAACAAAAAAAAGACGTGGCAGTTCGCACAGTCACTCCGCAATTTCAGTGATCCAGGGTCTCTGAAAAAAGAAAGAAAAACATCATTAGTATTAAGAGAAACTACTACACAAATTTTTAAATAACACATCTGATGATCTGGATATAAAATGAAATTTACCGTTTATCAGCGAGGGCTCCGTCGACTCGCGAGTACCACACTGATGCCGTTTTGAAAATGTTCTCCACGCCGTACCCGTCGCGATGAAGCCCTTGCCGATGAACGGTACATTTTCCCTTTTCATCCAGATTGTGAGCAACATTTGATACCACCGCCTTCAACTAATCCTTGAACTTTATTTGTATTTCTGGCGGCGTCACTACTATTTCTCAGTCGCCGTTTTTGAGGGTAAAATCGGAAGTTTTGTTAACCATCCATCCGTACTTCCAAACTAAAAAAGGAGGGGAGTACGAGTTGACCTGGGCGCGAGTTGACCCGGGTACGAGTTGACTCGGGTACGAGTTAACCTGGGTACGAGTTAACTCGGGTACGAGTGAACTTGGGTACGAGTTGACTCGGGTACGAGTTGACTCGAGTACGAGTTGACTCGGGTACGAGTTAACTCGGGTACGAGTTGACCCAAAATCCTTAATGACAGGTGAACTGGACAAAAATCGCCACTTGGCAATGCAAAAAGAGAAATTTCCCATGCCGCGGTAATAGGGATGCCGCGACATGCCGCGATAATAGGGAGTCCGACTATATATCATGGTGATCGTGTAGATCGTTACGTTCAAATTAGAGTCAAAAGTGTTTTTTATTACCCAATAATGACCTTTTCAACCTAAAGCAGACTTCTCTCAATTTTAATGACACCTTTTTTTTTGTAATTTTTAACAGTTTCTTGGGGTAGAAATTACAATTTTCCTATGCGTTTTACTGTTGGTGCCATGCGAGTCAGCGCGCCGTGCACATTCAAGGTACATCGCGCGGTGATCGCCATCTTTATTTTCGTGTTGCGTTTTGTTGTTGTCATCGTCATTTCACGCCCAAATTTCACTCAAAAATTTAAAACCCTCTATCTATGACATACCTGTATGTTCTTAAATGTCGTGAACTATTTTGGTAGGTCAAATAATTTAAAAGTGGATTTTGTTCCCTTCAGGGAACCAGGCCCGTAGATACACGATCGCCATTATCGTCAGACCCCCTAAAGCTACGCGCTCCTATTTCTACGCACTCACCTTTAATTTAAATTTTGTAACGCGTGCATCTTAAAAATGATGTACCTTCACTTGTATCTTATCCTTTGATGCAGGAACTTTAACTGAAAAGAAAAATTTCAAATTTTAAGCACTGCGCCGCGCGTTAAATACATCGAATGCAATCCTAATTTATGGGTACTTGTGTGATATGTCGCGAGGTAACTACTAATTTACATACATTGATAACATTTACATATATATGGCATTGAGTTCAGCTCATGACTAGAGCGACATCTGAAATCAAGTCACTCCTGAGTCTTTCTGAACGACTCCAACTGTCAATCTTTCACCATCTGATGCACCTAGACGTTTCTAATTGCTTCAGATGTCCAACTTTAATGTACTTAATTCATATCTTGCCTTAAAATTTGATTTGGCACGACTCTAGAACGCCTCTTTTCTTATGTTTTAGTTTCTGACATTTTATGGTTTGCGAGTATGAAAGTAAGAAGGCGAAAGATGTGATTTCAAATCCCTCTTGTCTGCATTCAAATTTCTTTTAAAGTGTTTCATAAGACTTTTTTTCCGCATTCACAATTTACACAATCACAATGTGATCTCCAAAAGCATTTAGGATAAGGAGGAAACCTTCAATTGATGTATTAGGACAAACTAAAATTAAGTGAGGACACAATGATTGGTATTTATGCGCATGTGTTTATTACAGTGCGTTTATAAAATGTTATCTACATTGTACATTGGATGGATATAATGTACTTGTATGTGTTTGATTTCCTACAAACAGCCTGTTGTAATTGATGCCCCAGCATTAGTTGACCTTACTCATGGCACGGTACGCTACAGGAATGACGAAGATCACATCGTCAAAGCAGGCAAAGAACTGAAAACAGGTTACTTCTATCATGCAAGACTAGAAGACTACAGTGAAGGTACTGGTATAAACCCCATGTATATTGTCAACATTTTGCACAGCAACATCAATTTCTTCGTAATATCTTGCAGTGTCAAGAAAGGAGGACTTTTCTAAAGGAAGTTTTTCAATAATGACATGGTTCAAGGTTTCATGCAAGAACTTGTTATACAAAGATACAAAAACCCTCTTGCTTTTAACTTGTAACCTTTCCCCAAATAAACAAAATGTTTGGTTCCAACAGAAACAACAGTCCCATTATGTCTTCTATCATGTCTATATTATTCTTACTTTATGTGCCATAATCTTTCACACTTTTAACCCCCCGCCCCCAACAAATAACCAAATTAAGGTCCTGATCCATACTTGGTAACTGATTTTCACAGCTGCAACAATCAAACCAGAGGACAAACATAAATTCAGCTATGTCTACAAAGGAACAAATCGCTCCCGTGGCAAGCAGCTATTCTATGTGTATGGCATAGGCTTCAATAGCAAGGATGAACGGTTCCGAGTTCGCAAGCAGTACAAGCCTAAGGGCAGAGGTTATGTCTGGCCAAGCTCCTTCAGGAAGGGCAACCATTTCTACTATGATCTGACTTTCATTACTCAAGGTAAAACAATGAGCAAAATCAACAATGCATGGTTTGTTCAAGAAACCTTTTTTTATATATACTTTGACTGACTTGGGACATTCATCTCAAAGGTTAAGGTTTCAAATCCTGTTTCAGTGGAATTTCTGTGTACATGTAATGTATGCCCATGCCTATATGAGTGCCTCGTTTTGCTATCTACTTGAATGTGAGTTGATAGCTCACAGAAGGTGTTTTTCCCCAAAACATTGATTTTGTTTACAAACCCCCTCCCCCCCCCCCCCCCGAGCATTTAAGATGTTTTTATGTAAGAAATAAGTCAACAAAAATACATCCAGTATTGCCTAATGATTGAAAGAAGTACCTTTTGACTGGCATAACGAAGAAACAACCTCATATTGCTGTATTTTTCCCCCTTGTTGTAGAGCATGATTTCTCTGAATCTGAAGACGAGGATGAGGATATGAAGACAAACATCAACCCAGACAATATGAGGTTAGTGGTTTGCAGAAAAAGGGATTGGACAGCAGGACCATACTTGCATGCAGTTAGAAAGATCAGAATCAATGATAGCTGGTACAATGTGGATGTTTTTATTTAGGCCATTGAAACTTAACGTCTGTTGCCGTGGTACAGATGTTTCAATTTCTAATGAAAGGGCCCCGTAAAAAAAGAGGGGAAATGGTTTTGTCTCTTCAAAAAAATTACTCCAGGCTTGTATTTGAGCTGTTTCCGGCACTTGATATTAGCACAATATTAGTTGTTCACACCAACTTGATTTCTAGATCTGGCCTGCAATTCCATAGCGAGGCTTTGTGTTTATCCAGAGATGCTTAATCCCTGCCTTACCTTGCTGAGTCTGTGTTTCATTCACTCATTTCATTGTATTGGTCTTATACCTCAGGTTCCGTCTGAAGGACACGGACACAGTTGAAGTGCTTAAGAAGCGTGCTGCAGTCAGGCTACTTGTGCCTTCTTCTAACATCCATGTCAGCTATGCTGATACTGAGCTGAGGTAATGCATTGATGACTCCTATCTACTTCACTCATCTGAAATCAGTCCTCCTAAGCTAATGGATTGATAACCCCTTACATAGTATGTAATTATGGTCAAATGCAACACTACACTGCCTGCTAACATGACACAACATGAACGAGGCTCAGACTGCAACTAGAACTTCAAGATGTAATATAAAAATGTAAAAATTCAGATCTTAATCATGCGTACAAATGATCACACTCACTGTTGCTTGTGAATTAGACTGGTTACCTACACACACTATGGTCCTCTTTCATGCGTTCCTTTTAGGCCTGTTCCAAACATACTGAGTATTCAAATATTTGATCATCAACTGAATATTCGAATACCTTTTAGCCGGTTCAAATATTTGAGGAAAAAAACACAAATATGCACCTACACACACGTTATTGTCAGATGCCACTTTTTTTCATCAGCTGTTCCTTGTTCCCACTGTTTTGGCAGGTTAGGCCCCTTTTTTTTTTAACTTGAATTTCTAATTTTTGGGTCCCCGGGTCGGGCGGTGAGTGGGAAAAACAAAACGAAACCCAAAAAAATGTGTGGGGTCATCCTTTACAGCCGAACCATAATGGTTGCCCAGCATGCCCAGTATTCAGACAGGAAAGTGCTCAAACCAAATGTCGGCATTCTGTTCACAAAATTTATCAAAGTTTGTCCGGGTAAAGTAACAAAACTTTGAAATTTAACAGTAACAATTATATCAAGCTAAAAAAAGATGACAAATTTTGTATGAACACCGCCTGTATAGTGGAGTCCCCTAACGAGGTGCACTTTGACGTTCCCTCAACTTTCCTCATGTAATGTTGCCAAACCTCTTTGTTGACAAACTTTATATTCATTCAGTTAAATACTGGTACTTTCACCTTAATAATGCTTTTACCTCAAAAACGATGGCATCCGGAAATTGAGCACAAAATTGTCCAAGTGTTCCCCAACATGGCGCACTTGAACAAATCTCTGAAAATCCCAAGTTAACATTCAAAAATGTCTTTAAAGTTGACAAATTCTGATAAACCATTATTATCTCAGTCCACTCACATCCCCAACTAGAAGTTTGTCAAAACATAATTCTTATTTTGGGGTGCATTTTTTAATGGATCATCGTGCTCTCCAATAAAATCAGAAAATCACGCCACAATAAATGTCTTTGTTAACTTTATAACAGGTTGGTAAACTCAAGATTTATGGATGGGAATGTTTAGAGCTTGATGGAATTTCTTTTACTGTGATATTGTAAACTTTTGCTCTTGCAAGGCACTAGAGTTGAAAAATCAAAGAGTGCCATGTTAGGGGCCGTGCCATGTTAGGGGGCATCAACAATGCTGCGCATGGCCATGCGCAGAATCAGCCTAGCAGCATGCGCAGCAAGTTTCAAACATTTGAATATTCAGTCAGTTTTGAATAATCCAATGCTAAATTATTCGAAAATTAGACAGCCCCAGACTTCCTTTGTGTTTCCAGGTAGTTTTGAAATCACTCGTGAATTAGACTGATGGTCATCTATAACACTGACTGATTCTCACCTGCGAATGAGAGTGGTTACCTATTTCCATCATATTACCACTACAGCTTCTTAGACGTACACTTAAGCCTTCAAGATCGATTGAATAGCATATTGTGCGCCGTGTGAGTAGATTTACTAGACATGTCTAGTTATGTTTCACTTCAGCAGATGGTTTACTTTGAGTGAAAGACTCTGAACAAGATAAGGGCCAGAAACTGAAGGCATGCTGTGGCAAAAGACAACCCATTTTCAGGGCATTGATCAATATGAGGTGTACAATTCAGCCTATTTGATAATTAGAATGATCCTGAGGTCCCCCCCCCCCTACATCTTCCCTTTGATGCTTAACAAGTGATAGTCAAGGAGTTTTTGTACTTTATTTTTTCTGTGAACAGTGATGAGGATACTGTTGGGAAACAGCGAACAGAGGAGGATGGGGATTTCACAAGATTTGTCATCTGTCTCCAAGCTGTCTGATGAAATAATGGTATCATTGTCAGCTGATTAGTTACATCTCAAGTGTTAGCATAAACACTGAGTGTATTTTGTTCAAGCCTTGTCTTTGAGACGTCAATAAGCAGGTCACTTGGTGTTTATGACCCAACTTTTGAACCAGAAAGCCACTGCGGGTATTTCAAAAACATTCCATCACAACCATCTTAGTCATAAACAATCTATAGCCAAAAACAAACTGGACTTGCGCTCAGAACAAGATTGCTTAGTACTTTTGTTACTTTAACAAAAAAATAGTGCTAAAAATGGAACCTTTCAAAAAAACTCGGCATAAAAGTTTAAATTACAATTTACCATAAGTTACAAATGTACCATACAAATTACGTGTAAAATTTGATACGCTATATAATTTATGCATTTTAGTCAATCCAAGGGCTCTAGCTGTATTGTCAATGTTGACGTTAACCGTACCAGATGTCGTTGAAACATATGTTGTGCTTTCAGTTAATGCTGATATATTCTGAGTTATCATTGAACTTCAGGCAGAAAAAAAAACAGTTAGGAGTATTTTTAAATTGTGTAGTGTCATGAAGAGACAACCACAGATGTGCTAATGGAGTGGTGCACTCTTTATAGTAGACATGTTGAGGACACACAGCATGTATATAGGCTGGGTTTATTGCTTTGTAATAGTCTGCAGTCACAAGCCCTCACAATTCAGGTTACTAATAACAGGATAAACAGTGACAAAGAAATACATGTGTTTGAGATCATGTGACTTGGTTGATTAGTGATGGTTTCAAGAAATGTCTAAAAATAAATTTTAGTGTAATTGATGTTGGCTATGTTGGCTCTTAACAGAGAGCTAAGATCAATACATGGGCGGGTACGTTTACTTTGAAAAGTAAAACATTGAGTGTAATATACAGTATGTCCCCCCCAAAAATGTTTGTAGTAAATATTTTGAAATAACAACAAAACCACAAAGTAAATTTAGAAACTGTTTAGTTGTTATGTGCAGATACTCCTAATCCTTGGCCTCAACTCCTATGAGTATTATTATTTAATTTCTATCATGACTCGCTGCACAATGCCTTGAGTATTATACTGGGTCTTGCCATGATGACTGATAGCCAGGCAATGATTCTTTTTTACCACATGAAGGATTTTATTAAGCTTACATAAAGCACTAAAATTTATTCAACTACAGTCCTTCATTTGCAGCTATCCAAAAAGTAACTGACGTAATTATTGTTGAAAAGCATACTTGGTTTAAAGACAGTAATGGGGAATTATTCTTTCTGGCACACTGTCATTTTGAAGAAATCAAAGATGCGTCTAAAGACGCATTCTTGGAAATTTCAGTAAGTAGTTCGTTTTTAATTCGGCGAAGCACACACAAGCATTGACACAACGCACACCCGCACACGGTTGCAAATGATGGACGCTACCTTTAAGTAACTTGGTCACAGTGTCCAAAAATGTTGTGATCAATTGACCATTGTGCAGTGAGGCAGAGGGAAATTAAATATAACTCGTAGGGGTTGAGGCCAAGAATTGGGAGTGTCTGCACAATTGACATTTTCAAAATGTACTCCTTGGTTTTGTTATTTGAAAAAAATTTAGACGGACACTTTTTTGGGAACATACTTTAGCCTTGCTTTGTAGCCTAGGGCTGCTGATATTTGTGTTGATACTGTTTATTGGTCTGCGGAATGACAAACATATCATGTTTATTGGGTCAAGTTTGTGAAAAGAATGCGAGATAAAAATTGGACCAGCATGCAGTGTGTAAAAAAAGGCACATCAGTCAGATAAGTACGGTGTACCGTGTGATGGACAACTTTATTCATGTTATTTCTGCCATTTTGGAGTCATGAGGAATTAGTAGCTTTAGACTTCTGTTTTAATGTGTTATTAGTTTTTGTCCAATTCGTATTCATTTTAAATAGAAAAAAATGAGTTTGTATGTTGGCAGTACTTCTGGGGTTTTTTTATATATAGTTTTGTACAGAAATACATTTTATGTACAATTTTTGAAATTAAAAGCCGTAAGTGACATGAAAAGTAGTTATTTCTCCTTTTCCTTGTTTTCTAAAGATGAAACAGCTACAAGAAAATGCACAAATGAACTGAAACCACACTCTACAAAATGGTCACAATTAAATCAATAAAAAGAAACAGACAACAAAACTTTTCATTCCTGAAAATACATTTAACCATTGTATGTTTAATATATTCTTCCCAAATACAAGTACATGCATACATGTTAACACTTACCACCACCAAAATGATTTTAAAATAACAAAAAAAAATCTCACATTGTAATGGTATCACTTTGTACAAACAAAATTCTGATTAAATGTCATAAAATACAGGCAAAAGGTTTGTAAAATTAAACATTCTCCCATGATTTGAATTCTAATCCTAGGTTTCCTATGTGATAATTAGCCCAACAAATACTCAACACTAGGTGAATATAATTGACGTAAATATTGTCCTTGTAAGCTTTCAAATGATCTGAAAATGCTCAATATACAGTGCGAGTCAAAAAGAAAGTGACCAAGTTAGAAAAATATGTTAAAATGTGTGGCTCGCTCCAGTTTAATAAAAATAACAGGAATAAAGTACATGTTATTGACTAGTAACTGAGCATTTCACCTAATTATTCACTATTTCTTTCTATTTTAATAGAAATTCCAAAAAAAATCAGCTGTCCACCACTGATCTTTCACCAAATAACCTGTCAATACCATGAACCATGGAGGTTTTCCTACCTCCATGAACCCCAACCCCTTTGTGTGATCTATGAGGATCCTTCCTCACTCTTGCCACACCCAACACCATACATGAATATGGTGGTATGCTGCCTGACCCCATGTAAGCACATAATCAGTTTACTAGTGCAGTCCTCACTCCAACAAAATCAACAAAAAACATGCAGTTAGATTTTGAAGGGTTGGAGGTGGTAAGGGTTTATGAACAAAAGTTGCAAAGGAAAACAGACAAAAATCACCATCATTTTAGAAAACACAAAAGCTGACCCCCAAAAAAATATTTCAGTCATGACTTGTATTTGAACGTATGCCTATGTGTAAGGCCAAAAAAACCCAAAATAGTTCTGCTTCTGGTTTCCCTACCTACCCTATTCTGAAAGCCCTACCCTAATTTTTTTATTGGAAAAATGAGGAAAAACACAAAAAAACATCAATTTCTACCTTTTACCCTTGACTAAATGCAGACGCCTTCATATGATCGTACACCAAAAAAATTGGCCAAAAAAAAATGTTCCCTACCTACCTACCCTATTTTCGAATGCCATGTAGTCAGAAGCAGAACTTCTTTTTTTTTGACCTAATCTCTGGTTCTCACTTGGCTGAATAGCTTCAAAGCATTCTATAGCCTTCCATAGACAGCTGTGAAAAAAAGGTGTTTTTTTGTGAAACATGCATAATCTCTGATAGCATGGAACAATTTCAGTAATTCTTTTTTTTCCCACACAAGTGGAAGAACATGCTTGTGAAGGTTATGCATGGTAATGCAATGATGTAGCCAAGTGGGGAGAGATGTGACAAACTGGCTTCATCTGTCTCTTTGGTTTCAGCTCTAACATGGGAAGCATTTGTTTGACCTTTTATCTCCGGACCCAATATGAGACTCTCATGTTTGGTTTAATATCATACAGTTTGATGTCCCTGTAGCAAAACATTGATTCAAGCTGGAATCCCCAAAGTCAGGGATCTAAAAATCAGGCGAAGCCAAAGACGGAGCCGTGGTTCACAAACCTCCACATTGATATACCTGTACATGTATACATATAAGCTGTAAAACATATCACAGGAAATGAACACACTGTAGCCATATTGGCACATAAATGTGACATGACCATATAGGTGGTGAGCAATTACAGCTGGTTCGTTACTAACGAAAAGTCGAAAACATTATACATGGTTTGTTCTTACATGACAGAAGACCTAAAGACAAAATAACAAAATAAAAAGCAATTAATATGCATTTGCTACATCAATATACTAAATACATGAAGTTTTTACTGCCTGCCACTGTTGCAATGACAATGCACACCATTAGTAATTCAGACATCCTAGCCATTATAAAATGTGAGCAAAAATTTCAAACACTATTTATAGCTACAAATTTAAACCAAAAGTTCACCTTGGAAAAATAAAAAGATCATATAATTAATACTTTGTTAGATACCGTATATGAGCAAGTAGCAGTCATTGTTAAAACCTGCAAACACACACACTATTGACTGAAGTGCCGACTAGACGAAACTCAAGTTTGATATGCCATCAAAGACCTCAAATATGGACAGAAATATGATTATACCACAACTCACCTTGTTACAAACACTTAAGGTAATGATAATGTGCCTCATGATGCGCAAAGTAAAAAAAAATACAAATTACAAAAAAAATCCAAGCGTATGACATCATAAAGCATGTATAGTTAACTTACTACCAACATGTCATTTTTTAATAAAAATGCAGGTTGGGTTTACAACTGGTACAGCTTTGGAACTAAACAAAAGCTGAAAATGTGCAGCGTTATATGCTCGAGTCACCAGGGTCAAAAGTAATGGCATACTTTGATAAGATAAATAGTATAATGCTAAAATAATATCTACAATGTACTCCCACTGTCTACTGTCAACAAGCCATTGCTCATGTACACAGGCATGCAACTTTTCCTCAGATCAGCTGATTTCCTCTTTTTGTACTTCCCATTTGTGCCATTAAAATTGAAAAACACTGTACAAAGTCTTGGAAAGATTTGAATTGCCTCTTTTGTTGTGACTTCCCAGTTGCATGCCTGTGTGCAAGATAGAGCAAATTAGACTGTTTTTATACACGTATGGGTTGTGGGAGCCTACCAAATCAAAATTCATCTGACATACACGTGCACAAATGAGGGTATGACATGTATGAATAGTAATACACCTTCCACATGTTTACCCTTACAAGTACATAGAGCCATAAATCAAACCAAGATATCCATAAACTAGTTACATGTAATAAGACGATGAGAGGTTTGAAACACTACAAGTTATTTTCTAATATTTCTCTTCTTTATTTTAAAGCCAGTTACAAGATTGTTAATGTCACACTTGACATGTACACGTAATAGTATTAGACCTAAATGGGATGATACTAAGAATTGCCCAGGATTTAGAGACATGAGGAAATGAAATCATGCCAACCTCAAATAAAATCTTACGATCAACTTTACTAATGTTGATCAATGAATCGTTCAATGTCGTTCAATGTTGTTCTAATGTTGTTCTAATGTTGTTCAATGTATCGTATCATAGTATGTGGCAAGTAATACCCCAGCAAGAAGACTACTGTATGAACAGTTTTTCAGTTTTCTCCAAAACACACAGATTTAATGAGAGACAGTGTCATACATCAATGCATAAATCATTCGTTTCTACTTAATTCATTCAAAGAACAAATCTTGTAATTGACTTTAAATTTTAAACTTGATTATACATCGCTGTTTAACCACACATGTTGCAGAAACTCCTGTTTGATTGAGTGACATACATAAATGACAACACTGAAGACACAGGCAGGAATTCTCCAATTGCTTAAATCTTGGTCTGTTGAGGTTTGACATCCTCCAGTATAAGCAGCTCATCATCATCATCATCTGTTGCCGTGGCGATGATTGCCTTGGCTGGGAGGCTCTTGATAAAGACAGGGTGAATGAACGTTTTCTTGGAGTCCTGCAGATAGGCCAGATCATTGTAGATTGCCACTTTCTGTAGTTCCAAAGACAGAAAAAATATCAAAATTTTGTGTAATTTTTTTACATGTATGTACATATTTTGTCTTGAATGGGATGATACTGAATTACACATAATCATCTAGTATGTCGTGCAGCAATATCACTCTGATTTTTGGCAACAATTTTTATCAATTAATAATTTATAACCCAAAATGCCATTTAATGACTAACTGTATGATGGTACATGTACGAATGTAGCCTGCAAATGCATAAATTTACATTCATACATTTACAACTGTAACCAAATTAAGTCCAACTAAATATTTAATAAAAGACCACTGCTTTTCATAAGTTGCATGTTCTCACTACTGCAATGCATACAATGACAGGTGTTAAGCCCACACCCCCCTTCCCCTGAGGCTTGGACACACACCTTTGGTGAAAGCCGCTGATCAGGAGCAGTGACTGTGGTAGCACAGCACAGCCAGATCATAGCTAGTGCTGACAAGAGTAGTGTTACACCTAACAGCCATCGGGGTAGGCCAGACTTCTTGGACACGCAGTCCAGCCATCCATAGGCATCATCACTCAGATCATCCCGCTGTGGGTAGTCTGTGGAATCACGGTCACTCAGTACTTCCAGGTTGGTTTCCACATTGTTGGACATTTTGCTGAAGTCTAAGACAAAGGAATGATGTGTTTACAAACAAGAATGTGACATCCAGGGAAACAAGGGCTGGTGCAAGGTATATGCTGTCCCAGAATTTAGTCAATATAAATAGCTGTGGATGCATGAGCCTTTAATATGGATTCAATCCCTAATAATCCCTGTAGACACCTCTAGTTGAAGAGATTTTGTCAAAGCCCTGCAACTTTTATTTGTTTGCTTGCTTTTAGCACTTCTATTTCTTTAGCATCTTTACTGCTAAGGAACAAGCAAAGTAAACTGCTAATGGGTTGATGTCACCCATCTGAACTTAAATTGGCATCTAGAGTAAGAATGACAATGGACAGTTGCACTATGATCAATCCTGGCTATAATGGTTTCTTGGAAGGATCACAATGGAGACATTGTAAACGTGATTTGCTGCACATGTATTTAGCACAAGACAATGACCATTTTACAAAAGTGTTTTTCCAAGACGCTGAGAAAGGAGTGGTCATTTTTTTCTCTTGAAAGGTTTTGCATTCATGATCTGACTGCCAAATGAACTTGCATCTTACCTTGATTAATAACTCATGTGTATTTTCAAAGGCAAGTTACTTCCAAATTAACATATGACTAGTTCATGGTTTATAAGCCCTACCTCTAGATTTTTGGTTTTCTTTTATTTGAATATTACATGTATGACATAAGAATGGCTAAAATGATCCATGTGTTGCCATGAAACTCACAATGCAATTGACCCATTGTAAGTTTCTTGAAATGTTTTGTAGTGGCCATCAGAAGTTTAAACACCTTATCACCCAAAACTTATGATACAATTGATGATATTACATGTACATGTACTTCATGATATTAACCGAAAAAGCAGTTTATCCCTTCTATTTGGCAACTTCAAGAACTTCCCCATTAACTTCTTACCAATAATCTCTTCTTGAAACTTGGGATCCATGGTGAAGATATCAACCTCAGGCTGGGATTCAAAGATGTACAGTTGCCCGTTATCCCCCTGCATGTAAACCATCCAAGAACTGAACCGGTAGCTAGCAAACTGGGAGAATTTCTCGCACATGGACTGGATGGCTAGGATGGGCGTTAGAATGTGAACACTGGGCTCCTCAGATAGCAACTGTTGGGTGAGGAAAAAGAGATATTAGAAACAGTCAAACAGGTTTTTGTATTACAAGTTGTGACCCAACTCAACATAATGAAGTCACCAGGAATAATTATGAGCAATAACTCTTTTTAAACTGTAGGCACAATACAAATGAATAGGAGGGCAATTCCAGAGTCATAGACCTTACAGAGGAGACTTTTTGTACTTTTAAGAGCTCAGTGAATAAACTTGAAAAAGTATTTTTCAGATCTTATACATCCATCATCTAGTAATGGTAAAGAAGAATACAGACTATGAGTTTTGGATCAATTATATGAATCATAAATCAGATATCATAGTTGGCTCCATCACAGACATTACATTTTCTTCCATAATGAGAGAATTGCCAGCAATATGTTCACTCACACATCTGCATATTAAAATGACCACCTGAGTGAGATATCTAAATATGTTCTTTCTACTGCACGTAAAAAAATGTGCTTAGGGCTCCTTGCATGGGACCAAGTCAGGTTTATGAAGCAAGTATTCCATTTCTGGTTCACCCTGATTACATATCTCACAAATGAGCTGCACTGAAGCTGCAACTGGTATGGATCTCTTTCATGACATCCATCTTGTGCTGCAAGGATACACACAAGTGGACCTCTTGTACCATCAACGTTTCCAAAAAACAACAATAACATCGCCTAGATGCCTGCTCTGTGCAAAGGGTATATTGCATGGGTTTTTTTTATTGCAGTGAGTGTATGAATTATTTTGATAAACTAAATTGTTTGTGCCAAGACACCACACTGTTTAGAATCTCATTAACTAGACGATTGGAACTGAATCTGCCTTTTTGGTGACAGCTGTAGATTTATCATTCAAAAAATTGGAACTAACAATGCTATTTCGACTTTCATCCCCAAAAAATAGATTCCTCTTCTCGATGCAATTTTTCTAGCAATAAACAAGTTATTCACTTTTGAATGAAACATCCCACACAAATCAACCCATGTTTAGTTATTGAATGTTACTTTACAAATTCGAAATATTGGCTGCCAGACAATAATTCCATTCTCGCAATTCCCGTCCAAACTCAGTATGGATAATGTACGGACCGGGGGCCAGTCTGCACGTAGAGTGGATCAGTTTGTGCCTAATCCAAAAAAAAAATTTTTATTCAGACATCCAACAAAGGAAAATGGAGGTTTGTAACATGTGAACATTTATTAACCCTAACCGCCCTGAATCCTTCAAAATCCTCTTTGCCAAAGTGAAGGAATTTGGAGGATTGAGGTTACATGGCAAAAGTGCGTTACTGATTTCGTAGGATGCACTTTGTCGAGGTCTTAGGCCGGACCTTGTGTTATTATTGCTCAGCCATGCATATAGGCCTGGATTATGCTTGAAATCCTCCGTACTGCTCCAGGATGTCAATGGCCAAGCCTCAACATATTGACAGTCACTGCCGCAGAATTTTGCAGGATTCAGGCAGTGGTCACACCGCCAAGGACCATATTCAAGAAATAATGGAGGAATTTGCAGGATTGAGGCTTTATCCTAGCAAAAAGGCCTAGGGAGTTAGGGTTAACAGAAACAAATTTGAATTTGTTGAAGAGCACGGGGAATACAACTTTAATATACATGTACAATACACACACTGTGCATTATACATGTGCATTGGATGTTACCACCATTTGTACCTTATTATAATGTATAGATTCTTTAACAATTACAATGGTTGTTATATCTACAAGCACATAGTACAAATGGAAATAAAACAAACAAACAAACAAACAATGTATACATGAAGCACTTCATGTACTAAGTTGTATTTTGGCAGATTCAAGGTTCTTGGTTGAAATTCCCCTAGAAATTGACTAGTTACGGACCTCATGAATTGAGCCTAGATAACGATATGTGGATTTTACCTCTTGTCGTTTCTGCATAGCGAATGGAGCTTCATTTTGGCAGCCTAGATGGCAAGCATACAACTCTTCACTGTCTTTGTAGGCCTCATCACAGGCTGGCATGATCAAAACAGAACAGTCAGTCAATGGTACGTGTTGCATGTCAAGGATATCATCAATACTTTATAATCTGCATCATAGCAACAGCACAACGTCACTTCACAAGTGTGGTATTTTAGAGGATGCTGTTGGTTGAACAGCTGACAAACATTGGACCAATACTACAAGTAACTCAAGAAGCTAGAAGACTTGGTTGCTAATGCTTTACAAACTCACCCTCATTACACATTTCCTTAGTGGTGTTGAAATCCTGGATATCTTCTTCCGCAAACTCCATGATGGAGAAGAGACGACATCCCCGCTGGCATGCTGGCAGATGGTTACTCTGTAAGGAAGAAAATATCAAAGTGAGTGGTAGATGCACAATTTGGCACAGGTCTCCAAATCAAGATACATTTAAAAAAAAACATAGTTGGCCCGAGGTCCTAAAAACCATTGTTCCCAAATTTTAAAGAGATATGGATCAGTCAGGGCTGCTTTTAGGAGAGATTGTTGTGGGGAAAGTGTACTCCTAGAACTATGAGGCTCCACGTAGTGGAGCCTCATAGGTTCAGAAGCCCGCAAAATTGTTGTCAGCACAAAACACTAATTAAGTACAAAAACGTCCATCCCAAGCAGGCCGTTTTCCACAGAACCGCTGCACAGTTTGCCCCTAAACTCCATACAATACCTCATGACATACTCACGTTATGTGCACCCAACAAACATCGGTGGATTCTGTCTGTTTTTCGGCAAAAATGATGAAAAATATGCCCTTTCTGCACTGAGCCAACCTAACACTTGAAACGAGCACGCGTGCAGAATGATCGCAGTTATTTTCGGTTCGATCGCTCGGAGCGCGCCGCGGGGGGTATGGTGTAGGAGCGGAACGATAGTATGCACATGCGTACAAGTGCAAGTACGTACCCCCCGCGGCGCGCTCCGAGCGATCGAACCGAAAATAACTGCGATCATTCTGCACGCGTGCTCGTTTCAAGTGTTAGGTTGGCTCAGTGCAGAAAGGGCATATTTTTCATCATTTTTGCCGAAAAACAGACAGAATCCACCGATGTTTGTTGGGTGCACATAACGTGAGTATGTCATGAGGTATTGTATGGAGTTTAGGGGCAAACTGTGCAGCGGTTCTGTGGAAAACGGCCTGCTTGGGATGGACGTTTTTGTACTTAATTAGTGTTTTGTGCTGACAACAATTTTGCGGGCTTCTGAACATATGAGGCTCCACTACGTGGAGCCTCATAGTTCTAGGAGTAGGGAAAGTGGACTTCTAGATACATGTACTTTATTCACCTATTACAAAGATTTAAAATCCCATAGTGTATTGGCGACCTAAAAGTGATAGTAACAGAGGGCACAGGGGTGACCTGCCAAATTGTACCTGGGCCAATGTGAATTGGGCTTTCAGTCCCTACCTGATTCCATGGGTTTCCCAAGAATATCCTTCTGGGGTAAGGATATGAAATTTAATTTTGTAAACGTATAGCAAATAAATAACTGCGTAAAAGCCATTTCACAAAGGCTCAGGCCATATGCAGACCAGCATGATTGACATGATAACAGTGGTTCATGATACATGGAGTTCATATTTGGCTGGGGCGGCTTTCTTAAGTAAATGATATTGAACTATTTGGCATCCTTTTTTGGTAAATTTCATTAAAAAGTGCACTTCTTTTAAACATTAAAAAATGTCCATGCTTTTCTTGACAACTGGGGGTGTTGTTGCTGTAATGTCATTTCAGGAAGACACTGTTCAGTTTAAGGGTTTTCTGTTCAAATTGTGAACCAAAAAATGGTAATCCTTACTTTTAGGACCCCTTTCCTCTATAAGGTTAAAAGACTCACCAAAACAGCTGACTAAATGACACTCAAAAGTGACCTTCTGATATTTATTGACACATTTGAACATTTGGCAATGACACCTCTTGAATATCAGCAGGTTTGATTTTGTAGAAAGAGGGCAGGGTTTTGATTTATGAGGGGTTAAAGACGACGATGACAAACAGAAAATATATTTAAAAAGCAAGATGGCGACTGCAAAAAAAGGTAAGAAAGTCACATTTTCTTTGAAAGTGCTTTCAAAATTATAACTAACATGAGTTTGTCTGGAGAAAAAAGACTTCTTTAGCCTGCAAAAGTCACTTTGGTACTGGACAGTCATCTGCAAAAGTCAGTTTTGAACAGAACTCGTACAAAATAGAGGTGTCCTAAAACTAAACGTAAGGATTACCCAAAAAATTGCTCAATGAAAACATTTGACATGGTCGACAAGTTAACAGGTTAAGCCTTGCATATTCCTCACCTCTGGGTAAGTGTGTTCCGGAAATGTACGCTCACAAGATTCTTTACATGATGATACATCTTCTAATACATTTTTAAAAGCACTTTCTGGTGTAGTTAGGGCATACGTAAGACCAAAAATGGCCAACAAAATTATCGATTCGACTATTCGCGATGCCATTTTGTTTTGTTTTTAATATTTATTTTGCTTAGTCAATAGCAAATAGCGCCACCGCACGATGATGACATCTCTGTCCAAATTTTTAACTCTAACCAACAGAGGGCGCCCTCTGAGATGTTCGTCTTCGGGAAAAAGTTTTCCTCTGTCTGAATTTCTCTGATTCTTTGCTTGAAAAGAGGCAGTTAATTTACGGAATGTCGGGAAAGAGAAGAGTTTTTGTGGTTGGAGTCGGCATGACTAAGGTATCCATCGTTTTGAATGTATACAGGGTAGTTGGTTTGGACTTAGAATTTTTTCAGCAACTCCCATTCCTTTTGTGTTGCTGTTGTGCTAGCTGGAGTTACCAGCCCTGAGTTTTATCATTGGGTTGTCTATTAGGGCTGGAGCGCATTTTTCTCGTAACTTGTAGTATTTGCAAAAAAAATTTGGAAAATGTTCAATTTGGTCCCCGTTACACACTAATTGCAACTGCAACTCACCCCAAACTTGCCTGGAATAACCATTACACAGGTCCTTGAAGTAAAAAACGATCCACGATGAAGATTCAGCCTACAATTGCAGTGAAAACAGGAGGAATAACCGCTAACCTGACAACCTTTCAGGCATGGCCAGGACTGCTATTGGTTTGTGCACACAAAAAATTGTGTACAATGAATGGCGGTCGATTAACAGGCACAGAGAGCGATCGCTGTCAACTACTCGGTTTTGCCGGCTGCGCTGGCGTTGGCGCGTGACGTCACGCGGAAGCGTAACACCCGATGACTGTTTCATGCAGTAGTATAAGGTTTACCACTCGCATCACAGCTTTGGTACTGGAACCGCAACCAATAGTGCATGAAACAGTCATCGGGTGTTACGCTTCCGCGTGACGTCACGCGCCAACGCCAGCGCAGCCGGCAAAACCGAGTAGTTGACAGCGATCGCTCTCTGTGCCTGTTAATCGACCGCCATTCATTGTACACAATTTTTTGTGTGCACAAACCAATAGCAGTCCTGGCCATGCCTGAAAGGTTGTCAGGTTAGCGGTTATTCCTCCTGTTTTCACTGCAATTGTAGGCTGAATCTTCATCGTGGATCGTTTTTTACTTCAAGGACCTGTGTAATGGTTATTCCAGGCAAGTTTGGGGTGAGTTGCAGTTGCAATTAGTGTGTAACGGGGACAAAATTGAACATTTTCCAAATTTTTTTTGCAAATACTACAAGTTACGAGAAAAATGCGCTCCAGCCCTAATAGACAACCCAATGATAAAACTCAGGGCTGGGTAACTCCAGCTACTGTTGTGCCCATTCTTGAAAATCACGCATTCTCGAGAATGGGCCTGCACATTCTTGAGAATGTGCAACTGGATCCTTGCTCAATCTTGGCAAAAAATAACTCTTCCAGATTGAGCGCACATTCTTGAGAATGCGCGACAAGATAACGGTCTTGTCGATGCCGAGCACCGGCTGCGCTTGACAAGTCTAGCTGAATCCTCGTTCACTGATTCTCAATAATTATACTGTTGCAACGCAAGGCACTGAAAAGTAGAGTGGATATGATAAGTAAAGGCGTATTGATAGGGGGGGGTGACCGGGAAAAAATAAGAGACATAATAATACTAGTGCAAAGAATTCTGATTTTTGGGATAATAAAAGCGGGGGGGGGGGGGGGGGGGGGGGGACGTAAGAATGAAGAATGTGAAGAATGAGAATGAATACTGCGACATCCCATAGTGCTAATGCTATTTCCCATTTAAATTGCCACCAATTTATTGTTCACACCCCACCATAACGTCGCAGAGCTGGATTCTATCTAGTCAAAAGAGCAATTTTGGCAGCTTCTGTTCTGGACATCGTTTTTTTTTCGTGGCACGCATATGATACATGCAGGGACTTGTAACTTGTCTAGCCTAAACAAAGCACTTCCCAGACTAGTTCCCAGTCCTCCGTTATTACAAAACTTCCCATAGTGGGCAGAAAAAAGCAATAATAACAGGTTTAATTTGATTCAAATTATCGTAGTTATACGAGTACAGAAGCATGGAACATTTTCTTTCCTCTTTATATGAATTGTTTCCCTTTTAACCGCTATACAATTCATTTAACATAATTATGTCGTGCAATGTTTGTTAAGATTGGGCAAAATTCATAAATTGTGCACGTGATATTCCCACCCAATCTTAAGAATGAGCTCTCATTCTTAAGAACGCGTGCTCGTTCTTAAGAATGTGCGCTAATTCTTAAGAATGCGCGCCCATTCTCGAGAATGCGTGATTTTCAAGAATGGGCACAATATTGCTTCGTTCTCAAGCATATTCGGGGGTCAGACAAGTCGACCGTTGAGACAACTCGACCATATGTGCGATAAATGGAAAGACAAGTCGACCGTTGTCCGTTGAGACAAGTCGCCTCGCATGTTTTGGGCCTAGTTCGGGGATACATGTACTACTGGGGATTTTGACGGCGGCTGATCGCCGTTTGGGAGTGATGGCACAGCCCTGTGCGCCCACTTATCTCATCCCTGGTCGGTCAACGTGGCCGTACCGTGCACGGTGACATCGTTTGTGCCGGGCCTGTGCGCCCATTTGCCGCGCCGGTCGACGTGCCCGCGTGCCGGGCCCGGCCCGGTCCTCGCGGCTGGGCGGGGCGCACCAGCCCGACGCGACGCCCCCTGTACATCGAGTATGCCCGCGCCGCACCCGTGATCGGTCTTGCCACAGATTTGTGCAACTTTTTCTGCTCCACGTGTATTCATTTCCATTAAGTCGAGCAGTCTCAACGGTCGAGTTGTCCCGAGTCGAGTTGTCTCAACGGTCGACCTGTCTCAACTGTCGAGTTGTCTCAACGGTCGACTTGTCCCGAGTCGAGTTGTCTCAATGGTTGACTTGTCTGACATTCTTCAAGGGACTCCCACTCCGTAGCCTCGTAGCCGCCAACAGGGTGGTTGGTTTGGACTTTTTAATTCAGGAACTCCCATTCATTTTGTGTTGCTTCGTTCTCAAATAATGGACCCCCACTCAGTATTCGCGTAGCTGGCATGCGGCAATGGACTTGAATTGTTTCTTTTGCAGTGATTCCAACCTCGTAGCCAGTGATTTTAGGGGTGTATTTCCGAGTGGCGGGGTATTCTGCAATTACTCCAGCTGGAGTTACCCATAGCCCTGGTGGACTCCCTTTCCTCCCTACGTTACGGAGGGATGCAATGAAGACTTCGTCCAACCTGGGCTAGAGTTACCCAGTCCCAGCCCTAAATGTTATCATTGGGTTGTCATTTAGGGCTGGAGGAAGTTGTTCACCAAAACCAGCAGCATTGGCAGTTCCAAAAAAAAATTCAAAAATGTGCAATTTTGTCCCAGTTACACACTAGGCCTAACTTCAACTGGAATTCACCCAAACCTTGCCTGGAATAACCACTACACAGGTCTTGACGATTTCAGTGGCTTGTCCGTAAAAAACGCCAGATCCAACGGCTGTCGTCCATTTTGTTTTGTTAATTATGTAAATGCATGCATCACGTGATGACATCGAAAAAAATCTGCGCGATGTATGTGGGTACCACACCACACCGCTTTCAGGCGCCGCAAGTGTGTTCAGTTTTCGTCTGGTGCGTTGTCGCGGAAAGCAAGACAAGGAGAATGCTTTCCACCAAAGGGAAAAATTAGTGATGGCCAGATATGAGAATCTTTCCCAGCATTCTTTCCTAAATTTTTACCAGTTTACGAAGGCATGGCATTGGCATTGGTTGGGGGGACCTAAGCTTTGGTAGCACCAGTATCACAACTTGAGTGATGGCACTTAGTCCCTATGATAATAATGCCGTGAACAGGAGTGTCGTCGAACTTATGAATATTTGAATTATATCGTCAGACCTCCTAAAGCTACGCGCTCCTATTTCTACGCACCCATGAATAACTTATATTTTGCAACACGTGCATCCCAAAAATAACATACTTTCACTCTGATCATATCCTTTTATGCACAAACTTTAACCAGCAGTCGAAAAAAAATGTGGAATGAGAAAGTTTTACCAGGAATAAAGGCAAAACATGAAGAAAAAAAATCTGCTTTTTACAGCTAACGGTACATCCAATTACTAACTACAAATGCAGAAGATGCTTCCGGGCCTGCAGAGGTTGAAAATATGACTGTACAGTGACCTTTCTTGGTCTCCCACTGTCGTCAGTATTATAGTTAACATGTCATAGATAATACTTTGCAGTGTCTACAGAGTTGTAAAACTTATGGTGCAACCAAAAGACACGTTTCTTATATTGTATTGGATTTTTTGTCATAACTATTGAAATCTGACATCTTGACAGTTGTCTTTGTTGACTGGGATGATCAAAACAACAATATTAAAGTGGGCTCTACATTAAAAAAGGTAAAATGTATAAAATGCACCTATGTAAATATGTAAATATAGACCTTTGTATAAATTAACAATTGTCTATTGAGGGTTCAACCATTATATTGAAATTAATCTTATATTGGCATTGAAAAGAAGAAAGGAAAAAGAAAGAAAATGTTTGAAAAGCTCAAGGAAATATTTTCCTAAAACCTAGGGGTCTAACTCATTACAAAATAGACATAATGCATGTATTGAGTTTATACATGTCCCGGACAGCACAGATTTTTCATGAAGCGTCCCCTGTGTAGAATTAGGCAGGATTTTTTCTACAACGCCAAAACTGCACGCTATGGAATTGCCTGCTTGCTGCCACAAATAAAGAGATTTTGCTTTGTTAATCGTTATGGTGGATGATCGTAAGCCAACAATATAAGTTTTGTTGAGGAAAAGAGTGGTTGCTATTTTTAAGCTACTTGGTTGCAAAGCCTTATCTGCACAGAAATAGGAGGATCGAGGATACATAGTACCTGGCCACCTGTCCCGCGCATCACGTGTTAACAACTACAAACTCATGTGTACATGCCCAAGGCCCAGCACGGTCACAGGTTCAATACGTACTTACAGGGTGTAATGTCATGACTCATGTATGGTATAATGTACATATACATGTACAGTCGTTTTCCTAGTTCCGGATAGCAAACATCATTCAGACTGCTTCGGCTCAACAACTCCACGAATTCAAGTGACACTGGTTAAAAAGGTTACCTTGAGTAATGGAGATACTTCACAATAATTGTCCCAATTTAAGCTCTTTTTATTTCAATTTTACAACGTCACAATTACCAATGCCACTATTCCTAGTTCCAGATCGGTTAAATCAGTTCCGAATCGATCAAAAACTCCTTCGTGCAAAAAAAAATTCACGTGAGTAAATCAATTTTCTCAGCCAGAACAACCCTAAATCAAGCACAAATATAAAGGATTATTTCATTTTCCACAAAAGTTCATGAAAGAGAATTCCAGCAAATTTTAAAAAGAGAAAAAAGTTAAATTAATTGAAACTTTTGTCTGCAGCCCAACGGCACGGACTCACGCACAGACTGAAAACCTTTGACCCAGCACAGAATACATCACGCCAAATCGATTAACGCGATCCGGAACTAGGCAACTAGGCAAAAACATGGTCATTCGTTTGTGAAATTCCAAATATTAGAGACTCTTCAACTTATTCTGGTTCAACAAACATTCATTGGAAGAGTTTATACGACTGTAGTGTATGAACAAAATATGCGAAATCACACGGTACGAGTGATGTAATGAGGAGAAAATTTATCATCGATTCCCAGCTCCCGTGATTTTCTAGAAACGGTCCAAACATGTCAAAGCGCGAGTTAGAAATCTCACTAAAATTCTTTTTTCTAAACATTTTATCCAAAAGATCTGTGTGTATCAAGAAGCTTACATTTTCTTTTTCAAAATTATCGGAGACTAATCCAAAAGAGGTAGGTTTTTATTTGAAGTGATCCGGAACTAGGAAAAATCCAGAACTAGGAAAACGACTGTACTACTACTCAGGCCTGCTACTACTCGACCCTATAACCAGTTCCGTCCCATTGCCAAACTATGAGTTATTCGTAGTTATGCTGTATGAGATAACTCATTACTGGCATACCAGTAATTGTCTGATCAACTGCATCCCATTGCCAACTACAAGTTATCTCATAGACGTTTTTTTCACCGTAGACTTATTAGAACTGAACATAAACGTAACAACCCAAAAAAGCTATATAAATATGTGTCAGCAGTCAACATGTTAAAGGGTCGTATAGATGTATCCCTCTCCACTCACATTATCATCAATACATAGATATGTCCCTCAGTCTCCAATCATAAAGGTCCCCCTCTCCTTGCATCTGTCCAGTGATACTTGCTAATGTGGACTCTAAATGTACTCAATGTGGTGGTACAATAGCATTATTTTAATTTTTTCAACAATTTTTCAGTTACTATTTTAATTGAGAAACATTGCATATTTTGAATTGCTTTGAAACCATTAGTTTGAGAAGCCAGGCCGACGTGCAGACTTTGACTACCCAGATATGGCTAAGGAGGCTGGCACCAAGGCCCTGCAGGATGCTGGTATCAAGTACAGTGATGTGGAACAAGGTGTGGTGGGGTATGTGTATGGAGACACAACCTGTGGCCAACGTGCTATGTATCAACTGGGAATGACTGGTATTCCTATATACAATGTAGGTTGATCGTTGTAGTTGCTTTGTGTTACCATTTAGAACTTCAGACTTATGAACGTTCAGGTTGAATTAGGGGTGTGCATCGGAACCAGGTACCAGAGTAACTGACTGCTGATGTTAGGAACTGGTTCCACCTTCACGAATTAGTTGGTATCTCTTCAGACAGTGAAAAGGGGGAAAAAAGGACTTTTTGCTATCCCCACAGCGTAGAGTGGAGTGTATGTCCCCACAACTGCAGAACAAGAAGGTGTGCACTGTTTTTATTTAACCTGTAAAAAAAGTTAGAAAAGTGTCATGTGTGGGTCAAATAGGACTAATAAGAGAACCAAAAGTCAATAGATGCTACATTTTATTAATGCCCTGGATTTTTATGTAATTTTAATTAAATTTTCCCAATGTTTTATGTTGTTCATGGATTTTTTTAGGGGGGGGGGAGTAGATCAGTAATTCTTCTTTGGTTTGACTGCTGTTTTTTAAACTTGGTAGATTTATTCCTGGCAGGTTAACAATGCGTGTGCCACAGGTTCTTCTGCCTTGTTTCTGGCCAAGCAATTGGTTGAAGGAGGGATGGCTGAATGCGTTATGGCACTGGGATTTGAGAAAATGCAACGAGGTTCACTGAAAGCACAGGTATGTATGTTTTCAAACTGCAAGAATAGGTCTGTGTTGAATAGCAGTTGAACACTAATATCATCTATTTATATTTTCTATTTCAGCTTAATCTGTTGTTGCAAACACTTTTGTTACACCTTGTACTATCACTAAGGTAAATTTCTCAATGCCGAGAAAAACAACATGTTGTTTATACCACGGCCGAATTTGGCCGCAACAGTGACTGGCGTGTTATTAGCATATTCATTAGCATGATTCGGCATGACTTCACGTTGGTCTTGGTATCGACCAATGGAAGCCCGCCAAAAAGGTTGACTTTTATTAATTAATAACTCGTGAAGGAGGGGGTTGTACAAATTTGTTCTGCACACCATATATGGATAGGAACCTTATTAATATGAGTGAGGCTTGAAAAGATTGACAGATATTGCAAACACCGTTTGTTACAGCTTTGACAAATGGAGGTACCCAAGCCTATATTTCCAATTTTAATGAAAAATACTGAACATGTCAAAACGATTTTTAGCACATAATTGGATCATTATAAGGGAAACAAACTCCCAAAGTGGCATGAAAATGCGGTCTTCAAAACAGGAGAAATTTATGCTCAAGAGATTTTGCCCACAAACATCAAAATGTTCTGAAGCAGTAATTTGAGCTTGTTTATTAAGTATTACATTTATTAAGTATTACGTAGCCCTTACAAATCAGCCTTTGCAACCGTAAGGCTGGGTATATAAGAAATGAAGTACTTGAAGGACCGCTTTTAATGACATAGTAACAAATGCATAGCATCCCTTTTTTGTGACTCTGAGTTCAGATTAAAGAGTTTGGAGAGGGGATTTGACTGTGCTGCAAAATCCCATGCACCCTTTTGTAAGTTTTGCTTTCCAAGGGTACAAAGTTTTCCAAATGCTGTAAAATTCTTAAAACTCGCTGGTAGAAAAAAAATACAAGAGGGCTAGGGTTAACAAATTAAACCCGCTGATTCCAAAGTCCAATAAAGATGAGTCCTCATTGTCAGGTATTGTGTTAATATTTCTATTTTATTTAATCTGAATCAAGTATGGTATGAAGTTATCTTATCTGTAATTCAAGGCTGGCTAGCTGGACTTTGATACGTGTCTATTTAGTTTACGTTCTACATTGTTGAAGTTCTACAAATAGTTTCTGATTCTGAATGCCAGCTTGGAATTGTGACACAGTTCTTTGTCTATAAGTGATGATGTGGCAATTTTGTATTTTAAAATAATCTTTTTCTCCAACTGAAAGCAGCATACACCCCAGCATTCTGTTACTTATGATATGTTTTCCCCTTTTTATTTTTTTTAGTGGGAGGGCTTAATTATTTCAACTAAATAACTTCCAACTCTGCATCATTGAAAATTAAAATTTCTGGTGTCTTATATTTTTACAAGCACCACCCTGTCCTCCCATATACATTGCAGGTGGTTGAAGTCATTCCTGTCTGTTGCTAATGATAGCAGTTTAAAACTAACTTTTTCCCCCATATATCTCAGTTTGAGGACCGTACCAACCCAATGGACAAACATGTTGAGGTCCTTCTGAACAACCATGACCTGCAGCCTGCTCCAATCGCTGCTCAGATGTTTGGCCAAGCTGGCAAAGAACACATGCACAAATATGGTAAATCTTATTTGTGCTTGATATGAAATCTAATTGCATGGTAGTTCATATATAGTGTGCAGATACAAATGCTGTTAGTCTTTTTTGTTAAATAAGCAAAAGACCAAGACATGTTAGGGCCATTTTTTTGGTCTGATTTTGTTAAATACTTTTTAGCTGGCTGCGGACAGCAGCTCAACAAATCGTTGTGTCTCTCCATTAGTTAGTTAGTTAGTAACAAACGTTCCAGCGCAGCCTTTCATGGGTATATCAAGTCCTCCCTCAGTCTCTGGCAAAGGGTATTCATCAACTGGTCCCTCAGGGCCGGGCCCTCTTTTGTGTCACTTTTATGGGTCTCCATTGACCGCCTGCCAATTTAATACAGTTCTGTAAAAAAAACCTGGCTTTCTGTGGGAGGGGAGAGTTGCATTAACAAGGTCACTGCACAACACAGCTTCCGAGATCATTTCAAGCTTGTTTTTCCAACTTGTAAGATTACTCCAAGATCAGGGTTTCTTTGTCACATTTCATGTTTTTGTGGAAATTTTTAATATTTTTAGTATATTGCTTATCAAGTATGATACCTGTATTAATTAATTTAAAATGTCACTAAAATAATGTTTATATGATTGCACCTATTCTTGTTTCTTTATGTATCATCAACAAAATGTTTATGAACACTTTCATGTAAGCTCATGACTATGATAATGTGATTAATACTTCAGATAATATTCTTGGTGCCTTTCAGGAACAACAGCAGAACAAATAGCAAAGATTGCATACAAGAACCACAAACATTCCACAAACAATCCGTAAGTCTTAGTCATAATCAATAAACCCTTGTTTTTTAATCAACCGTCATTAATTGAGAGATATTTCATTTTGAGGAATATTAATGTGTTTGTCTATAGATACATGTCTTTGTTCGTATGAGGTAGGCTTTTAAAAAGTCATTTTAATTATCAAAATATTGCGTTATCTATAGCTGCCAGGTGTCTTTCAATTTTGTTGACAGGTATTCACAGTTCCAAACAGAATACTCTTTAGATGACATCCAAAAGTCGCCAATGGTTTCCGAACCACTCACCAAGTTACAGTGTTGGTAGGTGAATCTGATTTTTTGCTGTCATTATCAGCCTGCTGTCATTATCTTGTCTCATCATGGCTTTATAAGGCATATGGCTAGCAAGTCATTGGAGGAGACCATGACACTTGTGGAAATGAATGATTGACTAGCAATTTCATTGAGAAAATGACTTTGTGGAAATTATTGTTTCAAAACAATAAATATAGGGGAAAGAAAATACTCTTTTTTCCACCAGCCCGACATCAGATGGAGGTGCTGCAGCTGTTTTATGCAGCGAAGACTTTGTACGGAAACATAAGCTGCAAGGACAAGCAGTGGAGATAATTGGTATGCAGATGGCTACAGATCTGCCCAGCACGTTCGAGGAAAACAGCGTCATGAAAATGGTATGAATTTAACTACAGACAGGGCCATATTAAATGGTTTCTGTAATTCTTATGTCATTGTTTCATCAGCCCTGTGTAAGTTTATGAATTATCTCTGTTTAGTCGGGGGGGGGGGGGCCTGTTTTGTATTTGTAAGCACTGTATAATATTTGTTGCTTCCAGATATATTTTATATATATATTTTGAAATATAAAATAAACATAATCAGAACACTTCAATTTTTAACTGTGTCAGTTTCAGAATTATAGTAAAAATTTGGAAGCAGATTGTCCAATTTTGCAAAACTTGGGCGTTGGTGTACTTCATTTGAATATTTTTACTTCTCAGTGATTTTTCAGCATTGAGGAAAAACTGTGTACAATGGAAAGTGGTTTGTTCAGAGTTTGAATTTGCCAATCAGTAGGTGTCCAGATGCTGTGAAAACACAAGAAAGTGAGTAAGCAGAGGGGCTCGGAGGTCCTGGAATGTATGACAAGTGTCACTAATTGATCTCATGACCGCAGTGCAAGAACTATAGGATCTTTAGAGGTCCTAGAACGTGGTCAGTTAGACAGTTTGAGAGGTGCTGAAACGGGATCCAGAAGACAAGGTTTCTTAAAAGCCTGAGGACGTCCACAAAATAATATCATCTATGTAGCTCACATTCAAACTCTGTTTGCCAAACATTCCTAATTTAGTTTATTCACAGAAATCTATGAGTAGCAAACAAGAGTGAGGAGTCCATGTTGTGCATTCATGATATCATAATAATTGGTCTCTGAATCTGTCTTTGAAGGTTGGATATGACATGACCAAGAAAGCAGCAGATGAGCTTTTTAACAAGACAGGAATCCGCCCCACAGATGTCCATGTCGTTGAGCTCCATGATTGCTTTGCCGCTAATGAGTTAATTACATATGAAGCACTTGGTCTGTGTCCACCAGGTATGTTTGTTATATCACGGGTGAATGCAATACAAAATATGATATGATAGAAAGTTGAATGTCGTAGACATTGCACCATTGCCGAGTTAGTAAAATGTGTTATTATATATAAGCAAATCTAAAGGTCGGTTGGAAAAATTCTGGGTGTCACGTTTGATTGTCTCTAGCTTTTTTAGTCAGAGAAGAATGAGGATTTCCAAGATGTACTGTCCGTGCCGTTTAGCAAATGTGATTTTTTTTTTCTTCCTAACAAATTTTCAACTTTTCATGTTTTATTTTAACCCCCCGAAAATGTTTTGTTCTATTTTGAACATTTGCATGGACATCTACATCTCTCAGGGAAAAAAAAAAACCAAGGCTTTTATGTTGGGATGCTGTTGCACACGAGCAGATCTGCCTTTTGTGTACACTACGTTATCGATGCTGAGAGAAAGCAGGAACCTGTCCATAAATAAACTTGTGCCATTTGCTTTTTGTTCATGGTCTTATTAAAATACAAACGACTACATTTTTTTCAGGGTGAAATTCGAATACAAAATCCACCGAACTTGATTTCTTAACGCGTATCTTTGTAGATTTACAATGTATAATTACTACTTATACTTTGTTGTTTGCAATGTTCTTATGTGCTTGATCCCTATTACAAATGTACTTTGTGGTTTGGTTGGTTTTTCTCATTTACTTGCTCAATTTCTCACCATACTTGTGTTTGTTATAGCATTTTTGCTTGTGCAATGTGCATGGTTGTTTAGTTTTTCCTTTTCTTTAAAGGTAAGGCCGGTGAGCTAATTGATGAAGGAGATAACACCTATGGAGGGAAGTACGTCATTAATCCTAGTGGTGGTCTCATCTCTAAGGGCCATCCACTAGGTGCAACAGGTGAGCAATCCTGTGTATTAGAATTAGAAGCAATTGACGGCTTGAACATACCTGAAATGTATTGTAAAAAAAAATTTAAAATGGAAAGGGCCTGGTAAAATAATATATTCTCATACGTTGAGGTCAGAGTGATACACTTATGTGTAATATTAATAGCATTGTTTGTTTGACAAGTTTGAATAAGGGAATAAATGTGTGATTGGGGGGTATTAAACACTCTTTAAGACCGGTTGGAGTCTCGATGCTGATAATTACCCGAGCCGAAGGAGAGGGTAATTATCAGCATCCAGACTCCAATTGGTCTTAAAACTAGTGTTTAATACCGACCAAGCACATATTTGTACCCATTCATAAATACCTTTTCAGTCAAAGAAATAAAAAGTTTTCGGTCCACAAGAGTAAAAAAAAAATCAAAAATTATAAATTTCCTATGATTTCGTTCAACAAAACACCCCTCTAGCTATACAACGGTAAGGCCCTCTGGTAAACAACTCCTTTTATGGAGATTAGCACGCCCGCGTCGCGCATACTGAGTGATGTCGCGCAGAATGCAGATGTTCTGGTATAGTGTGAACTATGAAATATTGACTCACTGGTAGTATTGCGCATGTCTATGTGAGGATTGTGAAGGTTCAACCAATATAATGGTGCTGGCACCGGATTTCATAGGAGTCTTCATCAAATGTTTAAGACCGGCCACGAGACGGGCTCTCGACCAGTAGGAATGGGTAAACTGTCTGAAGTATTTTTGAATACTTATTATCACCCTCTTACTTTTGCTCTGTACACTACAAGATATACAACTTTACAATGTTGTCCCTTTTTTGCTTGTGAAGACATTTACTGTTAAACTTGATTTCCTGAGTTTGACACTCAAACTTGATGGTACTGCTAGCCTATTCTATGTGACTTTTGTATTAAAACCAGCAGAAAATACATACTTCATAAACAAAAGGTAGACTTGCAAAGACTCAACATACTCCCCATATGGTTTGTATTAAGAATTGACACAGACTCCAGAAGTGGATCCAGGTTGATTAATTTGAGTGGAAAACAATAGGGACAGAGGAGCTGCAGCCCTGATATTGTCTGCCAGCAGTTTTGTCAGCTTGTTTTACCACTAGACTTTGTTATTGCACCTCTAGCCTTAGAGCTGTAATTCATACTAAACACCGAGTTTCAGCTTGCTTCTGGGCTTGCCACATGCTTGGACTTCAGGTGAAAAGCTTGTCTTTTTTTGGTGTCTCAGTTAAGATGTATCAATACAAACAAATTAAGATTAGAGACTGTCTGTGCTCTTCAACATATTTGTTGTTTTTTAATTGCGTGATTCATTTTAATGCAACACACAAACCATAATGGACCCTCCCTACCTTATCAGTGTCAATAGCGAAGGGGGAACAAGTGTACCCCTCGAGAACCTTGTCAGACCACAAATAATTCGAAAGTTGTTTAATAGAAAGTATTCCACAACTACATGTGGATTGATTCTTTGATGGCTCATTCAAAAGTGAATTACTTTTGTATTACTAGAAACATGGCAATTTTGTTTGTGGTGAAACTTAAAAACAACTTCATATAGTTTGTTATCACCATGACAACAGTCCTTTATTATGGATTTTTATGGATTACTTGATGTACGTTTTGTTCGTGTTGCATAATCTGTAGATCAACTTCATAAACTGTTCACAAATATGCTCATGAATGCAAAAAAAAAACAACTGAAAGGTATACATTCAGAAACAATTGCAAACAATGTATGAACCTTGTAAGAGTTCATAAATGATTTTCAAAAATTATCACACAAATTGTGCAAAAAAAATTATTACATTGACATTTTATGTGTAAGTGGAACGACATGGTTTTACTCCATTTCAGACGTGCTATTCTGTGGCAATTCTTGTTCTGAATTTACCAAACTAGACACTTGGAAAGAAGTCTACCTGGACATCACTTGACAGTCTGTGCACAAACCCTATGAGACTGGTCTGAAAAAATCTAAGTGTTTCACAGTAAACGCTTCAATATTTTCCCTGCTGAAATTTGACTTTTTAGGACATGTTATTGCTTTCTGATGGCTGCATCATTGCAGGGAAAATTTAGTGATGTCCATGTATGGAATTCTTTCCAAACATTTTATATCTGGTAAGACGTAGAACGTGTATACAGGGACAAATCAGCTGTTGGAACAAGTGAGATTTTTTCCATGTGCCGCGGCGTGCATACGAAGGGCGAGGGGCACGTGGTCCGTCCCCCCCCCCCCCCCCCCTTTAATAACTTCGCCCAAAATTTGAAAACATTTTCTCTGAGAATCATTTCGTTAGATCAGTTAAGGAGAATACACGAGAAAGTGTGGATTCGTAATTTAAGAATCTACACTTGCGAGTGTATTCTTTGACTTAAACTCATTGCGTCAACAGAAATTGAAAAGAATATAATGTTGCAACCTGACGACACTTTTTCCTTCATATATTATCTCAATGCAGGTCATTCGTTGCAAAAATGATGATAATTAGACATGAATCTGGGACTGAGAAATGTTTCCAATTTTGTTAGGAAATGACTCTCCATAGACTTTGTACACAAGCGCGGAAGTGGCGTCAGGTTGCAACATTTTTTCCTGGCGTGTTTAGCATGCGTATGCCACACGTACAGCCATACAACCAAGTCATTTTGTGTGTGTAGGCTCCTTACGTGAAAATGGATAGTTCAGACGACGATTTCTTTCTGACTAGATTTTGCAGTGACGGCGGAGAATCTGACAGTGAAGATGCATTGGTAATTTCGGAAAGCAAATTTTCACGCAGACGGTCCTATTCATCATCATTATGGAGAACAATTGTACCTTGTAGTTCAAATTAACTCCCGAACGGTCCACCATGCAGGGACTAAACTGGAAGTTGACGAGAGTGGATTAATGTCTAGCGGGGGCTGTAATGTTTTTGTTGGTTTTGGATGGAGCTTTTGAAGGCTGCAGAGGAAGCTATACTATTAATAGTTTATCGTTATATAAACGTGGTCTTTGGTTTTGCCCCCTTTTCTGTACTTTGTTCAAGCGCTTTAACTTAATAAGGGAAGAACTCTCCACCCGATTTTGTGCCCAATTTTCCGACACCACGTTTTAACGCTTGGACTTGGTTACACGTTGACACGTACACAGATAAGATCCACGATACGAGGCTTGCAACAAAGTTTCTGACTCGACGAGTGCCTGCAGCGCTGGTCGGGTTTTGAGGCAACTCGGTCCCACACCAACTCGGTCCGAGTCAATTCGATTCCACGTCAACTCGGTCCCAGTTTAACTTAATCCCAGGTCACTTGTGATGCTCTAGCATAAGGCGTGGAAGGGGCGAAAATCGTATTGCGCCATGTTTAAATTATAGGGCATATTAAAAATTATCCGACCTGTGTAATCGTGTCCGAAACATTAAAAATACACACGAGTCTATGACTGAGAGGTAGCTGCAGCCACTGTCATAGACACGTGTAATTCAAGCCGTAGACAAGTACTTCAGAACGGACACGGCCGGCCTTGCCTTGTTTGCGTGCAATACATTTATTTTTTCCCTATGGACCGAGTGGATTTGTGACCGAGTTGACCTGGGACCGAGTTGACCTGGGACCGAGTTGGCTTGGGACCGAGTTGAGCTGGGACCGAGTTGACTTGGGACCGAGTTAACTGGGACGAGTTGGCTAAGACCAAGTTGATTGGGGCTGAGTTTGAACAAAGGTCACATGTGGGCCGCGCTGCTGTGGCATGCATGGTACCGGCAGGGCTAGGCTATCGGCTAGGGCAGATCAATTATCGCGTTGAATCTTTGGCTGTGTCCTTTTGCGTTTCTGCAAACTACTGCAAGGTAACGTGCTATTTGGTTTGGTTAAATGTCGGGACAGTGACCTCATCCCGTGAAAAATGTAGCGATGTTTTTTTTTTCTTTCGATATTAAAATGTCGACATGATCCGGAAAGCTACCTCCACCATGTCCACACAGCTAGCTGGACAGGCCCCGGCGCGGCTCGGCGGCCTGCGCGGCCCGGGGCATGTCGGGCGGACGGGTACTGCCTTTATCCATGGAGGATTCCTCCATGCTTTATCTAGCCCCATAAATGTGGCCTATTTACTGGACTGCCTCCGTAAACATAGGCCACACATCCACATGTACAAAAATCGTGTCGACTTTGCCAAATTTTGATTTTCACATTTAGGCTTAGTTTGTAGGGTTTTTTTTGCTTTAGAAGCATACTCACCCTCTTTATAGGCTAATCAGAAAGTGCTGCCTTTTTCAGATGTATATTTTTCGTGAAATTTCCTGATTCATTTTTACACGTTTGTGTATCAAAATTTCAACATGAAATTTCACAAAAATTAGACATCTGAAAAAGGCAGCACTTTCTGACTAGCCTATAAAGAGGGTGAGTATGCTTCTAAAGCAAAAAAATCCTACAAACTAAGCCTAAATGTGAAAATCAAAATTTGGCGAAGTCGACACGATTTTTGTACATGTGGATGTGTGGCCTATGTTTACGGAGGCAGTCCAGTAAATAGGCCACATTTATGGGGCTATGCTTTATCATACGATTTATTGGTACAAGTCGTGTGCATGTATAGTGTACATTGTATAAAAAGTTATATCCAGGTACGTTGCTGCCGTGAAGTGTAACATAATATGGACAATGGTGACTGTATATGGGCCTTCAGGTGCATAGCGAGCCCCATAGTGTGGGGGGGGGGGGTAAGCTAAGGGGGGAGGTCAGGCCCGTCTGATTTTAGACCCGTGAACATGGCTATATACATAGCCACGCTTCAATCTATAGTTAAAACACTCCACTGTGATCCACGGTTACTGTGATCGACTGACCGTTCTAGCCGAATTTGACACAATATTTGCATACAAAAATGAGTTGCACAGAAAATCCAGCAGAATATTTTTTTCGGCAGAATTATGTAGATGAAGGACAGTGAAAAAGATTAGAGAAATATGGGCACATTTGGTTTGAAAACCTTCGGTTGTTTTTAAAGATTTCTGAAACACACCCTTACACAATGGCAGTGATTGGCACAGTAATATAAACTGGGTGATTGGCAGAACTTTCGAAGTATATTTAGCTGAATTTTACATGGTATTACGGTCATCCTGCCATGTAAGACTGTTAGTCGGGTACCCACTGGTGGGACTCCTACCGTTTTGCGCATGTGGAACTCGGGGTACCATAGTGTCATGCCTGTCTTTGATTTTCTGATCATTTTGAAAGCATTCGTTGTGACAAAGTTGTGCCGTATTTTACTTCGAATTTCTTGACAATGACAGATCCAACACTCGCTTAAATTCACAGGAAGCCTAACAAGTAAGTGATTTACCTATGGGCAAAATTATACGTGGTTATATGTAGCGGATCAAAAGATATGATTTCGCTTGTATTTATGCGAGGGAAGCGCGTGGCATTGTATAGGCCTACAACGCCACGTTCTCGGGTCTAGTCTGATTTTGTTTGTGTCTGATTGTTGGGGACAGACGGACATATTCATTTAATGATGTAGGTAATTATTATACTATATAGGCCCCCTAATTGTTATATTTTTTATTTTTTTTAGGTGTCGGAGCGGGGGAGATTTTCGACCCCCCCCCCCCACCCCCTCTAGATCAGCGCCTGGCCGTGTTCTAGTACACTAATCGGAAAGATTCCCATACCTGGCCATCAATAATTTTTCCCTGCAGTGACCTATCAGCCATCAGAAAGCGATGACATGTCCTAAAAAGTCAAATTTAGCAGGGAAAATGTTGAAGTATTTATTCTGAGAAAACACTTTTCAAACCAGTCTCATAGGGTTTGTGCACAGGGTGACAAGTGATGTCCAGGTATGGAATTCTTTCCCAGTAATCAACTTATCCCCAACATGTCTCAAGTACTGCTGGACTTATTGGTGTGGTGTCATGAAAATCAGACTCCGTGAAAATCGGACTCCTTTACCCTTTAGTTTTTATGCCCCGCGGCGAAGCCTAAGGTGCATACTGTTTCTGCTTTTCCTTCCGTGGGTGGGTGTGTGTGTGTCCGGACAAATCTTGTCAGAGCGATAACTTGAGAAATACTTAACATATGAACTTCAAATTTGGTTTGTGGATTGTTCTTGGTAATCCTAAGAAGCCTATTGCATTGAAGGCCGAAAGGTCAAGGGTCAAGGTCACAGCGGCTAAAACAAAAGAAATTTTGTCAGTGAGATAACTTGAGAAATACTTTACATGTAAACTTCAAATTTGGTTGGTGGTTTTTTTTTTTATAATCCTAAGAAGCCTATTGTATTTGGGGCCGAAATGTTGAGGGTCAAGGTCACAGTGTCTAAAACAATAGAAATCTTGTATTTACTCTGAGATCATAGTTATTAATTCATATAAAACCTACAGAAAACACTAATGATATAAGATTTGAGGCTTTGCATGGTGGGGTATCGGTATCGTTTTGGTTTGTGGTAACACCATGTGGTAATAACTACTGCTTAGATTTAACTTAAAAGATATTAGTTCCGAAAAGAACTTGTCCTGCTTATTATCAACTTTGCTCAGTAGTTTTTTGGTCTGTTAAGAACAGTCCTGCTGTAAGTTCTAAACGAACTTGTCTTTGGTCTCAACGTTTCGACTAGCCTGCTCTACTCATTGTCAGGAGACTGAAGATAGTTGGAGGTGCTACTCCTTAAGTAGGATTGGGAGTGCTTGCTGGGCATGCCCTGCTCGCTCGAGTGTGTTAGTTGAAATTGTTAGTTTTTTCAGTCAGTAGTGTCGTAATTAAGCGTATAATTCAAGGATCTGTTTGCCCTTTTCTTTTCTTGTTATCAATATGGTGGGTTTTTTTTTGTAAGGGTGGCATAATGCTATGCCCCAATTTATAACATATTAGCTCAAGTTGTCTACTGACACTCATTCAAATTGTCCATGTTTTGTCGACCGTATACTAAAAATGGACTCTCCATGGCAAACTCTTGGTGGCACACTGAATTGTGAATCGCCCGAATTAGTCCGTATTTCATGGAAACCTAAATTCACGCAACACCAGACATTTGGGACTCTCAATACTGTGTGTGATAGTATTATGAGTATGAGAGTCTCAAAATTTCAGATTCATTCCAGTCTACAATGGTCTTTGGAAAGAAATTGTTTAGGAAAGCCCGAGTTCGGCATTGCAGGGGGGCAGTTCCGTAAATTCGGACATACATGTACGACAGTTTAAAGAGCTTCTGTTGGTAGTGTGAATGTGATACATTACTAATGTGTGACATCTAATGAAGAGAAAACAATTACAGGCCAAACAAATGTACTATTACCTTTACAACGTGGTAAAGTCATGTGGTTGGACGTCAAAAAGAAGCTGAAATTTACAGAATTGCCTAGGGGAGCATATCATTGGTCGTTTCTGTTTCTTTGGATTCTATCGACAATGTTGATGTAGTGGAGGATGTCAACTGCAATTTCCTGATGGATCATGGATAGAGCAATAAAATGGTTTGAGTCTGCTGATCTTTGTATGTTGTTGCAGGGTTGGCCATTGGAGGTTTTGTAACATGTCCGTTACACTTGAGGCTCTTTGCTAGTCACCCGAGACAAATCTTGCTGCCCTCCAAGCCTCCACTGGACTTTTTCCAATTTCTTAATTTTGTTCAAAGGTAGAGTCCATCATTTGTAATTTGTGCATTATGATCTTTGAAGCAACCAAAGTGCTCAGAATCTAAAGAAGGGTGCTGCCAATGAAGTTTTAGCTCAGTGAATGCTGTATATTCCGAAGAAAAAAAAACATTTTCTAGGATCTCAATTTCAAATCAATAGTTGCTGAGTCCTGTTTTGAATTGCGCCCAATTCAGCGTCCGGGACACATTTTCTTTTAGCCGATTGCAGCTACACGAGGTCGCGCACTGAACCAGCGAATTATAGCAACCGCGCGCGTGTGCATTGTGTCAACGCTTCGCTGAATTAAAAATGAACTTGAGACGCATGGTTAGAAAGGCCCAGACTGCTCTGCATACTCTAATTTTGGTCGATTCAAGGTCCAATTTTGGTCCAATCATTTTTATACGCTGCCTCACGTACACCAGAATCACATCTGGAAAGATTACGTCTTGCAAAACCTAGTGTTCTGTTTACACTGCAGACTATTTGGTTTATGTACCATAAGTAATCTTTGGAGATTTCACTTCCTAAATATGGGTGGTTGGATACATCAGTAAAGTTAGTGTCCAGTGTCCACCGTTTCGTAGGTATAGTTTTGATGCACTTCTACATCTTGTCATGTGGAGAGTATGACACTTGTGTTAGTTGAAGGACATATGCTACTGGCAAGACCAGGCTACTAGACTATCCAGGTCTTTTTGTATTTGTTGCTGATGATGGGGCTGAAGATGTGAGAGAAGAACAGGCTGTCAGCAGCAAACAATTTTGAGCAGAATTGTGTGTGCGTTCGCATGCATGCATGAAACATGTATAATCATTAAATGTGTTTACGGCTCACTGGTCTAGTTTCTGTCACTGGTCTAGTTTCTGTACGAAGCCATCTATTATTATTGACATGCTTTTTGTCATGTGCTTTTTGTCATGTGCTGCGGTCTAGTTGACCTAAGATATGTCAGAATAGTCTGAATCTTTTGGTCTGGGAATCAGACTATACAAAGGCCATACCATCTTGCGTGAATTATCCCAGTAATAATGTCTTGCACCAAGACTACTCCTTTGACTTTGTGCACATTCACCAATGCGGCATGAGGGTACTACATTCTTCCCATTACCTTCTCAATAGACTCTTTACTTAAACTTGTTGACATTCACACTGAATGTCACAAAAGTGATATGATTTCAAGTATTAATGTACTGGCTAAAAGCAGAGTGTTAACATTATTTTTTTTGCAAGGGGCAATTCAGAATAGTCAATGGTAAAAAAAAATGATCTTTTTTCGATATGTGGGTGAGTGGGTCAAAAGAAATAACTAAAATCGATATAATAGAAAAATGATAATAAAAGTAAAGGGGGAAAAACCAATATACCAAGCGGCCTCTTCGAAATCGTCTGTGCTGTTCTGTCTTTGCTGTTTTGATAGCCGACCTCCGCGTCTCAATGGTCCACCTCGTTCCAACGGTAGATAAATGGGGATACCAGGCATATGGGGACAAGGTTAGGTTTAGTGTCATCATTGAAGTGGACTTAATTACAAGTCAGTAATGGTTAGGTTCTTTTGGTACAACGCGCATTGGCCAATACGGCAGTACAACACGGTTTGGTACATCAGTGGCGCCCACTTAATGGTGAAGCCAGGCTTGAATTGAAGACTAGTGGAGCACTGACACGTTTTTGACACAGTCAACATGAACGGCATCATGCGTGTATTTTTGTGCGAGATCCCGCCTGATCTGCAACACTTTTGAACACAGCAAAAGCTAGTTACAACAAAGCCAAAATCACAATTTTATTGTTATGTTACTTTCATATCTTGTTTAAAGTTGTGAGTTAATGTATTCCATTTGTTGTGATGCAGGATTAGCCCAGTGTAGTGAGCTGTGTTGGCAATTGCGTGGTGAAGCTGATAGGAGACAGGTCCCTGGAGCCAAGCTAGCATTACAGCATAACATTGGACTAGGAGGTGCAGTTGTAGTTACACTCTACAAAATGGGATTTCCTGATCACCCTAGGTGAGTAGGTCCTGAAATAATTGCATTTCAAAAAGGGGAAAATCATTAGATTTATGCTATATCAGATTTGAACCAGCCAGCCGACCCTGGCAAGCTTGATGGTCGAGTGGTAAGACGTCTGTCCTAGTAAGCAGGAGGTAGTTACACCCAAGTAGTTTGTAAAATATTTTCCTTTAATCAATCATGACAATGCTGCATGTACCGGTACAGTGTTTATAAAAACAATGTTACATTGGTGATTAACTTTTGTAGCAAGAAGTACCTCATCGAGCTCCTGAAACATCACTACATAATTTGGTTTTGAAATTTTTATTTTTTATGTTTTCACAAACAACTCTAAATCAAACTATAATACTGATTTGTTTGCTGACTAATGTTTTATAGCCTGTGAGCTGACTTAATATGTTTTGCATATTATAAGGCCTTAAAGTAACTCTTATATATTTGAATGGTTATTGTTTACTTGACCATTTAGGACAACCAATTGCCATCCTCTTGCGTATTAGTGGGCCTATGTTTCACTGGATTATTAGCTAAACTGTGATGTGAATGCATGTTTGGTAGCCTTAAATTTACTGGTCTAATAGTATACAAATATTGAGTGGATCAGCATGGAATGGGAGGAATATTATCGCAAGGTAAAATCTGGACTTTTCCATTTCACGAGGCGAAGCCGAGTGAACTGGAAAATCCAGATTTTACCGAGCGATAATATTCCTCCCATTTCACAATTTAAAGCCACTCAATATTTGTTTTATATAACTGACATATAGATCCCTGTCATTTGATATATTTGAACTTTTATTTCAATACAAAATTGATGAAAAATGTATTTTTCTCTTCCAAACCACCCCTTCACGAAAATGTTTGAGCCCAACGCGGTAGTGCTGGCTCTTTGGAACAATACGCGCAACGCTGAACGCGCACACCAGCATGCATTTGCTCACAAATACTGCGTCATGAAACAAAAATTATCCTAATTGTTCAATAGTATTTCCCATTCCCCATGGGCAGATAGTACTTTTTGAGCCCTGGCGTGAATGTCAGTAATAACGAATGACATGTGATGTGAGTTCCACCAGTCAAATGACAAGGATCTGTATGTCGGTAAATATAAATTGATCTTTTGTCTGACAAGGACACGAATCCAGCCCAGGCTGACAGCAGCTGAGACGTTCCAGTGTGAACAATTGTTCAACCTCATCGCAGATCACTTGAAAGAGGTAAGACAGCAACCCTGAAGTCAACAACCCTGGCTGTTTTCTGAAGAGCACACCTTGTAAATGAAATGTAGCAAACCATGCTCTGCACAGCAAATTGTTGCCTGAAAGGAGTATTCATGTGAAGGGATATATTTCCTTTGCATTCTGCAGCTATCAATTTAGTAATGATGAATACACAGAGTTTTACCATGTTGTATCTCAAAGACTGGTGCGATGCAAAGGATCTTGGCAAATTAGAGGGGCTGTTCACTAAAGGATTTGTGATTTTTTGTGTGTCAGATAATGGAATTACAAGGGACTGTCCGTCCACTGTGCTATGCTGAGAAATTGAATGAAATACAAATTTTCCTTGTTGAAAGATTGTAAACATTTGAAAATTTTAACAGCGAGTACTGTTTTAGGCCAAAAAAAAAGTCTCCGGTTTCTGGTATGGAGCTTGCCCCAAAAGTGGTGCGGTGACGCGGCTTTTTTTTTTTTTTTTTTTTTGGCTTCAAATGTCGGCTGATGACCTCAAATGGTGCCCGACTAAACTTAGTGCAAATATATGGGAGTCCAGAGAGGCCACATAAAGCTTATTCTCGATCATAACCCCATCTAAAAACACGTTAAAATTGTGCAGCAGCAGAATTCCAGTCAAACCAGTGAGTTTGGCGGTTTTCAGACATCATCTTTTATTGAAAAAAAAACGTTTTCATTTTGCCGACACGCATGGCTACGGCAACGCGCACGCATACCAGAAACCGGAGACTTTTTTTTTTGGCCTTAGCTTCCTGTTGGCTCTTTCCATGGTGTTTCTTCAAGAAAGACAAGATTTGGTGCAGTGATATCATAAAATGTAAAGCATCCATGTTAAATCAATTCCTTTATGAGATTTGCTGTGCCTTAAATAAGCATTCTTTGTTTCTGTGCCTGTTTCTTACCAAAGGTGTAATATGAGGATTTTCGGTATGTTTCTATCAATAAACTCATTTACTCCAGTTTCAATGCATCATTGAAATATATTTGTCATTTTTCTTTTCTTGTATGATTGCTTCATTTCTTCAGGCTGGTGGTGACCTTGTTGAGAAGACCAAAGCCTCCTTTGGGTTCAAGGTTATCGATGGGCCTGGTGGTAAGACTGGATTCTGGGTGGTTGATCTCAAGACTGGTACGGGCAGTGTTAAACGAGATGTACAGGGTAAAAACACGCTTTGTTTTTGTCAATATATAAACTTACCACTTCATCCAATTTATAAAATGTTTTTGTTCCTAAATTATGGTGTTATGAGGTACATCATGGTGTGCAGATTGTAATTTGAATTTGGAGTATTCTTAAGAGGAGGTGAAATACAAGCAATGAAGTAATGCTGCTCTGTTTGGATTGATGCTTTTTGTGGCAAAAAGTGGTGGTCTACTTATCAGTCATTTATTTTGGTGATTTTTTTTCATCAATTTGATAATTTAGCAATTTGTACATCTTAATTTCTTTCCCATTTTTGCATTGCAGAAAAAGTTGACGTGACATTCACCATCAAGGATGCTGACTTGGTTCAATTGATGATGGGAAAGCTCCAGCCACAATCGGTAAGAGTCCTGACCATTCCTTTTATTACCGCAGTTGGCAAAACCAAGCAACAGTTATGGATGAAATTCTTGTTAATCTGTATCTTACCTCCTCTCTGGAAGTCTTCCCTCAAGCACTTCCAGTCAAACTGCATGTAAAAGATGGTTTTGCCCTTCACCAATGTAATTATAAACACTGTGTACTCAGTGTTGTACTACCAGAGTAGTTTATGAATGTTTTATTTTTCTCTCACAATCACTTGGGACGACACTGAGTATACAGTGCTTTTGAATTACGCCGGTGAAGGGCAAAACCGGCTATTGAATGGACACCATCCAACACAAATTCCATCTGATGAATTGCATGTAAAAGTGGTAACTGAAATCTCTTGTTAACATGGTTTCCTGCTGAACTGTATTACATTTGGCCACTCTTTTTAACCAGTGATGCAGCCATGGCCAGTAGTAATGGTGGAGTTATTTAGAGGGTAATGGCTTTGTATTGCCAGAATAGGTAAAACTTTTGTGCATTCATTGTTAATAAATTATCATGGTATTCTAAGATGTCTGGGCCATTCCGGTTGCAGTTTATGTACAGCGTGCATCTTCATCTTTTCTGTGCTGTTCTAAAATGCAAGTGTCAGGTCATGTGTGTGTGTGTGTCAAGTTTGCTTGAAGATAAATTCATTATCTCACTTGCGCTCTTGGAACAGAAAATGTAATGTGTTGGTGTTCCACGTGCACTTGGCCTTCAGCCTAGTGGCATATGGGACACAGAAGCACTGCATCATTCTGTGTTCCACTCACGCCTGTGGAATATTATCTAATAATACCCTCTGAGGTTTTCACCCATCACAGACATTATTTCATTAGCACTTATAACTCAGGGTTGCCCAAGCGCTTGTGAGAAAGATTCACAATCTTCTGATGGTGGGACTCGAACCCACCACCGCCTGCTTACTAGTCAAATGTATACTCAGGGCTGCCCAAGAGCTTGTGAGAAAGATTCACAATCTTCTCATGGTGGGACTCAAACCCACCACAGCCTGCTTACTAGTCAAATGTATACTCAGGGCTGCCCAAGAGCTAGTGAGAAAGATTCACAATCTTCTCATCGTGGGACTCAAACCCACCACCGCCTGCTTACTAGTCAAATGTTTACTCAGGGCTGCCCAAGAGCTAGTGAGAAAGATTCACAATCTTCTCATGGTGGGACTCGAACCCACCACCGCCTGCTTACTAGTCAAATGTATACTCAGGGCTGTCCAAGAGCTTGTGAGAAAGATTCACAATCTTCTCATGGTGGGACTCGAACCCACCACCGCCTGCTTACTAGTCAAATGTATACTCAGGGCTGCCCAAGAGCTAGTGAGAAAGATTCACAATCTTCTCATGGTGGGACTCGAACCCACCACAGCCTGCTTACTCTGTCCCTAAACTTGCGTACTTTACCTTTTTTATTTCAGGCATTCTTCAGTGGTAAACTCAAGGTGGCTGGTCAGATGAGGTTTGCTACCAAGTTGCAAGCAATCCTCCCAAAGGATATGGCAGTCAAGGCTAAACTTTGAGGTCACATAAACTAACAACTTGAAAACGTACACATTCAATGAAAACCAGATTTTCAAGCAGGAGGAAAATTCAAACAATTATGAGAACTCATTTAAGATTTTAACTCATTAATTTGTGTCCATGAATGGGTAATGATGGAAAAACGTCCTGAAATCCCTGAATGGTTGAAATTCAAAATGCAGGGAAGTGTTTACTAGCTTTCAGTCCCAACATTATTGACTCTGATAAGGGGGGGGGGGCAGAGACCAGTCCTGTGATATCTGAATTGTTCCATAACTAATATTTGGACAATTCTTCGGCCGATGTCTTATTTAAAAAAAATAGTTTTTCTGGAAAAAGACCAATTTGAAAAACAAATCTATTTGTCTTGGTGAATTAAACGGCTGAATAGCATGGACAGTACACATAAAATAAATTCAAATTTAAGAATGGCTTGGGTGGTTTTTTGGGGGGGTGTTTTTTATACATGTAATTCACTTTTAGTTTCAGGCCAGTTTCATTGTATACTTTCTTTGTCATAGTCTTGATGTACCTTAGAACATATTGGGGGATGTTTGTACATGCTATAATGGGTGCATTCTATTAGCTTACACTTGTCGGCAAAACTTACATGAGAGCGTTGTTTAAAAGCTAATGAACTATACCCTCCAAAGATGAACATGTATTGATATTTGCAATGTACTTTTTAAAAGTTGTGAAAAGTGGGTGCTTTGAAGGTTCGTTTTTTTGGGGACACCCTGTATATGTATACTACATGTCTACAAACGGCAATCAATGTATCAACCAGAGATCTGTACATGTACTGTGTGCATTGTGCGTATTCTGATGCACTACAGAGTTGGGCCACGGGCATTTGAACAGCTAAAGCTAAATATGTGCTCATTTCAAATAATTGGGGGATTATTGTTAAAATCAGATATATCCAGATTTTATTGGGGTGTTTTCAACATGTTCAAACACTTGATACTTTGCATGAACTCCCTCTGTCTATCTGTAGAGAGCTTTATTATTCCTTGACTTAACCTTGGGAAAATAGAGTGCTCCATGGGCTTTCCATGACTACACCACTAAAAGCAGTCAAATTTTTATATTATCCTCTCCTCTTCATCCCCTTGTCTTTTGCCCAATCCTCCCTGCTGTAATTTTAGATAATAATGTACATACATAATCAATTTATATTAAATATGTCTTGTGATGGTATTGTAGAAGTCTGCTGAGCGATTCTTGGGGAATATTATGTAAAGTGTGAATCAAAACGAAGATTTGCACCCTAGTGATGATGAAGAGACGCCCATTGGGAAAACTCACATTGACATTTGGATTACAGATTCTGATACTTTCATGGATTTGTACGCCTGTTTACGTGAATCTTTGTTGCCTATAGATTCAGTTTTTGGTATTAATTTTCACAGAATAATTTTTGGGAAATATTATAAATTGGTTGGTATTTAAGTAATAATTTATATATATTTCAAAATTATTGATAGTGTTGATGTCTTATGCATGATTTTGAAATGGTTCTGTCTTGTGTTTGTAAAAAGGATACATTCAGTGCACATAATCGATATTCAATTTTGAGGGGTCATTTTATTTAAAGCAAATTGATGACGTCGTAATTCCGCTAATTCCTCATCAGCAAATATACCTTTGCAGTTAAAATAAGGTTCAAATGTGTTACCTTACAGATGCGCTAGAGATTCATTAAATGAATTAGACATTTTCAGACTAATTTGATTCATTTACACCACAGTGTGCCCTAAATTGACAACAAGTCGAGTCATCGTCCCTTGACGAGTGGCAGAGTTTATTGGAGGGTAACCTTTGTATGCATATGGCGTAAATGTAAATGCATTTATGATGGAATTCTAATAAGGGTTTTCTTAGCCTTTTGTTAACAATAATCAGAATTCCATAATCACATGGTCGTCATTGCATAGAAACAAATATTTCTGACATGATGTTGCAGCTGATTGTTCCTGAGATTGATTCATTTTGAAATAAAATAATGAAAAGATATCTTGGAGTAGTTTTATTGACGCATTTGTATCGAGTTTGGTCAGTTCACCAAAGTGAAATCCGTGCGATGAAAGAACGCAAACATTGGAGGTCACCACCGCCCTTGCAAATAGGCTATGGATAGGACCGGTGATGTGTACATAAACCCAGGCTCACCCCACTCTAGTGTCTATGTTACACCCCAACTATGCGTACTCCCAAAACCGAAAAATACGTTTGTCAGGGAAACATTCCGGTTCCACTTGATACCGCACTTGAGAACATTTTGTAAGAAATAACGAGAGCGCAAGCGCTGAAACTATGAGGCGCCCTTTATGACTTTGTTAGGAAACAAATGTATATATAGAACGAAACTCATAGAGCGAAACTCATAGAAACGCCCAAAATAAAGTTGCACTTTACTAGCGAGGTTCAATGGCATTGCAACTCGGGCCAAAAAAATGGTGTGTTTTCGATAAGGGCCTGAAAAAAATCCAGGTAGGTAGGTTGAGAACTAATTTTATTTTGTAATTTTTTTCATCTCAGTTCTGCATGCCCATGCGTGTTCTTTCGCAAAAAAATGTATAAAACATTATTCCAGCATTCAAGATATTCAATCGATTTTCATTCCAAATTAATTCGTACCGTCCCAGGGTTCTCCCCATGATTTTTTCAAACCTGTGGGGGAAGTTTTACTGTGATTCAACAACCTGTGAAGCCATGACGTGGGGTTCGGGGCCCGCTTTTTAAGGGCCCCGAACATTTTTGAACTTTAGAAGCTCTCTGGTGCATTTTAGAGCAAATCGGGGGTCTTTAACATTTATCTTTAAAATTCAGAGATCTTGTGGGCCCCTTGTTTGTAATTAAAGAAAAAAAAATCAAAATTGTTAACCTTAAAAAAAAAACAATCAACATTTTACAACCTGTGTTAAAGCTTCCTGAACTAGAGAAATGTACAAGTAAGTTTCAAATTAGGAAAATAATCTTAAGAAAAAAAATTACTTTTGCTTCCGATTACATGCCTTTCAAAATAGCGTCAGTAGGTCGGAAAAATTATTTCGCCAATTGTTTTGGGGGTGCCAGAGCAAGGTTTCATGTTTATTTTGTGCCCGGATTATTTTTATTTGCGCCACGAAAATTATCAAGACTGGCCATCAAAAGTGATTATAAGTTGCCTCACTAAATTAAAAATATTTTTGAGGTGGGTAATTCCACTGTATATATGCTTGACATACATCACGGCCGCTGGCGCCGCCAACATTCAGTCTGGCCGGCCGTACATCGCACCGTATCGCGCCGTGCTCACGGCGCAGTATCAGTGTGCATTACTGCACTGCGTACGGCCCATCCCACGTGGCCAAAAAATCTTGCACTACTGCAGAAACACGCTACGATATTTCGCCACAAGTTCGAGCTTTGCAATCTCGTCATTTTAATGGAAAACACATACACAGAAAGTAAAGACCACGTTCTGTGAATTAATTTGCAGAAATTCTCTTTCTCCATCGATATTTGTTTGGTATTTTTATGATCCAACTTCAGCCGATTGCACTACATCAGTGCATTAAGATGGTGTTGCCCCCCCCCCCCCGGAGGCCGGGTGTCCAGTGAAAAATACCTGTCTATCTTTCAGCACGGATGAAATTTCCTGTAGCCTGTAGGATGAGAACCCTGGCTACGCTGCTGGCTGATGGTGATTCATTTTTACATAGAGCAAGGAAATTGCTCTATGATTTCTATAACACAATTACTGTCACCTGTGATGACGTGTTATGTGTACAGGTTTTCTGTTGTCATTTTTTCACCCATATCACGACTAGACCGCCTATACATGTAGAGAACGCTATAAATCTCGTCTTGTTTTTTAAACTTATAGAAAAAAGACGAAGGTGAACCAGAGTATAGCCTAACTATGGTGGCCCTAAAGGGACATCGCATATCGCAAACGTGTGCGCATACGTATGCGATGTCGCGAAATTTATCGCGAATATGTGCGCACACGTATGCGAATTTGTTTGCAATGTCGTGAATTTTATTGCATACCTTGTCGCATACCTTTCAGTAAAATTACTAATGAACTGGGGAGTTGTAGCAGCTAGTCTGGAATCTAGACGTACTGTTAGATATAAATAGGGTCTGACTAATAAACCTTCGCGCGCACGCTGTTCCTCGTGCAATCGTAGTACTAGTTCTGTCGAGCGCAAACTTGCTACTTGCGCAACTTTGAAATTTGAAATTTGAAAGTTTGAAACTTGCGCGCGCAAATTTCAAAGTTGCGCAAGTAGCAAGTTTGCGCTCGACAGTACTAGTAGTAACGATTGCACGAGGAACAGCGTGCGCGCGAAGGTTTATTAGTCAGACCCTATTTATATCTAACAGTACGTCTAGATTCCAGACTAGCTGCTACAACTCCCCAGTTCATTAGTAATTTTACTGAAAGGTATGCGACAAGGTATGCAATAAAATTCACGACATTGCAAACAAATTCGCATACGTGTGGGCACATATTCGCGAATTGTTTGGCGACATCGCATACGTGTGCGCACATATTCGCGATTAATTTCACGACATCGCATACGTGTGCGCATATATTCGCGATAAATTTCGCGACATCGCATACGTGTGCGCACATATTCGCGATAAATTTTGCGACATCGCATACGTGTGTGCACACATTCGCGATAAATTTCGCGACATCGCATACGTATGCGCACACGTTTGCGATATGCAATGTCCCTTCAGGGCCACCATACCTAACGGACTCGGTTATCCACCACGGTGCTAAAACTCTCGGACGAATGGGATGATTGAGCACGTTGCAATCCAATGCACTGTTAACTTCACCGATATCATGTGCTTGAATCTCCGGATTAATATCGTTCAGTGCCGGTTTTAGTCGAGTACATATCCATGAGTATAACACTCTAAAAACAAATTGGTTGAAAACAACCAATGTTATTTGGTTACTTTACTCTGGGTTATTTGAACCTGTATTTTTTTTTTTTTGGTTAGTTCGTCAACTGGTTACCATTTTCATGGGTTGCGACATACTGTGGTTAACTTGACCAATCAATTTGTTCAAAACCTTCTATTTCTACGGTCAATTGCATTAGTTTATTGCTTAAAAACAACATTGCAGCCAAATGCCTACAACTGTTTAATACTTGCACGATGGTCACTGGAGGGGGCGCAAGTCCCCCCCCCCCCCGCGATGTCCATGCCTACAACCGTTTAATACTTGCACGATGGTCACTGGAGGGGGTGCAAGTGCCCCCCCCCCCCCCCCCCCGCGATGCCCATGCCTACAACCGTTTAATACTTGCACCAATGGTGACTGGAGAGTGGAGACATGATTGGTGAAATATTTAACGTTTGTGAAATTGTGAAGAATTACCACAAAACAAAATCACTGTGGAACCAGGAGAATTAGCATGTTGTCTGCCGCGTGATGTCTGCCATTCGTATCACTATCACATACGTTATATCAGCTATTCACGGAATTAAAGTGCAATGCAAAAAGAGCTATAGGTGCCGTTTTATCTTGGTCATGAATCTCTGAATTTCTGCCTTAGTTCCATGCGATAATGCGTATATCAAAATGTTTCCCCCTGCCTCCCCCTTTCCCGCGCTGCCCCGCGTCCGATGTTGGTGTTTGGTCACGTTTTTCATACCCCACGTGGGGATTTTGGTCACTCAAAAACATCGTTCGTTACCATTGGCGTAGTACATGAAAAGCCAATCACTAGCGCGCCCCACACATGTATGTCGGAGATTGTCACTTCAATTTTGCCCGAGGGTGGGATTTCAAAAGTGACAATCCCCACGTGTTGGGTGCGGCAGTCCGGGGAGACTGATAGGCGCATACTTTTAATCTACCAGGAGCGCATCTTTCAGTTTTTCGTAGTCATTTGCGTCATTTAGTGATAATTTCGTAGGTCACAACCTTATCACAATTTATTCCATCAACCGATCAGAACTGGCAAAATGCGGATTAACCCAAATCTTTGGTTGAGATGATCCACCACTTTTGGTTATGTTACCTTTACGTATTTTTTTAGGGTTTGATCAACCATGAATTGGTTGAATCAATTTGGTTACTAGCTAACCAAAACTCGGTTGGGTACAATGTCATAGGCTACCCTTAAAATTGGTTTAAAACTGCCGAAATATTGTTTACCGTAACCAATTTTGTTTTAGAGTGTACGAGTATATTGTCTACGTGAAAAGGCATCGGCATTACCATAGGATGTGCCAGACATGTGAACAATCTCAAAAGACTTGAATGAGTAAGATGGACCATCGCTCCCAGCAGCGCCCTTTGATAGGACGATATGAACGACCGAATTCAAAGTATAGTTGCCTTTCTAAATTGCCCTTCATGATTACGCATGCAGGGCTGGCGGCTGGCTTGTCCGTGGCTAAAGGAAAAGAGTTTGGACTGTCAGATTTATTAATACTTTTTTATCATACAATTACTTCGCTATAATAAAATTTTTGCGTCTTCGCAACAGAAGTTTGTATTGGGTCGTTATTGCGGTGATTTAGATATCTTATCTCGATACTATAACCATAACAGCCATGCGGCTCGCATGAATTTTGTTGTATTAAAATTGCTATTTATATATTTTGGCAGATAACGTTTGTGTACTTGTAAATGCTTTTTGTTCGTTAGTATCTAAAAATAGACGGCAATGTTTGCTGTCTCTGATAAACCACATATTTCGGTAATTTGTTTGCTATATTTAGTCGTAGTAATTAATGCCATCGTACAAAATGTCTTCCTTAAAGGCATATATTTTCTACGTACATGGGTGATGTACATTTTCCTTCACATGTTGGGTTGTGGGAAATATTTTTTCGTTGTGCAATATTGGGAATTGACGGCTGGCTGGTAATAGTTGGTTTATAGTTTGGTAGTTTTCCAAATTGTGGAACAGTCCGGCCGGATTGGTTGTACCTGAGTTGGTTTGTTAGGTTGTATAATTGTTGTTTATCTCAAGAGGTCTGATCCTTTTAAGGAGACTTTTAATAAAAACCACTTGATGTAAGATTGCCTTAACGAGAAGAACGACACAGACTCTGCAAACTAAATAGACCTGAATTCACTAACGTTAAGGGAATACGCCAGAACATCATAGCAGACAATTATCTCTAACGCGCCGCTAGACGAACGTTTCGTATTATCTTTTACACGATGAATTCCCGATAGTTCCCCCGTCCGTGACCCAAAACCTGGACACAGTATTGGTCTAACTATTCACGACGTGTGTCTTCTATTTTTATAAGGGATGTCAAAAACGGGCGCACGTGGTCCTTTTAAAAATAGATTTGTTTCCGTTAATGAGAACCAAGCCAGATGTAGACCGTGCTTATCTCGATGAAGGTTTTCTATAATTATCTTGAACCTACGGTCACGTTGAGTCCATGACCTTCAATAAGAACAAAAACAGAGCTCTGCTCTATAAAAGGGTCCACGAGGCCAGGAATTACGGAGATTTGTTGAGGATCAGATTCATGAAGTGGTGTGTGTGGGTGTGTGGTTTTTTTTTCCTGTTGCAACAACTGTACGCCTTGGTCTGACACCGTCAAAATATCTGCAAGTGTCATTTCGCGTCTTGTTTAAACCATGGAGTCCATTAGCAGGTGCGTTCCACATACGTTTCAGCAAATCATATATTCCAAATAATCTCTGCGTAGGCCCTACTTAAGAAATGAAGTGTGATCGACCTTTTTGTTTTCAAGTTTGTATGTCTACCGAAATGAAGACAATCACAACCATATTATACATACTTCGTATTTTGTTCTTTTTAGTCATCAGCAGTTGTACTTTCCTTCCGAGACAGAACTTGCGTTTCACAACCTCAGGAACCGATTACTAAGGGTAAGTTACTCATCTGCTATCTCAGTGTCATACTGATTCCCATGCACCCTGATGACTTCATTTTGTAATTAGTGCTCTGTCTCAGAATGGTTATTTTAAGTCGCAGCTCATAATTTTAAACTGTCAGTTTTGGCTTCAATAAGCACAGCTTTGAGTTGGTCTAAGAAGTTATATATTCTGATTTCATTTTAAATTTATTTGTTATTTCTTTTGGGATTTGGTATCGTTTCGGTTTGCGGTAACACCATGTGGTAATAACTACTGCTTAGAAGATATTAGTTCTGAGAAGAACTTGTCCTGCTTATTATCAACTTTGCTAAGTAGTTTTTTGTTTTCTTTTGGGATTTCTTTTTGGTGAGAGAAGGGGACATTCAATTAAAAACACCTAATATATGTACCAATTGTTCTTACACTGTCAGGAAGGTGATAGTATAACAAGAAGGGTAGACGCCGTGCTAGGCTTCCGAGTCATAGATTGTCGTGGTGGCTATATCGAGTGTTGGCTGATAGACTTACGCCAAGGCAGGAGAGTAGTCAGAAGAGCAAACGGGGGTGAGGCATAGCATATCAATCAATCTTGGTCCATGCATCGCAATTTTCAAGGTGACGATACAATGTCACATTTAATCTGTTCATTACTATGTTGTAAGTTGAAAACCTAAAATAAAGATATAGTTTTAGAAACCATTTGTGTTCATAGTTGTATTTGTATAATCTGTAACAAAAAAATATCAAATTAGTCTTGCGGGGGAACACTGTAAAGAATTCGAAACAAACTTGTCCAATTAATTTATTCATCAAGTGTTTACTGATATATATTTTACAACAATAATTTCAATGGGTTTTTGGTTTGCAATTGCATCTATGTCCTTTTTTTTTCTACGATTTCGTTTTCTGTTTCAGAGAAAACGGATATCATTTTCCATATCAGTGAAAATGATTTGATGGAGCTATTCACCGGCAGGCAACAACCACAAAAGGTGAGAGTGCATGGTGGCTTGTAACGAACGACCAGTTTCATCTGGTGACTTTGAACTCTAATAAGTTTGGATCCTGACCTCAAAGAGTTTCTTGTGTACATCAAGAATGTATTAAAATATGTTCTTATCTCGCTCCACAGCTCCTTCTTACAAGACGACTTCGAATTTCCGGTACCAAATCGCTGCAGAACAAGATTCAGTATCTGATTCCTGACAAGCGGAGAAAGTCAAGGCTTTGATTTGGATTGTGTGTGTATACTAGTCTGTGTACCTTGCTGGGTGCATGATGATACGGGACTGCTGCTGGAGAGGATACAGGGCTCCACACAACGCGTACCGGGACTTTCACGTGTCAGAAGAAAATGCAGTGCCCACTGTCATTAGCTCCTTCCATGGAAGTTTTAAGTTAGAATCAGTTTAAGCGACTATATACAGGGTGAGTTTAAAAAAAAAAAAAAAAAAAAAAAAAAATGTCGGAACTATTATTTTGGTGAAGTTCTGCATGGACATCACTTTCAAAATCTAGGATGTAAAAGCCCAATTCACAATCTTTCTTTTAGCACAACAATCATTCGAATCACTCATGTACTTTTCAAGTTCCCGAATTTTAAACACAACCACCGTTTCAAGTTCTGTACCCCTAAAAAGGTGTGCGTTCTTTCAGCAAAAATGAAAACAATTCACACACATCCCTCCCTATGTAATATGTTACGGTTTTGCCGAACGAACACCTTTTTGTGATCCGTGGACAGAACTTTAAACAGTGGTTGTGTTTAAAATTCAGGAAATTGAAAATTACACGAGTGATTTGAATGATTCTTGTTCTAAAAGCTATATGCGGAGCTTCACTAAAACAACGGTTCCGACATTTGGGTTTCGTTGTTTTTTTTTCCTCACCCTGTATAGGATTTGCAGGTGCAACCCTAGCCGTGCAAAGAACCCTTACTGGCTCATGACAATGATGGCAGCTCAAGATGCATAGCAATATTTCGGCATGGTTTTATCGGACGTGAGCCATCATTACTGACACATCGCATGGTGCTCAACGGCAAAACAGCTACAATTGTGCAATTGGACGCTTGCCTGTAATCTAGATCTTAACGTTGTTTTATTGAATGTGATCCGCTGATTGAATTGTAAATAACCAATAATTTTTGACGATAACCAATTATTCTATTTGACAATGGTATATTGACGATGGTATGTTATACATTGTTCCTTAAGGCCAAAAAAAAAGTCTCCGGTTTCTGGTATGCGCGCGCGTCGCACAATTTTAACGTGTTTTTAGATGGGGTTATGATCGAGAATAAGCTTTATGTGGCCTCTCTGGACTCCCATATATTTGCACTAAGTTTAGTCGGGCACCATTTGCAGTCATCAGCCGACATTTGAAGCCAAAAAAAAAAAAAAAAAAAAACAGGGGCAAGCTCCATACCAGAAACCGGAGACTTTTTTTTGGGCCTAAGATACTCATAATCAATTTTTAAATTTAATATCGTGTATTATACATGTACGTGATATTGCTAAATAAAATTGAGTTTATACTCTTAAAAGTGAAGCGCTATTATACCACAAGCATGTCTATGGCTTAGATAAGGTGACTTAACAAGAATATGCAAGTATAAAGGTTATAATATTGAAAGTATTATAAAGTAAAGATGAATAAAAAAAAAATCTTGCCCCTTCGTAACTTTTTTAATTTTAAACTTACCCGGCACTGATTATTCGAATTAAGCTCATAGTGGTCTCATTCGTTATGAGGTTTATACATTAACATGTAAAACAATCATGAGGACGGAAATGCAAATTATACATAACTACCTTTGATTTGGGCATCATTTTAATAGTTTTATACCTATGTATTATTGAGCATTTCACATGGATATTTAAGCCTGCGTAATACTATTTTCGTGACCTATATGCGACGAAAACATGTTTAAAGACTAATATATTATTCACTGTATAAAACAATAACACCTTGCAAATGATAAAAGGCTCCCTATTCTTCATTTGTAACAAAAGCCCTTTGATAGCAGCCCATGCACAGTGGCTATAGGTGGCATGTCATGTTCCTTTTCATGCGAAAAAAGAATTGTTTCTTTTCGACGACAGAACTTTTCGGAAAGTTGAAGGTTAGAGTCCAGAACCTTTGTAGCAGGGATTCCAAAAGTTAGTGTGAGCCAAAATGTGCACGGGGATTCTAACAAAAATAACATACCTGTAGAGGGTGAGTCAAAAAAGAAAGCGATCCGAATTAACGATATTTCCCTCATAAAGCAATTAAATTTGACACACCAACGAAGCATATTTAACAAGCATGTTCTTCCACTCATGTGACGAAATAATGAAATTGATGCATGTTATCAGAAATAATTCAGGTTTTACAAAAAGGATCCATTTGTACAGCTGTCCATGGAATGCTAAATGCTTTGAAGCCATTCGGCTGAGTGAGAACAAGAAATTACACATAGGCAATATAATTTGAGTCACGTCTGAAACATTATTGTTATTTCACACTTTGTGTATTGTGTTACGAGGAACAAATCCAGTATTAGTTTCCGGAATGATCAAAGTGACGGTGAATTCCCTGTTTTCCTTTGCGTCCAGTTTGAGTCCATTCATGGATGTATAGGAATATAATACGCCCATTCGTTATCGTGTTAACTTTGGCGGGAAATGGACTTGGGGTGACAGGGTAACAACTTTAGGGGGTTCTGGCAACACGAGGCTTTGGGAGAGTTTGTAGCATGTGTAGCCTACTTCATGTTTAATCAGGCTGGTCGCTTATACTAGTTCCACTCTTTGCTTACGGCCAAGTATCTACTAGAACCGTAAAGCCACAGTCACACATTCACGGTTGGAGCTACGAACATCCACGGTATACCAAGAATCAATCGCCACGATGAACCGTCGAGGTTCGTGGAGAAATGGACTTTCTAAGAATGCACTACGGTTTCGACACAGATAGCCACGACTGTCCAACGGTTTCTCTACGAATACGCCACGGTATGTCAAGAATATAGACGGATTGTTGAAGAATATCGACGGTATTACTATAATGACGTTAACGCCACGGTTGTCTGCGATTGGGCCACGGATGACCAAGGTTCTCCTGCGAATGAAGCATACATATTCGTAGTACCCTCTTAGCAGAATCCTAGCTTATCCGGGCATATCCGTAGCCTATAGGACATTCGTAGCAAATTCGTATAGGCCTAGACCTAGAGATTTCTACCAAGAATGAGCTACGAATCTCCAAGAATATGTGCGAATAAACACGAATAACACTACGAATTATACGGTTGTCGTACGGATGTCTCACGGTTGCACTACGGATTGATTTTCATGATGATTCATCCGCACGGAAGTTTGGAACTAAAAGTTTAAAACTTCCGTAGCCCCTCCACGAACACCCAAGGAAGATGACGGATAACCACGGCCGGAGGTACTAAGGATAAATACGGTACTCCCGCGGTTCAACATGAATTTTAAACCGTGGATATCAGTAGATCCAAACCGTGAACTTGTTACTGGGCTTAACAGAACCAGCCGAACAGAGTGGGCACGGTACGGGACATCGGTTTCAGAGACCGCCGAGCCGTGGCGGATCGGACCACGGTGAGACAGCAGCTGGACGGGGGCCAGCGAATGTACTGAACCCCATGCAGTAGGCCTGGGTGTGGCGTATCACGAGAGGACCGCGGCATAGCTTAGCTGAACTACAGCGCGTCCCAAAATACCCGCAATCTGTGTTTTTTTTTTTTGGCAAGGCTCTAGCGTTGGCGCGGAAACACGTACCGCCATGATTTTTATACGAATTTAAAGCTTGGAATCTGAACATTATTCCTGGAGAGAAGAAGTTTGATATTTAAAGGAGTTTTAAAATTATTCCTGTTCAGTAATGGATGTTGAAAACAAACTCAACCGACATAAGATGCAAACTCGAGTCATACTTTGAGCATGCTTTATACATGTAGTACAAACTTGTACATGAATTTGAAAAGTGAATTGAAACGAAGAATAATATCGTGAATTCATTTTAGGTGAAGTCTACGTGGATCGAAAAGAATATGGAAGCTCAAAGGCAACGAGATTGTCATTCGTCACATCATGAACATGATGAACCATTTCCACATGAGAAAAAGTGCGCATTGTGATCGATTTTCTTTGAAATCGGTTGAGCTTGTTTTTGAGCTTGCCATTATTTGAACACCGTAATCAAGTCAAAACCCTTTTGAAAATCAAAACAATACAGGGATAAACTTAAGATTCCAAGCTTTAAAATGATATACAACTTATGGTGGTATATGTGTTTCCGCGGCGATGCTAGAGCCTAGCAAATAAGTAATGTTGCGGGTATTTTGGGACGCGCTGTAGTGCGGTGAACGTTACGGGAGTATTGCTATCGGAACTCGGCCGGGCCACAGCGGGAACGGACCGCTAAGGTATACGGGGCAACTACCGGGACTAGATTTGGATGGGGCAAACATAGGCTACCAGGCGACCGCACGATATATTCAAGGTAAGGCATATGCAGCAGGGTGGCGTCCAATGGTAAAATTGGGGCACCACACGTAGTATTTAGAACATAGAAATCCGTCCTTTCTCTATGATTAGAACGACCAAGCGAGTGTAGGTCTATAGCTACTTCTCTCAGACTCTACCTCCAGCTCCTTGCATGGAGAGAGAGGAGCTTCGTAATGCCACCTCACTTCGAGATGTCAATTAACTTAAGAGTAAGAGCTGGTTGCAAAAAAAGTGATTATACCATCATCCTGAGCAACCTTGATGGAGTGAGTGAGCCTATAAGAGGTCGTGTAGGGTACTGACCATTGCAGGGTACCTTAAAACCACGCTTGACCACGCGACCACGCAAGGGCGTAGCACGGTCATTTTTTTTCCCGACACTTGGCCTCCGTAAAATCAAAAAGGGGCCGCAGGCGCGTTTTTAGGGGGGGGGGGGGGCTGGGGGGCTGTAACCCCCCAACATTTTGTATAGCCCCCCCAAAAAAATTAATTCCTTAAAAAAAAAATTGCATTAGCAAAAAGAAGGATTGTGATGCATGCGAACAGTCTCCCCCTAAAGAAGAAATAGCTGTGACAAGGGTGCATTAGTTAATATAGTGTGAATGATTTTAGGATTTTATTGGCGCTCCCCATTGAAAATATGGCATGAGCCCCCCCCCCCCCCCCCCCCCCCCCCCCCCCCCATTGATTTTCTGAGGCCTAAGTGTCAGGAAAAAATAACCGGTCTACATTTCAGCACGCCTCCCTGAAAAAAATTCTGGATCCACCGTGCTAGCCCCCAAAATATTTGTTCTAGAACCGCGCCGGGGGGGGGGGGGCTGGTACCATCTATCGATTGGGGCGCTGTTCAAAACCGACGATTATGCACACAAAGGGCCAATATATTATGCTTTTCAGGGCGACCCCATGTGCAAAATTCTGAAAAAAGGCACCCAAAACGGCAGATGCCACAAAAAGGCACCACTTTTTTTCTTAAAAGGACACTTGTTCAGGAAAAGGGGCTCTTCGTACAAAAAGGGCACTCTTGACAAATTGTTGGGGGGGGGGTAAGCCCGTTGAAAAAAAGGGCATTTGAATCGAAAAAGGCAGTCCGATATTGGTGGTAAATACCCCCCACTAAATCGCTGCATGAATAATGATGCAAAGCAGCCTCAGGTATTGAAAGTGTACTGTGCTTGGTAAGCTAGTGACTTTGGCAATAAAATGCGCGTTAGAAAATTACAACCGTAAAGTCACGTATAGGCTAGTTAAAATATATGAACATAAGTTGTATACTTTGTGAACAATGTAAAACCAAAGGATGCTATAATTATGTTTCAATAAACAAGCCTGGTTTCGCAACGGTATTTACAAAGTATTCGTCAACGCGTCATGATATCGGGAATCATTTAAGGTGGACGCTAAAATGATGTGGTATTTCTTTTAAAGAAAGATGATTAGAGGATGGAAATTAAGTCAAATTTTCACTGTCACTATACAACATAAGCACTACTTTATGTTCATTTTTTTCTAACTCGGTCACTTTCTTTTTGACTCAACCTGTATAGTCATACTCAGTCCATGGTGATATATTTACAGGTATGCTTGTTGATATTATATGATGTGATCATGTGGGAAGCATCAAATCATCAATGTACACTCAATAATTCTACACAGAGCTTTGTCCATGGAAGTTGTGATTTTAAATTGTAAAAGAACAAAAATGAAATAAACAGCCGCTTTATTGTTACAAGAGTTAATTTGTTGCACTCTTTTTATGATTTTTTTTGGTGAATTTAGCCGTTTGCAATTGTGCAAATTACACCCTTTTTTAAAGTATGGCGGACACAAATACGGAGGGGCTGATTGGAATAAGATAAACTCTTTTGTATTATACAAAGCCCATCCGGTTCGTAAGTGACTGTTGGCCATACAAGAGCACACACCTCTTATTAATAGCGCCCATGCACTGACTAAACATAGTACATGCATACTTTGCAGTTCCGGTTCCAATAGTGCCAATGATTTTCAATGTGGTTTCGTTGAAATGACGTCACATTTACGAACCGGATAGAATAGGGGAACAGTATAGGCCCCTACTATACTATTGAAATAGAAATGCATTTTAATTGTATTTAGATTAAATTAAACAGTTATCTCTCAAAATCAAGCAGAATCTGTGGGTGAGATGTACATGTACTGCTTTACTACCTAGGAATAGTAAAACTAGCCTATCCTCCTTCGGTGATAAGCACTTCCGCGCGCATGGAATTGAAATGCACGTACATTGTTCATGGCAGTATGACCTACCCACAATGCTTTTTGCGACACTGCGTTTCCTTCACCTTTTTTTTGCGTCGAATTTTTTTTTTGGCGGCGCATTTCTTTTGGGGCGGCGCATTTTTTTTTGGGGGGGGGGGGGCGTCTATGAGGCGCCCTTTATGACTTTGTTATGAAACAAATATAAATAGAACGAAACCAATATATATAGAACGAAACCAATATATATTGAACGAAACAATTATATATGGAACGAAACCAATATATATAGAACGAGAAACAAATATATATAGAACGTAACTCCGATATATATAGAACGTAACTCCAATATATATAGAACGAAACTCAAATATATATAGAACGAAACTCAAATATATATAGAACGAGAAAAATATATCGAACGAGAATTGTAATAATTATACAAAACGAAGCAAGTTGCAAATGGACTCAATTCAGGGTGACTGTAAGGTCAATGCCAAATTCTGCTAGATGTACTTCCAAAATCTGATTGATTAAACAAAAATCTGTCAAATCACCTATGATTTACACGAAATACATTATAAACACTTATACTCATATGCAGATGTTATAAAATATCCTTAACCCCCCCCAAAAAAATCATAAAATTTCCTTTATAAAGAAAGTTATTCTTCTTTTTTTCAATGGCTCGTGTCTAGCCTGGTTTCCAATGTCTACAGTACTTTACTGTGTTCTCGTACCTCAACGGTTAGACTTGCCAAAAAAATAAAGCTTTTTTTTGCAAGCAAATCAGCTCTGATATATTTTTTCGTCCAAATCACCAATTTTGCAGAATTCTGCTAGATATCTGCTTTAAAAAAAAATCATTTGCTAGATTTTCTGTGAAACTTTTTTTCTTCAAAAACTGCTGTTTTACCGTCAAAATCACCAATTTTGCAGAATTCTGCTAGAAATCTACTAGAATCAATTCAATCAGTTTGATTTTTTTGTCAAACTTTTTCCCCCAAAAAAATCTGTCAAATTTAGCCGAAATTCGGCTAAAACCGGTCACCCTTTTGAAACGTTAAATATACATATTTGAGTTTCGTTCTATATATATACGTTCTATATATATTTGATTTTCGTTCTATATATATTTGTTTCTCGTTCTATATATATTGGTTTCGTTCTATATATATTTGTTTCTCGTTCTATATATATTGGTTTCGTTCCATATATATTTGTTTCTCGTTCTATATATATCGGTTTTGTTCCATATATATTTGTTTCGTTCAATATATATTGGTTTCGTTCTATATATATTGGTTTCGTGCTATATATATTTGTTTCGTAATAAGTCATAAAGGGCGCCTCATAGACGCCCCCCCCCGAAAAAAAATGCGCCGCCCAAAAAGAAATGCGCCGCCCAAAAAAAAATGCGCCGCCCAAAAAAAATGCGACGCCAAAAAAAAAAAAATGCGACGCCAAAAAAAAAAATGCGACGCCAAAAAAAAAAATGCGACGCCCCCCCCCCAAAAAAAGCGACGCCAAAAAAAAAAAAAATGCGACGCCAAAAAAAAAAAAATGCGAAGCCAAAACAAAAAAAAATGCGACGCCAAAAAAAAAAAAATGCGACGCCAAAACAAAAAAAATGCGACGCCAAAAAACAAAAATGCGAACTGAAAACCACGTCTCAATCCATAATTATGTTCACGAACAGACAATCACTGCAAACCCGCATTTTCCTTAACCGAGATATCAAAATGCCAGTATAGTATTCAGCCTCTTAATAATACGCACTGAATACATAACGATAATGATATAGGCCTACTGATTTCTTTTCATTTCAACTGGACTAAGTTCCTCTCGCTTTTGTTTAAATTGGGAGAAACTTGATAAACGTTGGTTTTCGTTTCGTGAAGGAATCCCATGTTCTCTCCCCCCCTCCCTTTAGTCTTCGTAAATTGGTCTTATGGGCTCCTTGTAAAGGTACCCCCTAGCTATGAGCCTGGTGCAGTCGTAAAGTTTGTATTGTTTGCAGGCATGTTTGCAGTTTGAAAAAAAGCGCCCTCCATTGTGGTAATACAGTCATATAGCGATATGTTTATAGCGATACGTTTTGGAGTGTTTCCATAGAGATAATGTTGTAATATTATAAGTATTGAAAGTCCGAAAGAAAGAAATATGCCTAAAAGGAATAAAAGGGAATAAATCGTGTGGGTTTTTTTTTCAAGTCCACAGCATTTCACGTGTGAAAAAAAAAGTTTCACACCGCACAAAGTCAATGTACGTGATATCCCACAAGAAGTGTGCCATGACTTTTTATAAACTTAACACATGATCGTTCTAGGCCAATGAAGATACAGTATTCAAGACAGAGGTATAACAATATAGGATAGACATCCCACAAACACGGACAAACTTAAAATATTATGCCCATACCCTCACCAAGTCATGTTATATCGTTTGAACTTTACGGCGTGCGGTTATATGAGAAAGTTGTGTTTAGTTGAGTAAGGTTGGGCTGGGTGGGCTGGGCTGGGCTGGACAATAAATGAGGTCTTGATTTCAGTAAGGTTGGGTTGGGCATGGGTGCAGCATAGGGTCATTCTATAAATTTGGGGTACAAAAGTGGGACATTCTGGCGTCCCTGTTACACCCGACATGTGTGTAATTTGGCATGAAAATATCATTGAAATTGACCTCAAACTATTTTAAATTGTTAAGCAGGTAATTTGCATTACATAATCACTCTTGGAGGTAGAAGGCATGAAAAAATGTGTTCTGAATTTACAAAATCTGATGTTAGATGTAACAGGGACACCAAAAAATTGGACCCCGAATTTATAGAATTACCCACAGTATTCAGACCAAACCGTTTCAACAAAACCTCAATAAAACCCTATTACAATCATTCTTATTTCAGACGTTTACATATTAGTTTGTTCATAGAGAGTAGGTACGATAAATGCTTGATTGGTAGCGTCCACACCTGCGACCCCGTCCCCATTCATGGCATGCCCGTTCCCAAATACCAAGTTGCCTTCAACGTCTTGTTGTCTCTCGTCATCTTGAGCCAGATCGTGTCTAGAGAGGTGTGCTACGATCCCAGCTCCGATTGAGTCACCCTCAACATTTATCATGGTTCGAATTCGATCCCTGCATTGAAAAACAAAACAAAAATCTACAAAATTGCTCTTAATCATCGTGGGATTAACAACTAGCATGGTAAAGTTTTGGCTCAGTGGATAATATTCTTTTGGAGAAAAATTGAGAAAATCAAGACACTATGTTTTGGTCTCGTAAAAGAACTCCGTTGCAAGGGCAACGATTCATAGTTACCATTTCATAATGAAATTGCTCCCTCTCGTGTACAATTCCTAAATCATCACTCTGGACGTGATTCTTATTGAACCGGTTGGTGCATACGACAACAAAACTGGATAAGTAATCGCAGTATTTAAAGAACATCGTCAAGTATACCCGCGGGCACGATTGTTTAAAACCATTTTCGATAAGAAATGATTGTTTTCCTCCGAACGATACCATTTCAGACGGAATACGTTCACATGGTATGTGGTACACGTCTCGTCGCTTTACGAAAAATATTTCTCATTTAATTAGTTATGTTCCTTCAAACTGAGTTCCGATGGATAGTTTGGCGTTTAATGATAAACGACAGTGATGCTTGACATATTGTACAATAATTATGATGAAGAGTTAGTCTATTTTGAAGTTAGTGATCTTCTTAATGTCATTGAAACATGACCGTGTATGCTATTCACTTTGTCAAACCGGAAAGATCGGCCCTGCGAGGTTAGTTATGACGAGGCTTTTAGCTTCGCTGGCGATCGCAGGCATCATGCGATCAACTGGAGAACAACATGTTAACCGTTCACAAGTATCCTACGCACAAACACATATACAATGTACACACCCTTTTGACTTCATAGCAGGCGCGGTTCTAGAACAAATATTTGGGGGGGGGGCTAGCACGGTGGATCCAGAATTTTTTTCAGGGATGCGTGCTGAAATGTAGACCGGTTATTTTTTCCTGACACTTAGGCTGCAGAAAATCAATAGGTGGGGGAGGGGGGGGGGGGGCTCATGCCATATTTTCAATGGGGAGCGCCAATAAAATCCTAAAATCATTCACACTATATTAACTAATGCACCCTTGTCACGGCTATTTTTTCTTAAGGGGGAGACTGTTCGCATGCACATCACAATCCTTCTTTTTGCTAATGCAATTTTTTTTTTACGGAATTTATTTTGGGGGCTAGACAAAATTTGGGAGGGGGGCTACAGCCCCCCCCCCCCCCCCCCCCCCGTAGAACCGCGCCTGCTTCATAGTATAGCGGTGACGGACCGTATACCAATTTCGATTTATTTCCGGCTGGTGAAGACGGTAATTCTGTCCCTGGCAAAACTGTCCGGGGGACATTACCTAGTTGAAAGTGTCCTTCCCAGCCCGTTAATATACCTTTATTATACTGCCACCATTTCAGTCATGTTTCCTGTAGCAAATAACAGTACTGAATGATAACGGTTTTTGTGCTAAAAGGAACCAGACTATTTTCCTTCCAGTCTTGCTTTGGTTACGTTGATTTGAATGGGGGAAAAGATCAACATGGCTGCAATATGATAATGGTCTTTATTCTGTCCCCCTCCAGGTTATTCTGCCCCATCCAGGTTTTGTGTCCCCCTATTTTTGCCACGCAGGACCAGTTTCTATGTTGTTTGGACGAATTCCCGCATTTTGGATTTTTGTGCCCGTCATGAAGATATCCAAATGAAAGCAGTTAATTTGGCCTCTTTCTTAGATGTGAAAACTATAATATTGAGCTATGTTTCTTGCGGAGAAATGGCAGCAATCCGTATTCTGCAGACTTCTTACACGCGTAGTAATTCCTGGCGCGGCAATGGCCGCATTGATATAACGCCTAATTTGATTGGTCAATGTTGGATGAATTTCCCATTTGTACAGGGTGAGTCAAAAAAAAGAAACCCAAATTTTTGAGACCATTGGTTTAGGGAAGTTCTGCAAGTAGCATTTTCAAAATGTAGGATATGTAAGCCCCATTCATAAGCTTTCTTTTAGTACAAGAATCATTCAAATCACCCATGTACTTTTTAAGTTAAAGAATGTTAAAGTTCTGTCCACGGCTCACAAAAAAGATCAGTGTTCTTTCAACAAAACGAAACGAAATCACATAGGGATGTGTGTGAATTGTTTTCGTTTTGCTGAAAGAACGCACACCTTTTTTTGTGATCCGTGGACAGAACCTAAAAACTTGAAAAGTACATAAGTGATTTGAATGATTTTCGTAAAAGAAAGCTGATGAATTGGGCTTTCATATCTTAGATTTTGAAAGTGCTTCATGCAGAACTTCAATAAAACAATAGTCCCGACATTTGGGTTTCGTGGTTTTTTTTACTCACCCTGTATATATAGGATTATAGGTTTCTACAAAAATACACCTGCGATAATCGCTAATTTTGCAACATGCACCGCGACGGACGCGACCCGCTGCTTTCGTACGCGTAATCCATAGTCTGGGTGATAGATGTGACGTTGCACGGGGACAAATTTACCGGGGGGGCACATTTAATATTTTACCTAGGTATAGGTGTGTCCCCCAGACAAATTCACCGGGTCACGACCTAGTAAATCTGTCCGGGAGACACATTCACCCTGAGTGGCAGAATTACCATTTACACCGGACAATAATTCAGTTTTCGCAGGCAAGACTGATTCCCTCCTTTCTTTAGGGCGGGTCCGTATGTTCATCATGCAACCAAACATTAAACTTTGTTTTCTGGGGGCTGCAAACGCCCAAAATAGAGAAAAATGTTGGTGTTTCCCCCATTAAATTAGGTTAAAAAAAATAGGTTAAAATGCGTTGGGATATGTAATATAAAATTATCGACTTTGTTGAAAAGCACGGACACCATAATCTTTAAAACTGCTTTGCCCGGTGTAAAACTATAAGTCAAGGCGCAATGTTGTGTATAACTCGTCACCACCGTACCTAGGGGGACTGTGAATGCTCGTCAATAATCCACGTCTGAATTTTGACTATATAGATCCACGATAGCCATATACTTACAGTATAAAGTCCACCGCAAGGATCAGTGCTATGTCATCTGTTGGCAAGCCAACGGCGCTCAGAACGATAACCATGGTTACCAGCCCGGCCTGCGGGATACCAGCTGCGCCAATACTGGCAAAGGTTGCTGTCAAGCTGGAACAAAAAAAATGTTTTCATCAACAAATAACAACGTGATACAAAAACGACTCATCCCATTTGTTTTAACTGGAGAGGCTGGAGGATTTACCATATTTTGATAATAAATTTCCTCAAACGATTTTTATCCCATTTATCAATGGTTTTTCAATGCCATTTCTCTCAGGTGGATTCAATCAAATGAGACGATGCCATTCTCTGAAAGCAGGTCTAATCTCCAGATCATTTTTACAACCCTTTGTAAGCCCAGGCCATGATGCCAGGTATTTACCTGACGGTTATTATCTGGGCTACGTTCAGCGACACATTATTCATTTGAGCAATGAAGATGGCAGCCACTGCCTCGTAGAGGGCGGTACCATCCATGTTGATTGTCGCCCCCACTGGAAGCATAAAGCGAACCACTCGGCTGTCTACCTTGTTCTTTTCTTCCAAGCATCTTGTAGTGACAGGAAGCGTTGCTGAACTGTTTATAAAGCAAAGCGTGAAATAATTGTCGAAATTACTTAGTTTGTTTTTAATTGATGTGGCTTATTCAAAAATGCAAAACATATTTCAAAATAACACTGGTTGAGTTTTACCTATCATACAAGTCGGGCGGGTCTTCAGTCTACATAGTGGACATTTTCAAGGGGACTCCCGTGTGTGGCTTAAGTAATACAATATTAACTGTTTCTTTTTAGTGCGAGAGGGACCATTTCTATTTAGTCAAATGTCGCTTCTATATTCTTACCTAGAGGAAGTCCCTAAAGCCGTCACCAGTGCATGGGATAATCTGAGCAGATACTTGAAGGGATTCTTGCGTGTGATAATGATGTAGAGACCTGGTAGAACGATCAAGCCATGGATGGCAAGACCAGCCAGAATGGTGGCTATATACAGACCTAGCTGGGATAGGATAGTACCCCAGTCATCTACCTCAGCCATACTGCCAACGATCAGGAAGAAGATACCAAAAGGGGCGTACCTGTGGTATTGAAAAGTCATCGGTTTAATGGAATCATTAAAATGGATGGGATCTCTCGTTCTTACTTTTTTCTTTTCCTTTTTTACAGCAGACACGAGTATACAGGGCGAGTCAAAAAAAGCGGAACCCAAACCTCACAAAATATATTTCATATTAAAAAAGATATGTAGCACCAAAAATAACGACTGAAAAGCCAATTCTTAAATTCCGCAATCCGTTCAAACTATATCACCATTAATCACAATGACCCTAAAACCTCTTTCGTCGATTTCAAGAATCGTCATCACAATTGTCTTCAAACATCACCAGCGATAAAACCTCGGTTTAAAAGTGAAAACTATTCAACGTAGTCCTTTCGAAAGTCCGTTTTTTGAGAAAAAAAATCATATTGTTTGCCTAAGCAGAGTTGTTAATAACGATATTGTGTACTACAGTCTGTTGACGGTTGTTCAAACAAGTATTCTGTGTTCCAAACAGTCGGGGCACAATTTTGATTTGGACGTTTAGGGTCATTGCGTTAAAATGGTGTTATTCTTTGAACGGATCGAGCAAATGTTAGCATCTTTTTTATCTAAAAGTAGTTTCTTAAATTGGCTTTCCGGTCATTATTTTGGTGCTGCATATTTTGTTAATATGAAATAAATATATTTTGGGGGTTTGGGTTCGGCTTTGTCGACTCAGTCACCCTGTATATTGTCTACTGTACAAATAAAAAAAGAAGAAAGATGTCAGTTTACATATTGCAAAGGCTGGCCTCACATACCCGATAGCCATTGTTTTCAGCGTTCTCTTTAGCACGACGAGTAAAATAATGTTCATTAATCATCTGTGTGGAACCCGAATGGTAGGAAAATGATTAATCGGGAAACTGCAATTATGCTGGAAAATATAGGGATTTGGGTGGGATGGGCTTTGCTCTCCTCTAGAAAAAAATCCTGGCGACACCCATGCGTAGGAATCTTAGTTTAAACATTTGCTAGTGTTTGAATATCTCGCTTATCCACCTCGATCTCGGAAAGGATCCCTCATATGATTATACGTGATGCAGATCAGGATCCGAGAAAAACAAAACGAACGAATCCCAGATCCGGATCTGATGTGCAAAACAAACAGGCCAAAAGTATCTTAGTTTAGGAGCTCAAAGGGTTTAAATACACAGTGGTTATATCCTTATTAAACGCGGCAGTCATTGGATGAATATTCTTCAACCAAAGTAATGCAGTTTTGCGAAGGATGTTAAGTTAAACTTCGTCTAGAATATCATAAACATTCTGGTACATCACGAAGAGAAATCAAATTATGAAATGTTAAGTCTCAGGAATACTTTGTGAAATCCAAATTAATAATAATAATAATAATAATTTTAAAAAAAACAGCATTTCTAGCGCAATATGAATCAAAGATTCCTTAAAGTGCTTAACAATAGAACGAGAAACAATAAAAAAAAAAATAATAATAATAATAATCCCAACTTTAAACCCAACTTAATTGATTAACACTTAGGCCGGACCAGCTGTTTGTCTTAATGATTAATCATTAAAAAACTGTAAAAACAATCTTTTAAAAAAAAACGCAGTACCGCACATATTGATAAAATACAATTAAAATGCTGTAAAAAGTTCACGTTTACGTTAAAAACCCAAATCACACATTTAACAGCAACAAGAAAATGCATGGGCAAAAAAATACATGTAATGAATAAAATGCAGATTTGTTTTGAGGAGTATGTAGGGCCTACTTACCACATGAGTACCTGCACAAGCTTCATGACGACCGTATTAGTACCCGAGAAGAATGCAGTAAGAACCCGTCCTTCCTCAGTACCACTGATTCGTCCAAGCCCAATGCCAAAGACGATGCTAAACACCACCAATCCCATTATGTTCATCTGAAACACATACGTCGCAACGTACTTAACCTTGGTCATAGTATCCTCACCAGTCATTTGTCGGCCTACTATGTACTTGTTAGCCTCCTGCACGATGCCTTCGAGGTCAGAGGTCATAACGGTCATCTCCATCACCAAGGTGTTCAGCTCCATGATGTCAGTGGCACTCATGCTGTGTGGTGAGTGGATGATGGTGGAGACTTCAGCAAGAATCACGGTGAGATTACTGACCAGGATCTTGACATCCATCATAACGCCCTCACCGGTCATCATTTCACTCTTCATTTCCGCATCCGTGAGGAAAATGGTGTTCACTGTGAGCTGCGTCAGGCTGTTGGTAAGATCCCCGACGGCTATTACCTGTTTGGCGTCCACGTCATCCATGACAATGGCGGTTAGGCTCAAAGCGGACACAGTCAGTTTGCTTGCCTGTTGGGCGATAAAATATTGATCCACAAATTAGCCGACAAGACGAGGATCTAGAGAAACAGCATGCGCATAAAAAGGTATCTCTAGGATAAGTACCTTGATTTAGTGATCGAAGACGTTAAACGGCAGTGACGAGGTTGAGATTGCATTGGGAAACTTTGGAAGGTATACGCAAGGGCGGATCCAGGGGGGGGCCAAAGGGGGCCATGGCCCCCCCCCCCAAAAAAACGAAACCAATTTTTTTTTTTTTTTAATGTGACATCGCAATAAAGGCAGGCAATGAGTACACCACCATCTTTTCCTCAAAAAACATTGGCTGAAGTGGTCAGAAATTGCCTCAGATCGCACCACAGAGCATCTAGAATCCAAAAAATTTTCGGGGCCCTAGCGGGCCCCGAACCCCACGCCGTAATTTTTTTGACCCACTTTTTGGGGGGACAAAAAAATTTTTTGGCCCCCCCCCCAAATTGTGTTCTGGATCCGCCCTTGGGTATACGTATACATTATGATCACTTGCTCTTAGTGGGTAGTGGGTTTTTGCTTTCGTTTGACGTGTAGGCCTATCAGACGTTATACGGGGACTGGGCTCCATGGATAATGTGTTGTAGGCCTACTCAGACTAATCTTCACTGTGAGCAAGGTTCAAATTTTCATTGAATCGATAGGTGTGTTTCCGGGTAATTACAAATATTAAAGACTATAAGACAAAGGGTAAAGGCTATATCGTGCGGTCAGTGTGCTTAAAAAGTTTCGGTTTCAGGGAAGCACTTCAATAATTCGTTAGACTGATGTGAATTAGGTTAACTTGGCAAACTAACATTTTGTTTTACCTGTTTGTTTAATTCATCTGTTGTGATCCCGGGTCCAGACTGTTTAAGAAGAGTCCAATACCAATCGAGATTGGCGTTTATTTGCTTGACGATCATTCCTCTCCTAGGTCCATCCAGTAAATACAGCGTGCCGGTTATGGCGTTGATACTTTCTTGGAGTGATGTAGTAAGTTCTCGTAACATGGATTCTGTGATGGAAGTGGTGTTAAGGCTAAGTAGCATCTCGAGCAACTTTCTCTGCACATTTGTTGTAGTCTCGATAGCCATGGTAACATGCATCTGCAGGTGTGTGATGTTGTTGGCATGGAGATACACGTCGGTGTCCAGCTGATCATTATAACGAGTGAGATTTGTAAGAATGGTGTTCAGGTCAGCCAAGTCGGTCTGCAAGCCATCAGTGTCTGGTGGTGACGGGGCGATGGTGCTAACTTCTCCTATGATGTCATCGAAGGCATTGGCGCTAAAGTTCATCTGGCGTAGGAACGCGCCCATATCCGCCACCACAGCGGCCCCATCCAAACGCATAGCAGCCATATCCATGGTCTTCGACCTAGCAGCGGCCATACTGCCCTTAACCATGATCAAAGACTGGTTTAGGGTCATTCCAGACATCAAGGTCAGCCCAAGCAGGTCAGAGGAGGTCAAAGGTGAATTGGAGACGACTTCTGTCTCCGCGGCCGTTTTGAACTGTACAGCGGGCGGGAAAGAATTATAAAGAGGATGTCATGACTTGGAATATGAAAACTTACCATTTGGCATTTTGACAGCCTGCAATTGATAGAGTGCTAAAGCTAGTTTCGCCTTCCTATACCTGTGGAATAATTATTATAAAGTAGCTGGATTAAGTTAGACATTGCTTTCTTCTTCATCAGTCACAAGCAAAAATGTATGTCGCAGACTGTACATTTTCCACGAAGGCAAACCCATCAGACCTCTTATCCGTCTTCCTCAGGTTTTCGACGTTCTATTATATTAGATTATAAAACCTGTGGCGGTTACCGTTCGTATTTCACAGGATTGTAAAGCGATCACCTGGCAATTTGAGCGGTGCCGAATCTAGGGTCCACTTAGGGACCTCATTTGTCTGGAGGAGGGGAAGTCAATGGGCTTTTAACATTAAAGATCTCACTTTTCCTTCTCCGCAATTCTGAGCGCCAGGGTTGGGGAACAAGGGGGAGGGGCAGCAGGGGCAGCAGGGGCAGCAGGGGCACAGGCCTCGAGCACGGAGAGGCGTGCCCGGTGCTGCGCACCCCCACACCCCCAATTTCTCCACTGGTTTGTTGTTATTGACACCAACATCAACACTATAGGATGTAACCGAATATCCTAGATGTAATCTTCTAGCTTCCTGGTGGTTAGACCCACTACCGGTATCTTCCCGTCTATAGTTGCATATAGTGATGCACTGATCTACAATAATCCAACTATATATAGGGAGGAAGGTTCTGAAAAAGGGATAACGAAATTGAAGGAACGCAAAACATTATTCGTTAAATTGCCTGTATTTTAAGGTGCTTCTAGATATATCTTATGACGTCACATCACATACCGTTCGGAAGGCAGCCTCGACGATATTGGAGGGAAACATATTCCTTAAGAGAAAATTGGGAGAAAACGATAGGATAATTATTGTTAATTCAATAAATTTAAGTGGAGTAGGCTAATCGGATATTACACTGCAACTTCCGCGGTGATCATTAATTTGCTCAATTGAATAAGATAAAAAGCTGTGATCCAGTCCTTAACATGGTTTGGCAACGACATGTATGCTGATATATATGCCGCTACTGAAGTAGAGCTTTCGCTTTTTTCTTTAGTTGTAGCAATTGTTAGTACACGGACAAAGAGGTTTAATATTTCCAAGAATTGACAAAGGACTCGCACTTGGACTGTTTGGATGGAACGTCCATACTAGTAACAACTAACAAGCTGTCATATACTCAATCTGCACAACTAAAACTTTTTACTGGAAGTCACACGGACAATATTGGCCACCTGCTTTCAGCCTGTGAAACTAGGTAGGCCGGTGAGCAGTCGGTCAGCCCAGTTGGTTTAAACAAGTGTTTCAAGGGACTGATTGGCGCATCATATGACTAGATTTTGACTATTAGTCTACATTCCCTTTATCAGCTCACAATGTCGGTGACAATTGATATTGTGCATACTGTCGATTGATTCTGTGCATCTTATAAAGTTATTATGTATGTGTGGATAATTATATTGAAATATGCAGATAATACAGTATCGTTGGTTATATCAAAGTCTACAGATAGAGAGAGTATTCAAACATTTGCTACCTGGTGTAATGATAATCACCTACAATTGAATGCGAGTAAAACAAAGGAAATGGCTTTGATTTCAGATCTAACACGGCAACCGGTTATCAGTTATAGTACTGATAACTGTGTATTGTAATTGTTGAGTCTATTTAAATATTTCGGCATCCAAAGGGAACAACGCGTGCATTTTTATTTAAAGAAAACTCTAATCATTTAATATAGACAGAACATTAATGAATCTGTTTTTTACATCAGTCATTGAAAGTGTTATTCTGTACAGTTGTGTTACGGTGGTATAAGAGCCTCATCTGCAGAAGATTGCCAACTATACGCAAGTAAAATATTTGGGGAGAAATTGATTTTGCAGAGGGGGAAGCGTGTGGTTTCTGTTGTAAACAAGGTCAATGATATACTGCAAAATAAGGATCACCCACTGAACCATCAGTAACAATCATGAGGTCAGGAGAGAGACTGAGGAGCCTCAGATGTCCTACGAGTCGATACTGGAATTATTTTGTGCCATACTCTTTAATCTTGCAGACTGTTAATTCAGTCATGTGTGTATAAATTAATGGCGGATCAACAAATAGTGGCAACGAAATATTAGGAACTGCAAAACTTGTAATTGATTTGGTTTTTTTTTAATACTTGTATTTTTTTGATTACTTTCGAATTATTATTGATGCGATGTTTAACTCTTTTTTTTAATAATTTTTAATGTGTTTTTACAACGGACTGTTAAATTTCCATTTAATCTTGAAATGGATAATAAAGGATTGAATAGAATGGAAGTTCAATATCATCATAACTAAATGATCAATGGGACCAATTTGTGAGCCACAGGCGATGTTTTTACTTTGACATAGCCACCAAATGCACCGATTCGTGTCGACTGGATGGAAACGAGGATGGAAAGTTTCCGAATGTTGGATATTCAAAAAGCTGGATGGAGGGGGGGGGGGGTCCGGGTAACATAATTATGACACGAGGTGGCGCTGTTAATGGTTTTAAAAAAATGTATGAATGTGACTGCTCATTATTATTTCGGTGATTGGTTGGCTATATACAAATTAATTTTTACTTAAATGTTCTCTTCCGCTCATTATTCAGGAAGTCGTATAGGGGTACTTCAGTTTATTCAAAAAGAAAATAAAAAGGAATTATACTCATGCCTCGGTTAAAGCAGTCGGTCAGCCCAGTTGGTTTAAACAAGTGTTTCAAGGGACTGATTGGCGCATCATATGACTAGATTTTGACTATTAGTCTACATTCCCTTTATCAGCTCACAATGTCGGTGACAATTGATATTGTGCATACTGTCGATTGATTCTGTGCATCTTATAAAGTTATTATGTATGTGTGGATAATTATATTGAAATATGCAGATAATACAGTATCGTTGGTTATATCAAAGTCTACAGATAGAGAGAGTATTCAAACATTTGCTACCTGGTGTAATGATAATCACCTACAATTGAATGCGAGTAAAACAAAGGAAATGGCTTTGATTTCAGATCTAACACGGCAACCGGTTATCAGTTATAGTACTGATAACTGTGTATTGTAATTGTTGAGTCTATTTAAATATTTCGGCATCCAAAGGGAACAACGCGTGCATTTTTATTTAAAGAAAACTCTAATCATTTAATATAGACAGAACATTAATGAATCTGTTTTTTACATCAGTCATTGAAAGTGTTATTCTGTACAGTTGTGTTACGGTGGTATAAGAGCCTCATCTGCAGAAGATTGCCAACTATACGCAAGTAAAATATTTGGGGAGAAATTGATTTTGCAGAGGGGAAGCGTGTGGTTTCTGTTGTAAACAAGGTCAATGATATACTGCAAAATAAGGATCACCCACTGAACCATCAGTAACAATCATGAGGTCAGGAGAGAGACTGAGGAGCCTCAGATGTCCTACGAGTCGATACTGGAATTATTTTGTGCCATACTCTTTAATCTTGCAGACTGTTAATTCAGTCATGTGTGTATAAATTAATGGCGGATCAACAAATAGTGGCAACGAAATATTAGGAACTGCAAAACTTGTAATTGATTTGTATTTTTTTTAATACTTGTATTTTTTTGATTACTTTCGAATTGTTATTGATGCGATGTTTAACTCTTTTTTTTAATAATTTTTAATGTGTTTTTACAACGGACTGTTAAATTTCCATTTGATCTTGAAATGGATAATAAAGGATTGAATAGAATGGAAGTTCAATATCATCATAACTAAATGATCAATGGGACCAATTTGTGAGCCACAGGCGATGTTTTTACTTTGACATAGCCACCAAATGCACCGATTCGTGTCGACTGGATGGAAACGAGGATGGAAAGTTTCCGAATGTTGGATATTCAAAAAGCTGGATGGAGGGGGGGGGGGTCCGGGTAACATAATTATGACACGAGGTGGCGCTGTTAATGGTTTTAAAAAAATGTATGAATGTGACTGCTCATTATTATTTCGGTGATTGGTTGGCTATATACAAATTAATTTTTACTTAAATGTTCTCTTCCGCTCATTATTCAGGAAGTCGTATAGGGGTACTTCAGTTTATTCAAAAAGAAAATAAAAAGGAATTATACTCATGCCTCGGTTAAACTGAGAGGACCCCCCCCCCCCCGCCCCCCCCGCCCCCCCCCCCCCCCCCCCCCGCCCCCATCCCCATGAAGGCTGCGAATAGAGGTATCAGGTTTTTCTTTTTGTTAATAAAAGTCCACGTCTGATGACATAAACGTACAAGTTTGATTTGATCTATACTAAACAAACGCGGTTGACTGGGCATAATTCCACTCAACAGGTTGTATTCGTCCTTACTTCGTTAAATCGAGGTGACATTGTCCTTCTTAATATTTGAGACAATCTGGAATTCTCCCATGCATAGATTTCTGTAGGAGGGGAAACAACTTTTTTTTTCATCACTGAGAAACAAACATCTGGTGTGCAAATGGCAACAAAATGTACGCAATCACTCACTTATTAAGACAAACACGTTTCGTTCTTATCATTTCCGAAATAGTTTACATCACCTTCAATCCTGTTTATCTTTCCATAAATTGGCATATATCAGTAAGAGCATTTGCTGCAATATGATAGCGTGACGCGACTGTTATGAGCGGTAGAAACTAGAGAGAAAAAACGTCATATGGCTTAAGTGTGATTATATTAATATTGTGATTTTACGATCTGTTTTGCTGTGGTGTGTAAAGCGGGTGTGGGGTAGTCTATATAATGCGTGCAGATTATTCAAAACAACACTGCGTCTTGATCGCCAGATTCTGACCATTCGTTGGGTCCTTGGTCTTTGGTAACCCATTGTTGTATTACAAGAACATGGCAGCAGATTGACCAATCATCAACTTAGGCCGAATTTCTGCTCTAAATGACGTCACAATGTATAAAGTCGACTCCGATTAGCTGGCGCACGGGGTCAGATAAAATTTGGAAGCAGAAATAATTAAAGCCCCTGTCACACTTTTGCGTATCCCAATTCCTTATGAATTCCTTATCAACAATTTTCAATACGCAGCCGTACGAGCGCAAGTTCGCCATCTGTGCGTTTCTCATAAGTTACGAATAAGTACAATGCGCTGCCCGCTCGCAGGACGAGCGGTACTAATTCGTGCAATACGTCGCTATGTATACGTCCAATATAGGAGGTCAGCGTATTGCCGCGTATGAACGACTTATCCCTCACGAACACATAGCGTACTCGTACCGCGCTCGACCGATGCGGGACCGATGCGCTGCGTATTTATAACTTATGACCTGTGTAACAGCGTACGCAGCGTAGTTTTGTGCATGCCCAAAATTATCCAGCGTACTGGGCCGTACCATGCGTATGCCTGCGTACATAAAACTTACATAAAACGATAGAGATGCATACGAGGTGCGTATTGTGCGTACGACTGCGTATGAAAAAAAGTCAATGCGCAACTCATAAGGAATTAGGATACGCAGAAGTGTGACAGGGCCCTTATATCAGACGTTGTTGCGGAGTGCACTGGCTCCGTTATGTAACGGATGATAATAAGACAAAAGGGTGGGTGGGCGCGCAGGGGGAAACTGGCGACATTTTGCATACCGATATTCTTTTAATAATTATAATAATTGTGCTTATATAACGCTTTCCATCGTATCAACAATCGCAGAGCGCTTTACAATTATTACCCAGTTCATCAGGCAACGAGAACTGCGTACATGAGTCAGACAACGTAACCACTGACCATGGCGTTCTTTTAGAACGAAAGCGGCAGCACATCATCACAACCGCTGCTATACAGGCCTGTACGTTATTGTGTCCATTTGCGTTCAGCGTGTATGGCAGGGTTTTGATTGGAAGGTGGGATGCTGAACACAATTAAATTTTGTCAAGTTTTAAGGATCTTCAGAAAACGTCGACTTTTTTCTCTGTGGCGTTTTTGCCAAGGTTGGGGGTTGTATTTTAAGGGATTTAATATCTTTCCACATCCCCCAGTATATCCATCATGGGTGTCCTGGGTTTTTTTTACCACGGCGACAGACACATATTGGGCATAAAGCGCGAATGCGTGCTGACAGAAGAGAGAATTTGATGATTCCCCGCACTATACTGAAGTAGCCCTACTGCGTAATTATTTTGAGCAAGTTATTAACCTAGTTGAACGCAACCAATGTTTTTTTGACAGTACTAGAAATTGAATAAACTTTGCATCTTACAGTGTTACAATGCAGTGGATGCGGGTACATCTCTGTATACAGTCCGACGTCTCATTGGTCCGAGGGCATATTGGTTTATACGTCCCATTGGTCCGACGTCCCATATGATTAGGGTTAGGTTTAGGGTTAGGGTTAGGATTAGGGTTAGGGTTAGGGTTAGGGTTAGGGTTAGGGTTAGGGTCAGTCAACCTGAACCAGTGGAACCAATAGGACGTCGGACCAAAAGTTAGGTTACTCTGATAAAAATATATAGGGCCTACGCACTGGGATTAATTATTGGGAGATTAATTTTGTTATTAATTTAGTTGTTTATTTTATTTATCAATGTCTAAATAATTATTATATATATATATTTTTTTTTTTGCGGGGGGGGGGGGGTTCATACCCCTCCCATCCTCCTGCCCCACCCCGAGATCGCTCGCTTACCGTAAAGTAGGCTTTTGTGAGGGGGCAAGTCTGTCCATACCTCGTTCCCAGGGTGTCGAGCGGTACGCGCCCACCATCAGCCGCTCTCTCTCCCTGGTATTGAATATTTGCTTATCCAAAAATGTTTGGTTACGTATGCAAATGAGGAATAGTCTGGTGCCTGCATGTGCGTTATATCAGCGTTTGTTTTTTATATGGTGTCTGGGGTAAAAAACACACAACCAATTCGTCGTGGCGTGAGTTATGAAAACACGATTTTTTTTCTTCAAATTTACAATGTTACAATCTTATCCAGTCAACATACAGTTTCACAGTTCATATTTATTTGAGCAAATTGGAAAGGAGAGGATTTTTTTGTTGTTGAGAAGTTGTGGACGTAATAATTCGATGAACGTGAAAACACGAAGGCCTAATGCACGTTGGAAATAACAATACCAGGTACACGAAATTACTTGCCAATAATTGCGGGTATCGAATCAAGATACAGGAAGAAAGCTCCCTATCCAGGGATATTGCAAACAAGGTTGAAAATGAAGTAAGCCCTGGGGACGAAGTTGTGCATGTCCCCTTTTACAGGAATACGGTAAACTTGGCTCTTAGCCAGGAGTCAAATAAAACATTTTGGGCATGATTTACCCAAACTCCTTTGCCCAGGTAACACTAGTCTTGGCCTATACGACGCTAGTAATTGATACTGGATGGTGCATAGTGCGCCCTCAGCAATTAGACCAGCAGGCCAACTCGAGGAAATCAATTATGCAAGGGCACTACAGAACATTGCAACTATCGCTCTCGATCACTGACGTCTTCGGCCAAGACTAAGGTAACGCAAGCTTCTTTATTTTAAATTACCTGTCGTGTCAATATTTGAACCGGTTAAAGTCCGCTGTGACACCTAGCACTATGGAGTTCAGTTTTCCGATCCAAATGATTTTATGGCAATTCATATTTACCGTGCCACTGTCTGAATTGCAATTGGCATTGCAGTTGGGTTTTATTGTTTGTCATCTGAGGAGACCGTAATTCTCAGGGATAGATAAGACACAATGGGTTAACAAATAAGGTGTCATATAATAAAGATCGGTTATCAACGCGACGGGTGGTGGTGAAGCCTTTTAATATTATCTTTAAGGGTGCCACATTGCAAAACCAGCGACGTTATATTTTTCCCTTTTCGCGGGAACGATTTCAATTCAGAAATTCTTGTGGCATTGAACTTCAAATTGTATGAATCTGAAAGGTCGTTTGTGTTCTTTTCCCCGTGGGCTGTGAAGGGTGAGTAAAAAAAAAAGCGGAGCCCAACCCCCCCCCCCCAAAAAAAAATTTCATATAGCACCAAAAATACTAACAACTAGAAAGTCAATTTCATAAGCTACTTTTAAATGAAAAAAAATACTGTAATTGCTCAATTCGTTCAAAGAATATCACCATTTGAACGCAATGACCCAGTCATTATTACTTTTGGTGCTACATTTTTTTTTTAAATTGAAATATAATTTGGGGGGTTTGGGTTCCGCTTTTTTGACTTACCCTGTACTTATGATAATTTATTGTTTGATTGGTTACGTGAGGTCGAATAAGACATAACTTTCCCTTACATTCCCCCTAAGTTGGGAGTCAACTATTTTTTGCCAAAATGTTATGTGTAAATGAGTCGCATGTATACACATAAAAGATTCCCCAAGAGTAACAGTAAATGACCCCTGGGCCAAATTCATAGAGCTGCTTAAGCACAAAATTTGCTTAAGCACACAAACGTCTTGCTTAAAGCCACAGTCCATCATTTGTAATTTGTGCATTTTGTTCGTTTGAAGCAACAAAAGAGTTCAAAATCTAATGAAGGATACTGAACAACTAACCTGATGAAGTTTCAGCTCAGCTTCAGCTGTACATTCCGAGAAAAACAGCATTCTAAGATCTCAATTTCAAATCAAAAGTTACTGAATCATGTTTTGAATTTTTTTGAATTGCAGCTATACGCGACGTCGCGCACTGATCCGACATATTACAACAACCGCGCGCGCGTGTGCGTCGTTCCAATGCTTGTGCGCGCTGCGCTGAATAACAAAACGAACTACTAATTTAAATTTTCCTACGGTGCTTCTTAAGAATCACCGTTGGAAATGCCTTCTTTCGTTGATTACTTCAAAATGACAGCTTCCCAGAAAGAATAATTTCACAGGGAGTTTAGTTCCCTTACTATCTTTAAACCAAGTTTGATTTTTAACAATAATTACGTCAGTTACTTTTCGGATGGCTGCAAATGATGGACTCTAGCTTTAATAAAATCAGGTTACCGGCCAAAACACCATGCGATTGTTATGCTAAGTAAACAACAGCTAAATATCAGTCACAAGCAATGTACATCACATGGAGATTTGGCCGGTAACCTAATTTTACTAAGCAATGTTTTTTCGTGCTTAAGCAAATTTTCTGCTTAAGCAGCTCTATGAAATTGGGCCCTGGAATCCGTAAGTACCAAAGAATCGCAGACAATTTACAAGAACTTTTCAATTGCAGGGGAAAAATGCAAAAACAAATAATAACTTGAGTTTCGCGTTTGTTGTTACAAACGCAGAGTGGTCGGGCAGGCAATCTGTTCATTCAACACTACCGAGTCGAGTTGTGAATAAATTTATGTAAGAACGAAGGATCACGAAAATAAATCCTTTCCAGTACAATCAATTATTTGGTTTAAAAATGTGTCTTTAATGGTGTGATAAATTTTAGTCAACATTCTATGTAAGCCTACACATACAAGTTATTTCTGGCTTCATGACGCCATTATTCAAAAACGGGAAGTGAATACTGATAAGGTTTGGAGTGGATAAATGTTCGTTGTGAAGTTAAATTAACGTATGAAAATAAGGAAAATATAACTGTTGGTATTCATAACACCTAACTTCCGGTTGGATGACGTCACAGTATTTGGAAGCAAAAGGTGAACATTGTAAGGCATATCGTTATTTGGGCTATGAAGATATACGACATAAATCAAATGATAGAATTACATTTAAAATAGTATCGTTTTCAAATTCTCATAGAAGTAACTTCCGGTCTGATGACGTCATGAATTTGAAACCTTGCCAAATTATCTGTGGTTAATCAAAGAATAATTAGGGGTGGTTTTGTAAAATTTAAACAGATGGTTTTCAAATTAAAGAAAGCAAACAATATTTAATATGCCGCTAGGGAGCACTCTTTTGAAAGATGACGTAATCACACTGTTTTTTGTGTCTGGCATTCCTCAATTAACACTTTCATAATGTGTATGTTTGTAGTAAAATGCTTTCGTATTTGAGTTATACTCGCTTTTTATTGCACTTCCGGTAACACCGGAAGTGAAGGCCAAGCGGATTTGTGTCCGGAGACAAGAAATGTTTCCCACAGCATAGTCTACAACCTCACGAAAAAAACAAACACTATACTATATTTAGTTCAAAAGATATAGCGCAAACTATGTCGTCAAAATTTGCCCTTAAATCATTTGTAATTTGATACATGATGACGTCATGATGACATCACAAAATGTATAGTATCTTCGTAACATGGTACATGTCCACACTAGGTTTTATGATCATAACGTAAACCGTATGGAAGAAATTGTGCTTTGTTTTGATTTCAGGATAAAGTCCTCATTTTGAATTCACCTAACTTTAACCTTCCGGTTGACCCGGAAGAAAGGGTCAAGTGAGTTCACGTACACAAAAAGAAATGTTAATCGATTCATGGTCTATCTGCTTACAGAATATAAACATCACTGATTATTATGTTCAAGAAATATGAGTGAAAGTAATTGGACCCTTTTTCAGCTAAAATCGCTTGTAATTTGACACCCGATGACGTCATCATGATGTCAGAGTAATATGCACCACTTCGGATGAGGGTAAATATATATTGAAAGTTACAAGCTCATATCATGAACCGTTTAGGAGAAAAACCGCGGAGAATTATTGTCCGGAAAAAAAAAAAAAGATTTACCAGAACAATAACAGAGAGTGGTCGGGTTGTACCCGACCACTCAATAACAGAATCTGCCTGCATGGCAGTATCAATGTCAAACAATTCCCGTAGGATTTCAGAGCTCTCCGTTTCGAAAACTGCTAATGTGTAAATGGTAGTGGCCTAGCCAGGCATTTTAACATTTTAATCATCAAATAAACCCGAAAACGGACACTGACTAGTTGCATAATAATTATACAATTGAGCAATTTAACGCTGGAATTGGGTTTGAAACTGTGAACTCGGGAACAATCTGGATTCGGGAACAATCGGGATTCCATATCCGGATTTACCAACAATAATGTTATCAAAGAATTGAACAATTTCTGAGTAGCGGCACGTCGCCATTATTTTATATTTTTAAGAAGAGTCTCGGTCGTGTCTTGGGTTGATTGTTTGTTTCTTTGTCGGGTTGTTGGGGTTGTTTGTTTGTTGGGTTGTTAGGTACATTACATCTTTAATCAGAACTTCTCTGTATTTTTGTACAACAAAGCGTCATAGTTATTGATGTGTATGTATTATTGTTGCAGGGCGGCGGAACGCTTTTCAAACTGGGGGGCAACACCAAAAAGGGGCACTAGGTCAGAAAAAAAGGGGCACCTTCCGTCGGTATGAAAGTTGAGGAAAAGAACATGGTCCCGTTCGCTTCGCTATTACGAGATCAACTTATGATACGTTGTCCATCTTGCTATTTGTGTTTCTTTTTCTTAGTTATGTATAGAGGCCATTTTTTAATCGCGAGAGGGGCACTGTTGTTAGGATGGCCAGTTTAGTGATCATTTTATTCGCGTAAACTGATTCCATCTTGAGAGGGGCACAATTTTAGTGTTGAGCGGGACACTAATTGTGCTTTTGAGGGGCACTTTTTCATCTCGAAAAGTTATCGCGAGAGGAGCTCTATTGATTTTTTTTTGATGGCCAATTTTCGATCTCGAGAAGGGCACAATTTTATTATTGCGAGAGGGGTAGTTTATGCTTTCGATGGGTAGTTTTCCATCTCGAGAAGGTGCACAATCTTATTAATGCGAGAGGGGTGCTTGTATTTTTGAGGGGAAGTTTTGCATTACGAGAGAGGAGACAATTTTACATGTGGCGCGATCATATTTTGTACGCGTGCGTTTGAGGGGCAGTTATGCTTTCACCTCGACTGGGGGCACATTTATAAACGCGAGAGGGGGCACTTTAGTTGGTCTGGAAAAATGCCCCCCCCCCCCTCCTGCCGGCCCTGTGTTGTTATTTTTTAGGGAAGGCCATGTTAACATCTGTCGGTCCATGAACAAAATCCTACGCCGCTTCAGTAATCGTTTAGTCTCGTTTTTATTAACTAATCCATGTTTATTATATGTATCATCCGTTTCAAACAAAAACAAATGTTTTTTTTAATGTTTATTATAGAAAATGAATGGCAGCTTTCGTCACTTACTGCTCGTAATACTTTAGACGGGGATCGATAGCTCTTACAATTTTTATCATAGCCGGAAATGAAAAGAGTGGGTTCTCTTTATAAAGATGAAAAACTCAGTGTACACTTTTCTTTTCAGAATTTGATTAGAGTTATTAAGGGTGAAGTATAAGGGCTCTGGCTCGACCGCTTAAACGATGACACAGATATTCATTCCGTTCACTGTGCAAAGACTTATATTAATTGTATATATTTGTACTTACAGAATAAGATCCAAGATGGCGTAGACGATGTTGACTTCTTCTTTGTTCTTATTTGGATCTACCTCGTTGTTAGACCTTCCCCCTGGGTTGATGACAAGTACCAGAAGGATACCAAGTGCCACAGCTAGCAGAGTGGTTGCCATGTAGTAGATGACAGCACGGTAGCCCAGCTTCCCTGACATGGCTGAGTCTAGAGAAGCCAACGATGCAATCAAGCTTGACACGATCAGTGGGATGATCATCATCTTCAACATGTTCATGAAGAGTTTACCGGGAAAGCTAACGTAGTCGATCTGTTCGTCCGTCAACTCAACAGAGACACTCAGCACGTAGCCAACCGCGAACCCAAGGACGACCGAGGTGATTAGCAGGCACAAGAGGATATTTTCAGCCTTAAGGTAGGCTCGCCACCCCTGTGCGGTCTTAGTCTCACTCTGCCCATCTTCTCCGCCTATATCTACGGAGTAATCATGGTTGCTGCCTCTTTTCTTAGATTCAACCCCGTTCATCTGAACTGCCTCGCCATCCATCACGTCAAACAAATGTCAACTTTAAGATCAATGAGTTATTTGAGTTAAATTTAGCATCCAATATTCAATTGTCCTAAGAGCAGTGGAAGGCGAACCCACCTCTTTACTAACCTTTCGGTCGTACAGATTTGAGATCGCTTCAGGTTCTTCGTTGATCGAATTGGTTCTGAACCATTTACATCAATTGAAAAAAAGACAGTATAAGCGAGAAATTATCGACGTGAATTCAGCGAAGCCCTCCACAACAATGGTAAATATGCTCGATTCGCTAGTTCATTTAAGCGTTCAACTAGCCCCACTCGACCGTTGCTTGGCAAAGTTGTGAGCAAATAATATTGTACGTCACGCGTATACGTAGATGCAACGCTCTTGCCAATGGCACACTTTATTCACCACCTGGACAAAACGCGCAGCGATGCAAATAGGAAATAAGTGACTAAATAAACGGACAACGAGGCAATAATAAAGGGGCGGAAGAAGAGCGTGTAGTATTCGAGTGGCTAACTGGTTGCATGGTTGGCGATATGATCTCAGGATGCCAAATTTATTGGGAATTTTCTATAATCATGTTCAAGATTGCACAGGTGCACCTAAACCATCTTAAGATTAAAAATCGTTTAATTAACAATACACAAGTAAACAATGTTTGCAAAGTTTCTTTACGTCGTATGTGCTGTTTAAGTGAAACGGATACCGGTATCTCCACGCAACAACGCAATGAATCGGTATCGCATTATGCCTATCCAGCCGGGGCTGGGATGAGGATGACTGTAACTGTCTCATTGGGGGTAGGAACTAAGGACTATGCATTATCAAATGATATCATAAAAGTGTTCATTGTTAGTTTGTTAAAACGACTGTTACAAACAAACAACAGTATTAAATTATGCGCATACTTCAAGTGTACGACGTTATAACATTTGAAATGTTTCTGGTTCCGTATTTTGTTTAACTTACAAGTTAAACAAGTTATTTACAAGTACACATCCTATATCGCATATACTACCGAGGCGTAACAACCCCCCCCCCCCCCCCAATTGGATTTGTCGCTGTACATTTCTTACTAAACAGATCAAGATTTATGTTTTAGGCCTGGGCCTATACTCTTATAAGCAAATGGGCGGGAATATTGGGTAGCATTTTAAACAAAAACAAATGAAACTTGCAGTAACCTTTTAGAAGTAACATGACTGTGCAAGAGCTAAAAAGAGGTAATCTTCCCGTCCTCGAAAAGGAAAAAAAAACACCGCTCTGGTTGCTCTTTTCCTAAACATGAGGTAAACTTTGCTTTGTATTCGATAAAACCGTTGTCTTTAAAATATACGAGCTGATACAGGGCGAGTCCAATAAACCAAACCCAAATGTCGGCATTATTGTTAAAGTGAAGTTCTGCATGCATGGGCGTCAATCCTGGGCGGACAGGGGGACATGTCCCCCCCCCCCCTTTTTTTGTAAGGATGGAGGACACAATATCAAATGTCCCCCCTCCCCCCCCCCCCCCCCCCGATTTATTAACTCGTGTGTCCCATTAACAGGGCCCTTTATGTACTACAATGTATCTTTTGCTAAGAAATATTGGTTAAAAGTGGTCAGGAATTGCCTCAGATCGCATCGCACCACAGAGAGCGTCTAGAATCAATTTTTTTCGGGGCCGGTGGCCCCGAACCTCACGCCGTAGAGCTTCGCGCTTCGCACTCGCATTAGTTCTGATCAAGGTCAAGGCCGGATCCAGAATACAATTTTGGTCCCCCAAAAAGTGGGTCACAAAAATTACGGCGTGGGGTTCGGGGCCCGCTTAAGGGCCCCGAACATTTTTTGGATTCTAGATGCTCTGTGGTGCGATCTGAGGCAATTTCTGACCACTTTAACCAATATTTTTTTGAGGAAAAGATGGTGGTGTACTCATTGCCTGCCTTTACTGCGATGTCACATAAAAATAAAAAAAATTGGTTTCGTTTTTTTTGGGGGGGGGGGCCATGGCCCCCTTTGGCCCCCCCCCCCCCGGATCCGCCCTTGATCAAGGTATGCCCCCCACTTTTGAGAAGCGATGACGCCCCTATTCTTTCAAAATCTAGGATATGAAAGCCCAATTCATAAGCTTGTTTGCGTTTTGCTGAAAGGAATGTCTTACCTTTTTGTTATCCGTGGACAGAACTTTAAAACGATGGCTGTGTTTAAAATTCCGTAACTTAAAAATAACATGAGTAATTTGAATGATTCTTGTACTAAAAAAAAAACTTAGGAATTGGGCTTTCATATCATTATCCACGATCTTGAAAGTGCTACATGCAGGAATTCACTACAACAATGGTCCCAGTTTTTTTTACTCACACTGTACAGGCTGAGTAAAAAAAACCAAAAACCCAAATGTCGGGACCATTGTTGTAGTGAAGTTCTGCATGTAGCACTTTCAAAATCTAGGGTATAAAAGCCAACATTCATAAGCTTTCTTTTAGTACAAGAATCCTTCAAAATCTTACGTACTTTTCAAGTTACTGAATTTTAAACGCAACCACCGTTTTAAAATTTCGTCCACGGATCACAAAAAAAGGTGTGTGTTCTTGCAGCAAAACGAAAACAAATCACAGTGATGTGTATGAATTGCTTTTGTTTTGCTGAAAGAACGCACACCTTTTCTGTGATCCGTGGACAGAACATTAAAACGGTGGTTGTGTTTAAATTCCGTAACTTGAAAAGTACATGAGTGATTTTAATTATTCTTATACTAAAAGAAAGCTCTTGAATAGGGCTTTTATACCCTAAAAAGTGCTACATGCAGAGCTTTACTAAAACAATGGTCCTGACATTTGGGTTTCGTTTTTTTTTTACTCACCCTGTATAGTCATCATGAATGAATTTGGAATCCTCAAGGACCTTGTATGTGATGCAATCTATATCTGGATTTTCTCTTTTATCATAACGAAGTCATTCTTAACCAGTGTAATGCCCCACCATGCGGCAAACCTGTGCCTTCACCCGTGCGTAGATAATCATCATTCATCACAAACAGCAACATGAACCATAATAGATGGTGTCAATTTTAAATCAGTTGCATATTTGCTTTTTGATTTGAGTCAGTTATTTCAACGTTTCCATTGACAACCGAAGTAGGACCTCTCAATCTCTCTCACACTGTTTGTTTTTTATTGCAAACCGTATATTGACTCAGTCGATCAGTGCACGGATCTAACTGCATAATGGACTTCGGACCATCCGTTATTATTGACAATCTTTATACCGACCGGTCATTTTGGTGGTGCGCAGCCAGTATTATGTTTAACGATGAGGCGGACCATATCACAATTTATTAATTACGTGCAAAATTGCACTTAGTTTCACTTTTACCAATTACATAATGACATTCGACTACAAACTGTCAAACTGGATCCGAAAGCCACATCGGTCAAAACTGTGTGATTCCCTTTTTCAAGAACTGCGAAATCTTGGCATTTTGTTGCTTATGGGCGTCAATCGGTGTGGGACGGGGGAAACTGCCTCCTCCCCCCCCCCCCCCCCCCCCCCCCCACACACACACACCCAAACGTGTTCTTACCGTCGATCGTGGACGTCCTATTGCTCACTTTTTAGGAAGACTTCCATAGGTTCTGTACACGACCCCAATCATGGACGTATGCTGGGAATCGTGGACCATATTGTTCTCTTTTCTCTGGTATTTTTCGCCCACGATTTGAAAAAATGAACACGTACACACCGGCTCGTTTGTTTATGGTGTAAATCGAGGATTTTCTATTGTCCCCTTCCCTTTTCCTTTGTTTATACTCTATATAATAACTTGTTAACTTTTATAACTTTTTTGCGGTAACAGCCCGATAGTCCAAAGGTTCGATAGTCCGAAGGTTCTTTAGTCCGAAGGTTCTTTAGTCCGAAGGATCATTAGTCTGAAGGTTCGTCAGTCCGAAGGTTCAATAGTCCGAAGGTTCGATAATCCGAAGGTTCGATAGTCCGAAGAGTCCATTAGTCCGAAAACAGAATAAGGTTAATTAATCCGAAGGTTCGATAGTCCGAATAGATGAAAAGGTTCGATAATCCGAATATACGGTAGGGTTCGATAGTCCGAATTGAGGATAAGGTTCGATAGTCCGAATGGGCGTACCTTACTGTTGATTCGAACTATCGGACCTTATTGTCGATTCAGACTATCGGACCTTATTGTCGATTCGGACTATCGGACCTTATTACCTTTTCGGACTATCGAACCTTATTGTCAATTCGGAATAATGAACCTTCGGATAAATGAACCTTCGGACTAATGAATCTTCGGATTAACGAACCTTCGGACTATTGCATTAATGTTCGGATTAACGAGCCTTATTTCATTTTCGGACTAACGAACCCCCTCTTATGGACATTTTGTGCATTCGTCCGATAGAACCTTCGGACTAAAGAACCTTCGGACTATCGGACCTTCGGACTATCGGGCGGCCCCCCTTTTTTGCAACAGCTCTCATTGGTATTGTACACGTTTTCCGATCGAGGAGCCTTTTCGATTTGGTTTCTGTCGTCGATTCATCGATGATGGTGCACAGTCATGCATGTCCTCGATTTACACCATAAACAAACGCATAGGCCTACAATCGTGTACCTAGGACAAAAGGGTTGGATCACAAACAAACCGTTTGACCAATAGTCCACGATTGAAATTCGTGTACAACCAATTAGACCGGTTGAAAAGTACAAAGGAATGAGGATTAGGGACAACAGGGGGTCCACGATTGCCGGTGTTTTTACATAGTCCAGCAAACATGCTGAAATATAGGCCTAGGCCTATATCAGTTGAATAAAATGCATGCATGATTTTGGACTGAGTGCTCAGAACGTATGGACATTATATATAGACGTAGAGCCAAACAAAACTTATTAAATCGTGGGAGTTTCAAAAAGCATAGGGCCTATTCACTTTAAAAATGTACGTACAGCAGCAGACCCCCCCCCCCGTCCTATCACGTGCGTAAGAAGTAACCTCCTTGTGAAGTACGATTAGAAGTGGTACACGTAAAAGTTGCTTGTTAAATCACCATGTTGCTTAGATAAATGAGGTTAGATAAACGAATTAAGGTGTTAAGCAGTTATAGATAAACGCATTAAAATATTCATGTCACATTTCACTTTCCCACAAGTATAAATGGTAAAATGCGATCCGATGTAATCGCTCGCGCGGGTATAAAAGTTGGAGGGCCGTTCGGTGTTTCCTTCAAACTCCTCTCTGATATTTTGCGCTGCGGACTCTCTTGCGTGGTCTGCGTGAGAGATACCTGGGAAAAAATGGTGTCTCGACTTCACCTAGTGGTTGTCTTAGTTTGGCTGTCAGTTTGCCAGGCATGGCAGCTACGTAAAATAGCCACTTTGGACATGCCAAACGCTGCCATTGCAACTGTCCTTAAAAACCCGACTACTGGTCTGTATGATGCTGTCGTGAGTATACGTTGCTAATGTTTTACATTTTAACCTTCTGGAGTAGAGAACTCTTCATCTTATAAAACGTTTAATGGGTGAAGTGCGCCTTATTCCATGAACAGTCGGCTTATCATGAATAATCGAATATTACTGCGTTGCGGGTTTAAATCATGTTATGGAAAGGTTTCAATTGACCAACGGGTCATCCTTCCATTGTGTAGAACGTTCTCTTGTTCCCAACCAATGTACACGTAAATTTGGCATGGGACCATAGATAATCAAAGACGGTTATCATTGGCCGGTACTGGTAGTGAAGTAATTAGGAAATTGGTCCGTTAAAAGTAAAAGAGCCAGACGTTTTGAAAGTGTACTTTAACTGAGTTGAAATTAACCGTTTCATAATAATAGCAATGCATCTCACATGAACGCATATCTAAAAATCTAAATGGGAAACCGCCAATGTTTAGGGCTGGAAAGCTCAGTTGACCGAAACGATGCGCCGCAACGATGACCCGGAGGTCGCTGGTTCAACTCCCCCGCTTCAGTAAATTTCTTTATTCAACTTTAAAGTATCCCGTAAAATATTATACGCAGGTATCCACCTTCAACGCCATCCCCCTGACCACCGATAACATCTACATCATCCGTGACGTGGCAGGCCAGATTCAAGCCGACCAAGGCCTGATAGCCGAGGTACTGACGGACGAGTATGCGTGGCCCAACGAAGTAGGGGCGGTACCTGGTAAGCGCCAAGTAAAATCTGATCTCACAATCTGTTTTTATATATAGGTCTACAAATAGTCATTATTCATATGTTCAAATGCTTTTGTTCCACACGGATATGCACAAGGTAACTTTGTTTAGGAATAAATAAAAAAAAAATACGCCCTCATAAAAAATAATAAAATATATGTAAATATGAAAATCCTTTCGATTGTACAATAGATTCCGCTTGATTCTTGATTTCACGCTGTACTTTCAGAGGATGTGTTTGGTCGGGATGGTATCTGGTGGACAGCCACTGGTTTCTTGGTACCGACTAAAACTGATGGTGTAGTCGCTCTGATGGACACCAGGCTCATGGTCCCAGGTGAGGCCGCAACTCGGGTCAGATCTGCAGAAGTGAAATAAAGTTGCCTAAACTATAGTCTCAAAAAATGGGATTTTCCCCCTAAAATTTGTATGTTTTGTTTTCACGACTTAAGCGTTTGCAACCTTCTGAAAAGGGCTTTCATTTTGTGCATAAATGAACCCGCCCTAAATGGGAATAACGTTTATATTGCTGTAGGAAAATAGCCCTTGCAAAAAAATTCAATTTTTCCAGGTGAAACTCGAAAAGAGCACGAGGAATGCATCGGTAAGTATAGGGCAGACGGAATGGATACATTGACGAAAGTTGTATACATGATTATTTTTTTCAGTTTAAGGGGCCGAATTGAAAAACCAACACAACAAATGTATCTACTCATGTAATGTTTGTAAGAAAATATGCAGTCTTATTTTTGTGTGTGATCTCATCACAGCAACTACATATGACATTTCTAGCAAAGCCGCGGACCGGACAAAATGGTTCTATCACCGGGTGGAGTGGAGCGACATGAACAAAGATGGTCGTATTGATGCCCTAACTGCCAGGGCTTACCTCAATACAAGTGAGTTATATGAACATCACATGTTTCAAGGGCCCACCTACGTGGCCGGCAAGCCCAACTCCTCCCACATTTGGAGGCTTACTTTAATAATGGTAACCGCATACCACATCGGTGTTTCATCCGGGTTTTAAGAACTGATTTATTGTCGGGCTGAAAATAATATGAAATGTGTAAACTATGCCATGATTAAACGAAAATGAGAAAGCAGTATTTCGTGGTGAAACTCGAAACTAGCCCGAACAGTTCATCTTTAAAGCACGAATGATTTGAAAGCCGATTTCACTATTTTGACTCATTATTTGCCATTTCGTCCTGTTGTTAGTTGGGGGATGGTTGCAGCAATCTGAGAACGTATTCGTCAAACTTGGCCAAAATAAATATGTGACGTTGGAGTATCTTCACTGATCATGAGTTTACATGTAATTCAACATGAAATGCAATATTTGATTTGACACTGCAGTTTAGCTTCTATATTGCATGACACATAATTAACGGTGTAACTCGTTTACGTGACCAGGCTGTGTTTGTTTTGCGTGCATGAGGCCTCCCATATATTTCTTGGGCCCATTGTCTATCGGAACTTTAACCCAACCTTGATTCTATACGTGACAAATGTCAATATTTGACCTGAGTTTGAATGGCTTTGAACTGGGTCGTTTACACTCGACATAAGAGTTAGTCACTTAACTTCTGCAAATAAATGACTGATAGTTTTGGCAACCCCCCCCCCCCGGAAAAAATTATAAGAATAAATAAATAAACCTTTCAAACGTTGATGTTGGATATTGGACAGGTGTGCGCAACTATTGGTAACGCCCAACATTTGTGAGCACGGGGGCCAGCAAACGTAGCTCTTGTATACGGGCACACACAAAGAACGCCCTTACCTCCCCAACTCCATCAAAATCCATCAAGTAACCTATTTTGGTGGATTTGGGGGGACTTGGTCCTGCAGGCCTGGTTTGACTAAATATTGATGGAGGCCCAAAGCAAAGCATGCATTGGAAGTAGTGTAATTGGTGGATTTTGGCAGACTGGGTACAATACTTGATAAAAGACATTAGGGAGAATAGTATTTTAAGGCGAAATCTTGCATGCATTGGAATTTTGAAAGTAGTCATCTTGTGGTCGGTTTATTCAGGAACTGTTGTGTTGAATCCCTTGGGTGTGTACATGAACAAAATCAGACTCAATGACGATAAGATAACCCATCCGTGTGGTTGCGAAGACCTAAGCGTCCCCGTTGTCCGATACGTACTTAGACGTAGTAACAGGGCAGTGAAATTCATGTACCCCAAACAAAATGGCTTTTGAACGTTGAGTTTCTCAGAAAATATGCTCAGTATGATTAAAATGTTAAATTATAACGGAAGACGAAATTATAAACTTCATGTCAGTGAACAAATTGCCGTCATCGATGCCGAAACGTCAATACTGGTTACTGGTAAAGCTGACCTTCAAGTCGGGAATAAATCGTTCGAACACGTCCCCAAATCTATGTATTATCTCAATTTCTAGGAATCTCCTCAGGTCGTTATTTCGTGAGTAGTTGAACACTTATATCACCTAAGTAGGCCTATACTCCGAGTTTCAGCTTAATCTGTTTTTGCAAACGCATGTGTTACACCATGAACTATCTCCAAGCAAAATTTTGACGAGGATATTTTGCCTACCAATCTCACGTGCATGGTTTCAGGTTGGCTTGCATGCTTGGCCGATTTGGGGCAAAAATGACGAAGCACATATTAGCATATTCATTAGCGTCACTTGGCGTGACTTCGCGCGGGTCTCGGTATCGACCAATGGAAGCCAGAAGCATGTATTAATTAATAACTTGCCAAGGTGGCTATTCTGCAAATTTTTACTGCACAACATAATGGATAGGCATTATTAATATTCATGAGGCTTGAAAAATTGACAGATATTGCAAACACCAGTGTTACAACTTTTACAAATTTACATAGCCAGGCCTATTTTTCCAATTTCAACCAAAAGTACCGAACGCTTCAAAACGATTTTTAGCACATTGGCCTAGTTGGATCATTATAAGGGAAATAAACCCTGAAAGTTCCGTGAAGATACGGTCATCCAAACAGGAGAAATTAATTTCCAAGATTTCGCCTGCCAATGTGAACATGTCTGCGTGCATGTTGTTTCATTCAAAATAAAGTATTACGTAACCTTTAGAAATCGGCCTTTGCAACCATAATTATGGCTGAACCAGTGGCAAAAACTTTAACCATATTTCTGTTAATTATCCAGATGGAACAGCTGTTTGTGAAGCAGTCTGGCTGGAACATCCCCGTTTCGGGGATCCGTTGACCCAGCCCTGGACGACTAATGTACTGTTCTCGGGCCCTGACGCCCTCTTTCGATTCGAGAAGATGACCATCCCGGGTGGCAGACAACTTGAGGTCATGATCAGCGCCCAGTACTTCTCAGAGAAACTCGTTGTTTCCTGGGTTGAAGGTTAGATTATGAGGCCAAGTGAAGTACTCAATGGCGTATTATATAACAACAGGACATATAGGGGGAGCGGGCCCATTTTGACCCTGGCCTGCTCACCCACCCACCCCCCCCCCCAACAAAAGGGAATGCAAAGACAGCAATTAAAAGATGAGCAACCAATTGCCAACAGTATAAACTGCTGTAAGGGGGTCTATAATGGGCCTATAAGACGCAGAAATTAACATAAGAATCATTCAAATCACTCATGTACTTTTCAAGTTACGGACTTTTAAAAACAATCTCCGTTTTAAGGTTCTGTCCATGGAGCACAAAAAAATGTCAGTGTTCTTTCAGCAAAACGAAAAAAAAATCACATAGGGATGTGTGTGAATTGTTTTCGTTTTGCTGAATGAACGCACACCTTTTTGTGATCCGTGGACAGAACTTTAAAACGATGGTTGTGTTTAAAATTCCGTAACTTGAAAAGTACATAAGTGATTTAAATGATTCCTGTACTAAAAGGAAGCTTATAAATTGGGCTTTTATATCCTAGATTTTGAAAGGGCAACATGCAGAACTTCAATAAAACAATAGACCCGACATTTGGGTTTCGTTTTTTATGACTCACCCTGTATCATGTTGAAGTCCTCAGCTGCAATACCCAACTTAAATACTACTGCCCAACTTCATAACAGCCGATCACACTCTAAAAAGTTATCATTTTAATGCTTACAAGAGTAAAAACGGTGGTTTTTTTTTTTTTTACAGGACTTACGTCCAGCTGGTCCGATCCTTCCAAGATTCAGCACAGAGTTATTGCAGATATTCCTGAGAATCGGTATTTTGATATTGAGGTAATTTGTGTATTAAACTTCGTCTTCACTATCTCCTACATCTTAGTCACCATCGGCCGCTACGAAATGGTCAATTTCGTCACTGTACAATGCAATCATGGTTGGATTATCGCTGTTGTGTTTGCCCGTAGAAATCCACAGTTTTGATAATCGCCGTCAACCTACACGAATATTTATCCTTGAAAAAAATTCAACGACACGAGATTGAATTCCATTTATCCGAAACGTTTCTGTGAAATACCGACAAACCATTTTTTTTCTATTTTTAAGCTCGTTGATCTTAATCTGGACGGGAATGTGGATTTGCTGCTCTCAATAAACAGGTACGTACTCTGATGTCTTCATTTTATAAACAAAATAATGTTATATCATTGGGATCAGTGTCAACAATGTCTTTTTGCTTGATTTTTTCATTCTCAATTTTGCAATCATGTTAGTGAGACCGATGGAAAACTCGTAGCTTATGAGATCCCGCGAGATTTCCGAACCGGTATCTGGAGATCTCACGTGATTGCTGAGGGATTCAAACCAAGTAATCTAATTGTACTAGAAGGCAACGGTTCACCGGGGAGTGCGCATGCCTTCTATCCAGGACCTGCTGGTGATAGGTGAGTTCATCTTCAATGGTATAAAAACCCTCATAGCCTCCTTGCTTTGATCTTCCGCCAGTAAATATTATTGAACTTCTCGCCTTTGTTAAAACAGTGATGGAATATAATAGAAAAAGTGGCTATTAGCTGATGTGATCACCACCTCAATCAATTTCATTGGGGAAAATACGTTGGCTTTGTCTAGATCTAACCAATTAGTGTAATTATTTTTCCTGTATTACTTTTATACAGTTGCTAGAACAAAGTTCAATTACATTCAGCCTCCAAATCGTAAGGCCACGCCTATCTACAAAAAATAATAATAAACGTATCCTACTTGTTTTTGGTGGTATAGGATCAAACCCCTCATCCTCCTAACAGGAGATGATGATAGCAACGTGTACATCTTCGAGAGCACTGCAGACAACGACCCATCCGTGTGGAGCTACACTCAAACCTCCATCTTCTACGCCAAGGGGACGGTAGGCGGTCCCGCCATCAAAGACATTGACGGTGATGGATACGCCGAGGTCTTCATCCCAGCTTGGTCGGAGGGAACTCTTAACGTCTACACTTTTAAACCTTGAGCCAAAGTGTACAAAATGTTACACCTCAATTGCTGTACGGTTTAAAGAGTTAAATTAAACTATGCTATAATGAAACCGCTCTACAGCTTTTGTGGATTAAAACCAATTGAATTATACTTAAGGATACTACGAATATACTGATCCATACATCAAAGTTACACTTTCGTCAGATGATTGCCCAAACTAGGTTTTAGAATAACCAAGTCACCATGTTTCAAAGGTCTGGGACTCTGGGTCACAAGAAATCTCACTTAAATGATATTTTTGTGTTGCCGAGGCATAATTCCAGCAGTAAATAAAGCCATCGAATTATGAGCTTATCTTGTCAATATCAAACAGGTTCCACATGTATAGGCATATATCCTTCGTTGTTGGAAATCATCTCCAACAACATTACAGTATATGCGTTTGAAGCAACGTTTTAGAAAGGAAACAATGTCAACTTGATTCAACATAGCATTCCAACAGTTCGAATAACATTTTGCCCGGAATTAGCGCGACCAATCCTCAATTTTCACGGTGTAGTTATGAGCCCTTATATTCTACTTAATGATCTCTCCAATTATTTTAATCATCGATGCGCATTCCAGACAAAGGGTGCTCCAACTTTTTCAGGTAATAATTCAAGCAGAATACAGCATAACTCATATTGGGTGTGCTACAAAATGTAGTTTTCCAAACTTCACCACCCTCGTCGCCCTCTAAGTTACTTTTACGAGTCCAATTCCTTCCATATTTTGGAAATAGCTGCAACAAACTGGTTGGGTATCTATAGTATTAACTATGATTTCTGCTCTCGGCATTCAATTAAGTAGTCCATTTCACACGTCAACCCCCCGAGAGACATATCGAGAGCCATACAACTACATAGAGCCTCCTCATCAGACTTGTTTCAACTTTTAGAGTATCTGCCATTAAAAAAAAACTCCCAGTTTCAGGCTCTACTCAAGACTGCCCTGAGGATTATTGTAGGAAAATAAGACTTGGCTACAGAATACAACCTAGCTATTCCAGTGAACCACCGGCACATTAGCAAGTTTTCGGGATCGTACAACTGGGGGGTCGTATGGGCGGTGGTGTTTTCTTGCTCTGAAGACAAAAAAAATGACAGCAGGAGAACAAACCGACTGTGAATCTTTTACCAGTTTGCACGTTAAGGGGAACATACAGATGTTGTAAATTGTATGGGCCAATATATCAGTTTATTTGATAGAACCATTTTGCTACCACTTCGTCAGACCGAAATTATGTAAAAGAATTAGAAGCAGCCCTTTGAGAGATACCAAAACTGTCAGATATCATTTTTGCCGGAGATCATTCACCTGCCTGACGTAAACCGGGTTCATGAGGTTAGCAGTCATTGGCGACACATACCTCACATAGTAGACAGTTAAGTTGAAAGACTCAAGAACAAAACCTCCATCTGGTTGTTACATTCAAACCCAACAAGAGAGGAAAACATCAGTTGGACCTGGTGTTTACAAAATGTGCGCCCGAAATGCAAATATCGCTAGCTTCTCAAACCACCATACTGTGTCGGTTGTTTTTCTCGTGTCACGTCAGAAGATAAAAAAAGTATCGCAGGAAGGCATTTATGTATAAAAGGTAACTATGAACAGACAAGTGAGAAATTGATGAAAAATGCTGAGTCCACGACTGAAGAAGAGGTATACAAGGATTATATAATTGACCACATTCAATACAAGTTTCACTGATATTCAGCCATGCATACCAACACAATATATTTTCTAATATTTTTAAAGGCGATATTTAACTTTATTATTTGCCAGCACACTGCAAGACAGAACATTTCAAAGTAGCCATGGCAAGGCCACGGTTTACTGCTGTATAAAGGGCTTTGATGGTCAGAACGTTTTAGGAAGGTAGCGGATACAAGACACCATAGGTCAAATTGGAGAACACCTTTCGCTGGTACGGAAGCCCAGGCGCGGTTCTAGAACCAATATTTTTTTTGGGGGGGGGGGGCTAGCACGGTGGATCCATAATTTTTGTTCAGGGAGGCGTGCTGAAATGTTGACCGGTTATTTTTTCCAGACACTTAGGCCTCCGAAAATCAATAGTGGGGGGGGGGGGGGGGGGGGGGGGGGGGTCATGCCATATTTTCAATGGGGAGCGCCAATAAAATCCTAAAATCATTCACAATATATTAACTATGCACGGCTATTTCTTCTTTAGGGGGAGACCGTTCGCATGAACATCACAATCCTTCTTTTTGCTAATGTAATTTTTTTTTTACGGAATTTATTTTTGGGGGGGCTAAACAAAATTTATGTTTCTTATATAGCATGCTACGCCGTTTCTCAAATGGAATTTTTCCTAAAACAATTTCTTACAGTGTTAAGGCGGAAGTCAAGAACCAGTTTTTTCTTGTACAGAATGTTCGTACATAGTAATGTTACATACAACAATATGAACGTTTCAACGATATAAATGTTTCACAGTTAAAGCCTCCCCCCCCCCCCCCCCCCCCCCCCCCCCCCCCCCCCCCCGTAGAACCGCGCCTGCGGAAGCCGCAGAGCTATGCGGTATGGTCCGCAGAGCTACTGCCAATACCAGCGGCAAAGCAATGCGCTTCCCGAACATGCACATTTTAGACGGGCACTGCATTAGTGTTGTAACTTGTATAATTTTACGAGTAGCCTCACACGAGTTTACCTATCCAACGCTAAGGGCGCCCTGGCCTTTTTAATGATGTCATTGGTCAATGTCATGGTTTTATTAAATGTCTATTAGTTCGTGGGACGAGGCCTTTTTTTCGCTCGCCACGCGGTCTGGATCGCCGAATTTTATAAAACTTCACAGACATGTAGATTATGGTGTACCATGTCGAAAGAACTTTGTTCCCCGGTCCACAGTTTGTTTGAGAATGAGAAAATCTGGGAGAAAAACGCCGAAAATTCTACATGAGGGAAAAACATAAGAAACAGCACCCTCTATTGATAGTCAGAAACTTTTTCTCACCAAACGGCCGTCCGAGTTCGGGCGGTCTGTTTTTGACGCGAGTATTTTCATTGTTCTCGCGCTCGAACGGCGGGAACACGACCCACGAACACTGCACTCGGAACAGGATCTCACATTACCTACCGTCAGGGTTTGCAAAAATGATATACCCGTGTCAAGAACAAGACCCGCCCGAACTCGGCCAATGAGTGCTTGCTAGCTGCTAGATAATACTTCTTTCATATTGTATTCTAGATTTTTTTGTTATTTCTCATCGTGATGCCAAAATATCTTCGTTACAGTTTTGTCAAACATGAAATGATCAACTTTTAAATTTAAGATCGAATGTTATGGATATGTTTTAGCTACAGAAACATCGATTGGTAGGATTAAACCCCAGATCAGAATAATTTTGTGCTCTCTTATCTCAGGGTAACATATTTTCAATAATTATAGAAGTACACGCGTAGCATCTGGTGGAGCATCTGAACTTCTGAAACATCTTTTTAAAATGTTTTCCCTGAAATAAAAAAATAAAAATAAGTAATACAAATTTGATGCAGCCTCAAAAAAGGAAGCAGGTGGGCCATTGGTGGTTATTGGTGGTTTTCACGGAATAGATGGAGCAACAACAAAACCTGAATCGGTTCTTAAAACAATATTCAAAATAATAAAAACGGTAAGACGGTTTCGGCTGAAACAAATTGCAGTTGTAATGCTGCCACTCAAAGATTCCGAATAGGGGAATATAAACTATTTTTCTCTTCTTAAATTTTTTGCAAATACTGTCCTTCAATTTGATGAGATTTTCGATGCATGTTACTATTATGTAATCGGCCTGTTATGTATACAGGTGCTTAGCTCGTTTTGTCAGTTGAAAAATAAACTAGTAACTTCATTCAGTACAGATTGAACAAACTTGCCATTTTTTTAGTGGTTTTGTAAAAAGACGCTTCAACTTATCTGATACATGTATATAATTCCTTATTCAAATTCTGCGTCACTGCTATTGAAGGGGGAGGGGGAGTCTATTTAAAAAAAAATTCATTTATGACAATTTTTAAGACAATTTAAGACAAACTGAAAGATGTGATTAACCATGAGATTCTCATCTGCAGTACGGTTTAACTATATTTTAATGTAGTTAATTACATTCGATCTTAAAATTTGATAATTTCAAGTTGGACAAACTGTAATGAAAAGGTTTTGACATCCTGATGAGAAATGATGACAAAAATATAGAATATGCATGTAATATGAAGCTTGAAAGAAGTATTATCTGGCAAACAATCCTTGCGTTTTGTCCTGTCTGCGGGGCGGGGTTACGAGCGAATCATTGCGTACGAAAAGGTTTCTGGCTGTGTCAACAGAGGGCGCTGTTTCTTTTTTTTTTTTTCTCATGCAGAACTTTCGGAGATTTTATCCCAGATTTTCTCATTCCCAAACAAAGTGTGGATCGGGGAACAAAGTTTTTTAGATATGGTACATCATAGTCTACATGTCTGGGAAGTTTTATAAAATTCGGCGGACCAGATCGTTAATCTCAAAAACTAAAGCGTTTTCAGTCTCTCGCTCGTCCCACGGACCATGCACGGACACTGTACAAAAATATATTTCCAGCACTGACATCGTGCGACGTGCACGCGCGCACGTGCTCGTACAACGCAACAACAAAAAACATGGCGCCACCACGGGAGGAAACGGTAGAGTCAAAATCCTCAGAAAACCTTCGGGTTTTACCTGGAGACGATCTCTCTGATGTCTTCATATCCACCCGAGGGAGCAAGTTTCGACTTGGTCCAGGTTTGCGTCAGGAGGGAGAGACTGTTGTTGCCTGCAAGTGTGGGATTTTGAGGAAAAAGGAACCCAATGATGTTTTCTGGATTGACAATCACCAAAAACGGGTAGGCCTAGGCCAGGTGCCAGTTTAAAGCATGGTTAGACCATCACCATAGCTCCGTGGTTAGACATGTTAGACCCGTGAATGTGGCGTCAATACAAACAATGCCACGTGTAACCGTGTAATAAAAACCAGAGTAATTGCAGAATACCCTGCCACTCGGAAATACACCCCTAAAATCTCTGGCTACGCGGTTGGAAATGGAATCACTGGAAAAGAAACAATTCAAGTCCATTGCCAGCTACGCGGATAATGAGTGGGGGTCCCCTTGAGAACGAAGCAACACAAAAGAAATGGGGGTTGCTGAAAAAATTCTAAGCCCAAACCTAGCTCTACTGAGTGGAGCGCTGGAACTTCGGTACCCTCCGTACAACTACTACAAGCCCTCCACTGAATCGGCATACTTTGACTACACATTTAAATCACTGACACACGGTACGCATTTTTGTGCATACCTTTGGGGAGAAAAGGCCCCAAAACACTGGTAAAGTGAATACAAATTATGAGAAAAACAGTTACCCCGGACAGATCCACACATCCATGATATGCCATAAGACCCCTTAAATTGTTCCCAAAAGGCAACAAGCGGTAATTTTGAAAAAAACACAATATATTTTGATAAACTTACCATTCACAATTAAATGTGTTATGAGCAGTTATGAAAATTGAATTCGAAAATGTGCCATTTTGTCCCCGTAACACACTAAATTCCCCCTGGGACTCACCCAAACCTTGCCCGGCATAATCACTACACAGGTCCTTGAAGAAAATAACGATCCACGATGAAGATTCAGCCTACAATTGCAGTGAAAAAAGGAGGCATTGCCGATAGCCGATCAAGTTATCGGCAATGCCAGCCAGCCAGAGCTGATGTTGATTTGTGCACAAACAAAATTTGTGTACAAAGGAATGACAATGTGCAGCCGATTTCCATGCATAGCGCATGCACCACGATGAAGATTCAGCCTACAAATTACAATTGCAGTGAAAAAAGGAGGCGTTACCGATAACCGATCGAGTTAGCGTCACCAGCCAGAGCTGACCTTGATTTGTGCACAAACAAAATTTGTGTACAAAGGAATGGCAATGCGCGGTCGATTACCATGCACAGCGCGCACACCAGTCACACTTGCCAACTGCATGGTGTGGCGTGGCATGGCGCTGAAGATTTCACCTTCAAAATGGCCACAGAATTACTAAATACGCCACCTGAGATACAAGTAGAGATTGATGATTAAGATTGAGGTACTAAGGTTTACTTAAGATCTGGATGAAAAGTGAAATTTACAGTTTATCGGCGAGGGCTCCATTGCAAATACCGCGCGGATGCCATTTCAAACTGGCATCTGCTTCTAGGAATAAAAAAAAAATGGATTTAAGATGCTCTGTGGTGCGATCTGAGGCAATTTCTGACCACTTTAACCAGTTTTGGTGAAAAGATGGTGGTGTAAGTAGTGGCTGCCTTTTTTGTGACGTCACTAAAGAAAAAAAGCAATTTAGGTTAGTGTTTTTTTTGGTGGGGGGCATGGCCCTGTTGGCCCCCCCCCCTCCCCCCCCCCCTGGATCCGCCCTTGGGCCTTCAGCACAGCGCACACCCTCGGCCCCGGCAGTAACCTCTCTGGGTCGGCCCATGAATTTGACTAGTTATGTAGAGAGACCATTTTTTTATCGCGAGAGGGGCACTTTTGCTTTTGATTGCCAGGTCAGTGACCATTTTATTCGGGTGAGGAGGAGCACTATTACTTTTAAAGGCCAGTTTTCCATGAGAATGGCACAATTTTAATGTTGCGAGCAGGCACTAATAAAATTGTGCTTTCGAGGGGCAGTATTCTATCTCGAGATGTTATCATGAGATGCACTGTTGTTTTTGATGGCCAATTTTCCATCTCGATAGGGGCACAATTTCATTATTGCGAGAGGGGCATTAATTTTGTGCTTTCGATGGGTAGTTTTCTATCTCGAGAAGATGCACAATCTTGTTATTGCGAGAGGGGCACATGTTTTTGAGGGGCAGTTTTCCCAATACGTGTTCATTTGAGAGGCACTTTTGTTTTCATCTCGAGGGGGCACATTTACAACCGTGAGAGGGGCACTTTTGTTGGCCTGTGAAAATCTGGGGTGGCAAGTGCCCAGCCCCCCTGGTTCCGCCGCCCCTGCCTTCCAAGACACTTAACTTGTGTAGTACAAGAGAAGTGTTGGACTGATTATTTCATGTGCCAGTCTAGGTTGTAGTTGTAGTACATGCTCAAAATGTACACTCCATGTGTGACGATTACGTACACATCAAAGGTGATATGTACTTCACTAACCAAAAATACACAGTATGGTACAACGGAAAGAAGATTATCACCTTATACTACATATTGTGGATGTGATTGTTTCCAGTATGTTCCAGTCAAAGGAGAAACTGTCTTGGGGATAGTGGTTGGAAAAGCTGGTGATGTATTCAAAGTAGACATTGGAGGCAGTGTACCCGCAACACTTTCATATTTGGCATTTGAAGGAGCAACAAAGAGGAATAGACCTAACGTTGCTGTGAGTATGTTACTTCAAAGCTTCTTGTGTGATAAGGCAGTTCAATGATGTGACACAAATCAATGGCTTGAACCTTACACAGTTGTATCTTTATGTATTTAATCATTTGGCATACACATAGATAGGAGATGTTGTGTTTGGTCGACTGCTGGTTGCAAATCGAGACATGGAGCCAGAATTAGTCTGCATGGATAGCGCTGGACGGAGTGGGGGACTTGGCATCATGTCTGATGGTGGCTTCATGTTTCAGTGCTCACTGGGACTGGTTCGCAAGTGAGTACTATAAGAATACTTGTCTGGGTCACCTTGGGAAACCCCACCCCTAATTGAGTGTCAAGAGTACTTTCAAAGGACTCGGGTTAGGTTCTGACTTTTCAATCACCATTTTCCTTTTAACAGACTAAGTTGGTTATTGATGAAACTATTGCATGCTTACCAGTTGACTAGTAGGATCACACAATCTGACAATTGACAATTACAGTGACTCTCTGCATTAAAATCACATAATGCATACACTTGCACATGATTCCCAATATTGAGGACACTGTCAAGTTGATAGGCCTATTATAAATGCCCCATTTTATACTCTTTTAAGTTATGTTTAATTGATCATATGTTTCCACAATGACACTGCATGGGGTTTGTTGAGTTTCGATTGGACCAGTTGTGATATGGCACAAGAGTTTTATGATGTACGATTCTTCAATGCCATAATTGCAGAAATCTGGTGTTAGGCATGAGAGCCTGTGTTATACTGAGTATGGTTAGCGTGCCGTAAATCAACATTTGAAAACTTCTTTTAACACCTTTCACACCTTTCTTTCTTTCAGGATGCTGTCCCCTAAATGTACTTTGGTAAAACAACTTGGTCAAGTCATGCCAGTTGAGTTGGCAGCAGGAATGAATGGACGAATATGGCTGCGAGGCAAGACCGTGTCCAGCACCATCACTGCAATGAATGCCATATCCAGTGCTGAGTTCATGACAGAGTCAGAGATCAGACTTATGGTGCACAGACTACAGGACTCTGTGTCTGGAATGTGGAGTGGAATTAGTTGACAGTAAAGGGGACTGGTGTCTGGTCTGACTAGTGTCTTCCTGGGGGCTGAGGCCAGGGAAAATAACTGGTTTGTTCTTGTACCTGCTGTGTGAACATTAAACCAAAGGGGACTATATTACAACTTGAAAAGGGAAAGGTTTTACAGTGTAAATGTTCGTTTTGAACATGGACTATATATTATAATGAGCACACTCTTATATACCATTTGTAAATTGTTACTGGCCAAGAAATTGTTTGGAAGTTCTTGCTTCAGAATCAGGCTCTTGCAGAATTTGTAAAGTGTAGACACTGGCATTGATCATATCAGTTTGAAGACCAAGATGGCTGGCACGTTAATTAGATCAGTTTATTGCCGGCCATGCACCTTAAACCTAGTCACTTGTTCCCTCTACCCCATCCAAGGGTTCTGCTAACAACTAATCCCTTTCAGAAAATCTTACAAAGGAAAAACAGATGTTGCATAAAAATGTGGGTTGTTCACTTGCTATGATCAATGTGCGCATGTGATCTATGCATATTCGTCACAGATTAAAGAAATTAGAGGTTATGTTGCACTTGGATAGAGTGATGGGTATAAGTGAAAGGCCTACTATGATCACCTTTGTTAAATGTAACAAAAAGTGATTTTGCCAAATAAATGACCCCCCAAAAAAGGATAGAATTGATGAGAATTTTTATTTTTACTGATTACATGAATACTGTTGTGTGTCGCTGACTGCTTCACACATGCCAATCCATCGGACTACGTGGAAACATGACTACCGTCACGACTTGAGGGAGTGGCTGCGTGCCTCAAATGGAAATCTATGATCGTTCTTTCTTGACTTGCTTGTGCTCATATGCATATATATATGTACATGTATATGTGTGTCCCTGGTTTAACTGAGACATTAACATCCATATTAAGTATATAATTATACATAAATATGCAAGTTAGCTGTCGTATATATTTAATTTCAAACTTTTAAGGAATAAGGTACTAAGCAGCAGTAGGCTATGTTTCAACAGTTACTGATTTCAATAAAGCCACCAATAGTCTGATATTTTAGTTTAATGCAAAATTATGCGATTTAATTGTCGTCATTTTTGACGATATTGTTTAAACTTTTTTTCTATCTCCCGAGAGAAAAACTTTCACACCAATAATTTCAAGTGTCTAAGGCCTATGTTTTCAGAGTCGCCATTAAGTTCAATTTTGCCACTTAGAAGATATGAATCACTTTGAAACACCATTACATTATTTATTTCTCCGAATTCCTGAATTAGCACCTAAAGTAAGCCTTGTAGCACTTCTGCCGAATTGTTTGCCTGAATGGGGCCTAACCCTGTCCGCAATTTTTTTTTTCTTCCATATTTTTACCATTATCAAACTAAATCTCGTCTGCTTCATGCATGCTGTTTGCCTCATTCTAGCATTTAGTCAGGCAGCTTAGTGAATGGATGTGGACATTCCGGACAAAAGCGCCAAATGTTCCATACATGCTCTTCAATGCTTTAGCTTTCAATTTTTGATAGGAACCAACTTATCCAATGACATTATGGCGGCCATCTTGGATTTTAAAGATGGCGGCCATTAAAAACCATAATATCTACCAATATCTCATCTTCTAAGCCACTTAGAATTAAAGTTTTGGTGTATAAACAGACATTTTCAGGGTCAAGGAATGCAACTGTACCATTTGGGATAGTGTCAAATGGTTAGTTTTTCCAAATACATGCAGTATTGTGGCCATCTTGTATTTGAAACATGGCCGCCATTTAAAACCTAAATCTCCGAATACGTGTATTGCATCTTTAAGCCACTAAGGATCTAAATCTTGGTGTCTTACCATATATTTTCAGGGTTATGGAACGCAACTAAACAATTCGGATTAGTACTACATGTATTTAGGATCGTGTCAAATGGTCAGTTTGTCCAGATACCGCTACTTAATACGGCGGCCCGATTCAGGCTATGTACCTTTTGCCATTGTGGTTTGACTTGAAAGGGCCGGCACCGGTCCCATTCAGGTTGTGTACCGTCTTGCCATTATGGTTTCCCATAAAGGGACCAACACTGGCCCAATTCAGGCCTTTTACCGTCTTTTCATCATGGTTTATCGTAAGAGGACCTGCAATGGCCGGTTCAGGCTGTGTGCCGCCTTGCTGTTATTGTTTGCCTAAAGACCAGCACTGGTCCGATGCAGGCTCTGAACATTTAATAGGGCAAGCACTGGACCAATTCCGACTCTGTGGTGTCTGTACCGTCGACACGGAACCGGTTTGCCGCAATCGAGCCAGCATTAGCCCGCTTCTGGTCTTGTACTGTTTAAACTGTTATCGGGTACTGCCACAACAAACCCATAATTAGCTGGTATATCGGCCCAATACCGTTCTGTTTACTGGGTCAATGCCATCCTTGAATCTATATAGGCAGGTAGAAATCTCTGGCACTACATGATGTGATACAACTCTGCTTCTCCACAACTAAATGCAGCTGAACCAAATTTGTAGCTCCATTTGATCAAGGCGGGTCTGTGATTGGCTAGTCCTGGTTCTCAACTTGGCGGCTGATGGTTTTCCATTAAACCCATGTCGATGTAGCACCTGTTGGGAGGTTTTCCGCCGTTAACCATGACAATCGGCGGGCGTTTGCTCCCCATCTTCAAAATCAAAGATGGCCACAATAGTGTGCAAACTGAGCATTTGACTGTCATATAAGTGGTATAGTTGCATTCCTTGACCCTGAAAATGTATGTTTGGACGCCAACATTTTAATCCTAAGTGGCTTAGAAGCACGATATTGGTAGATATAGACCTTTCTGCGCTTGGTTGGCAAACTGCATTTTTGCTTCAAAACTATGGAAGGTCCAACACTGCAAAAATGAAGAAGAGTTATTACAGATCACCAAAATATTATTTGATACTTGAAAATACAACATTTTCAACAAAGCTACAAATAATTCCTACATATGCCTTTTTACTATGTGTTGATGGCGTTATGAAGACTTTTTTTTTTGAAAAATATGTTGCCAACTACGGCTTCAATTGTTGCGCTTACAGCAGCCCATACAAAATGGAGCCAATGTTTACAAACAGAAGATAGGCCTATAGGTTTTCAATGGCGGCCATCTTTAAAATCAAAGATGGCCACTGCAATATATGTGGACAAATTAACCATTTAGCACTAACCGAAATGGTTCAGTTGCGTTCTTTGACCCTGAAAATATCATGTTTAGACACTAAGATTAATGTTTAGTGACTTAAAGATGTAATACATGTAGTTTTCAATGCCGGCGGCCATCTTCAAAAATAAGATGGCAACAATACTGTATCTGGACAAACAAACCATTTGATACTATCCCAAATGGTACAGTTGCATTCCTTGACCCTGAAAATGTATGTTTAGACACCAAAACTTTACTCCTATGGCTTAGAAGATGAGATATGGGTAAAAATAGGTTTTCAATGGCAGCCATCTTTAAAATCCAAGATGGCCGCCATATTGTTATTGGATAAGTTGGTTCCTATCAAAAATTGAAAGCTAAGGCAATAAGGAGCATGTACGGAAAATTTGGCGCTTCTTCTTTTTACCACTCAGCCGCTGGAGGGGTATTGTCATCGCCTACGGCGTCCGTCCGTCCGTCCGGACGTCTGGCTTGTCCGTCTGGGCAGCGCAGCTCAGTTTCCAGATGATAACTAGTTACAAATGTTGTTTGGGATTGTAACTTCAGAAGGGGCTTGCCCTTGGGAGTGTTCAAGTTGGGATTGGTTTGGGGGTAAGGTCAAGGTCACCATCGTGAGTTAAATGTTTATGGTTTCCGAATGATAACTTGAGTAGAAATGAGATTTTGGTGTCTAATGACTTCGGTAGGGGGTTGACCTTGGGTACAGTCTAGTTGGGGTTTGTTGGGGGTCAAAAGGTCCAAGGCCAAGGTCACGGTGGTGAGTTTAATGCACATGGTTTCTGGATGATATCTTGAGTTATAAATGACATTTTGGTTTGTAACTTCAGTAGGGAGCTGGACTTGGGGCCAGGCAAGTCTGGGTTGGTTTGGGGTCAAAAGTCAAGGTCACATTGCTGAGGTTAAATGTTAATGGTTTCTGGGTGATAATTTGACTCCTGAGGGTTTTCAACAGCAACGCTGTTATTTAATTTGGCCATTTCTGACCTGTTTCATTAGATTTGAATTTGGATTTATTACTCTGCAGGGTGCCAGCCAGACCCCCCAAAACACGGACCTATTAACCCTCGGGCCTAAAACAGCGGAGGGAAGAATCTGATCCCCTGTACATTTTCTCGGATAAGCAACGCCTGGTGTGTTATTTTCGCACCGAGGCTTCCTGAGTTTTCCACTTATGATGTCTCGAGCATGACGATTTGGCTCCAACTGAATTTCTTGAAACTGGAAAGGACCATTCCTGCAAAAATGTCAAATTTTCGAACGGAGTGTCTTAGAGAAATTCAAGGACACTAGTAGTAAATTACACAACCGGCCCGTTTCGATTGAAATAAGATTTTCCAGTTGTATCTAGCACAGACGTTTTTATAAGCACTGAAGCACACTGAAACATTGGACCGCAGAAGTCCACCCCCGTGACCGTGAGAAGGTAGGAAACAAAGCGGCTCTTTTATTCAACTTAAAAGTAGTAATGCAGTGACGATTCACCTGAAATGCACAAGTATGCGTAAATTACGTACATTATCATGTAATAAGTGGTTTTTATTGAATTCAGCGACCCTAAAACATGGGTCTATAGACACCCCTCATAGGCGTGGACGTAGTCCTGCGAAGTATGGAGACAACTAATTCAACTTACTTAACTTTACTTTATTTGCATCTCATGGTAATTAAAAAATATACATAAAATTGTAAATATTTACGGTAGGGTCTATGTTGTAACAATTCAGATAAAATAACAATGAATTAGTACCAGGAGATGCAGGGACCTAATTCCAGGAGATGCAGGGACCCACAAAAGCGGTAAAGTAATTAAATTTAATTAAATACAAGGCCAAATAAATTTTTAAAAACATGGTTAACGTCCCCGCCCGCTTCCTTTTGGAGGCCCCTCTTTTTTTTTAAATTTTAATATTTTTTTTTAGAAAAAAAACCAAAATGATAAATTTTAAACAGTGACATCATTTTGGCCTCTTTGTCTTGCATCTAGCCGATATAAGGCTGGTATGTCATTTTCCGAGTCCAAGTGGCGACCATTAAAAAAAACCTGGCGGCCATCTTGAAAAATAGCTGGGTAGGACGGCCATTTTGGAAAAAAGGGCCTCCTTCCTTTTTTTTCAAAAAAGGCAGGACGCTAAACATGTTTTTTTTTATTTGGCCTAAAGATAAAGGGCTCAATAGACTGAGACAATGACGATATTAAAGGAGTGGCATTATGCATGCTTAAAGCATTATGGCTAGATGGATAAACTGATGAAAAAGACGACGAATTTAACCCCAAAAATGACTGTGAGTATTGAAAAAAAAATGAAAATTAATATGAAGGTAATCTGCATATTTTTGCACATAGGCCTAATTATGTGTAAGTACTCTCGGGCTATAGTTCTGGCTAATTGAAATAAGTGATCCTATTTGGGTTACTGATTTCAATTAATCGTAGTCTAAAAAAAATGACATCCCTATTGACAGGTTTGGATGCGGGCGGCGTAAGTATTGGCCTTAATCGATTTTTTTTTTTAAATGCTCAAGGGTGACGAGGCATTTAGATGGTCTGAAGAAGATGATCACAAAAATGCAAAAGCATTTTGTGCGAACCTCAATGCAATGCACTGTTGACCGGAGTTAATATTTTTCGTACTGGGCCGGCCCGGCCTACTTATATTATATCGATAGTGGGACGATACGTGGAAAAACTGTTCCTAGCTCGGCGCGGCCGGCCGCGACGCCGTCGACGCGCGCCGCCGCCGCCGCCATGTCTATGGTCGCCGATGGTCGGTCGCCGCCGACCGGTGGATCTAGCGCCCTCAAGCGGCGTACTGATTAGCAAGCTTCCATAAAATATCCGCGCAAGTTTCTACTTTATTTTGAAGAAACATGGTGAGTAGGCTTATTGTACGGTAGATTTGCAAAACAAAGTGATGTTTTCGAAAATGTTGAAGTTTATAAATCTTTATTTGTTCCCTTTGCTTTTAGTTACCGCTGTCACTCCTGAGAACGGCTCAAAACCACCCTATGGTAAGTAACGCAGGGGCTATCGTAGTCCGAAAATTTGGGACTCGCATTACTCAATTTACTGTGTTATTGAAAACATGCAATTAATAAGAAAATAGAGTGGCACCTAAAGCAACCAGTCCAGCACAGCTTCAGTACTGCATCAATCAGCCATGCCAAAAGAATTTAAGAAACGTGGCATGAAGCGGGAACTAGTCTCGATTTACTACGCATTTCTCCATAGATAGTAGTATTACTATTAAGCTAGCTCTACTGAGCATGCTGAGTGGAGCATTGAATTACGGGTACCCCTCCATACAAACGCTCCACCGATTTGCCATACTTTGGTAGCACCATACACGGTCGTCATGACGGTATGCATTTTGTGTAGCTGGAGTTACCCAGCCCTTAGCCCGACTGCGTCTGGCCGTACAGTACTATCGCAAGCTCTGTAGTACGGCCAGACGCCCGATGCTTCCACAGAGACTGAATTTTGTTGGCCGCCGATGTAGCGATTTTGCTACATCTTTCGATCGCGATTATCTTTTCATCCAGGACACAAATTTCCAAAGTTAAGGTTTGTAGTCGTAGAGCAACTCATACCTTTTCGAAAAAACGTTATTTGGTCTCAATATTTTCATCCATCTGGCCACAAGACGAATTTCAGTCATCAGATTCCACAAATATCGTCCTCCATGCGATCCCCCATGCGATTTCAAAATGGCGGCCGCGCTGTAATGTATGCAATATGCAGGCGCGCCCGCGCAAACTCATGAATATGCATAAACAGTCTGTGACGTATGACCGTACGGCCCCGCTGCACGCACGTCCAAACACACGAGGTCATACGTCACAGACTAATTATGCATATTCATGAGTTTGCGCGGGCGCGCCTGCATATTGCATACATTACAGCGCGGCCGCCATTTTGAAATCGCATGGGGGATCGCATGGGGGACGATATTTGTGGAATCTGATGACTGATTTTCGTCTTGTGGCCAGATGGATGAAAATATTGAGACCAAAGAACGTTTTTTCGAAAAGGTATGAGTTGCTCTACGACTACAAACCTTAACTTTGGAAATTTGTGTCCTGGATGAAAAGATAATCGCGATCGAAAGATGTAGCAAAATCGCTACATCGGCGGCCAACAAAATTCAGTCTCTGTGGAAGCATCGGGCGTCTGGCCGTACTACAGAGCTTGCGATAGTACTGTACGGCCAGACGCAGTCGGGCTACCCAGCCCTGAGTTTTATCATTGGGTTGTCTATAAGGGCTGGAGCGAATTTTTCTCGTAACTTGTAGTAGGCCCCCTATTGGCAAAATTTTTTGGAAAATGTTCAATTTTGTCCCTGTTACACACTAATTGCAACTGCAACTCACCCCAAACTTGCCTGGAATAACCATTACACAGGTCCTTGAAGTAAAAAACGATCCACGATGAAGATTCAGCCTACAATTGCAGTGAAAACAGGAGGAATAACCGCTAACTTGACAACCTTGCTGGATTGGCCAGGACCGCAATTGGTTTGTGCACAAAAAAAATTGTGCACAATGAATGGCGGTCGATTAACAGGCACAGAGAGCGATCGCTGTCAACTACTCGTTTTGCCGGCTGCGCTGGCTGTTGGCGCATGACGTCACGCGGAAGCGTAACACCCGATGACTGTTTAATGCACTAATATAAGGTTTACCACTCGCATCACAGCTTTGGTACTGGAACCGCAACCAATAGTGCATGTTCAAGAAACAAATGTTCAAGAAAATGCAATCTTTTTGCGTACATTTTCCCATAGGGACCGAGCTGGTTACGGACCGAGTTGGTTACGGACCGAGTTGGTCACAAATTACATTGTTACCATTGGCGTGCCACATTGAAAGGCAATCACCATGATCACTACTAGCGCGCCCTACGTTTGTGTGTCGGGAAATGGTCGGGCATTGTCACTTAATACCCACGTCTTGGGTGGGGCAGCCCGGGAGGGGAGGGGTGGGGGAAACAATTGATAGGCGCATTAGCCTGACTGCCTCTGGCCGTACACAGTCATGACAGTACTATCGCTAGACCAGGTTGGACTCCGTTGTGGACATTCAACAGAGTCAGGGTATGAACCTCTGCTGCCATTGCAAAAAAAATTCTCAAACCTTTTTTTTAAATTTTTACCTGATGGAGGAAGCTGAAATTTTGTTTACCATATTCCTTGGTATTCCTTACCGGAAATGAACCGCAATTCCATTTTCATGCTTTCGTTGAAAACACTTCCAGTACGAACTCCCTGTGTGAAGATTACGCTCGCGCGTGCATGCACACTAGTCCGAGTAACTTGGACCCAACTTATCGCCTTTTCAACATTTGGACATGGTCTGGCGATTAGTAGGGTCCAAGCTAATCCTTATATGCCGAGCAACACAATTCTGTCATTGACCCCAAAACCCAGCATTTTCCCCCAAAAACATCAGATTTCACCCTCAAAATGGCCTACAAATTACTAGATACGCCACCTGAGGTACAAGTAGACATCGATGATTAAGATGGTTGTACTGAAGTTTACTTACGATCCGGATGAAACGTGAAATTTCCCGTACAATTCCGACAGCTCCCCTTGTGATCGTGAACACGTTAAATTTCTGCCTCGTGTTAGAATTGCGATGTGGTCTTCATGTTCATGCGATGGTCCCCGTATCCTGAGTGCGATTCCGTTACCGAGCGCCAGAGTTGTAATGACTCCAGTCAATGACTCGACTCGAGTCCGACTCGAGTCACATTTTTTGGCGACTCGACTCGACTCGAGTCCCGACGGGTAAATGACTCGACTCGACTCGAGTCACTGCGAGCAAATGACTCGACTCGACTCGAGTCCCTCATCAGAATGACTCGACTCGACTCGAGGAAGGCTAATAAGACTCGAGTCCCAAAATAAAAGCAAAACTTACTTGCGAAAAATATTTGCAATGACTTACGCTGCGCCGTTCGCGTTGCCAGGTTTTGTTCACGTCACGTTAATGTTCGCGAATAATGTACGTTTATATACAGCGGCAGTCTGTTTCCTTCCTCCATAATGAAACAACAAACATACACCGTGTCGCGGACTCCCACCTTGTGGTTCTATTGCATGTAATGCTAAACCCGGAACCAGACTTAAAACGCATTTCTCAATCCGTGATTTCATCATTGGTTTCGGGCGATTTTGAAGTTCTTGGTGGAACACTGGCTAAATTCATGTCCCGATTTCACACACAAAAATGGATACGGACGGGCCCACCTTAAATAATCAGAAACAGTTTTGTATAATGCAATTAGGTTTTAACGTTGTCAGCGATCAGCGAACAACAAAATCTAGACCCGAAGCCAAACCAGTTATAAGACCAAAGTTTCACATCTTCTTATCTGTGACGTGAGCTAGCAATGGAAACTGTTGGTTGGGTACCATACAGCATACTTCATGTCTTTGGATTTCCGTAATAGACTGGTGCCTTGTATTCTTTCTCTCTTGCGTTTGTTGCTTTTTATTGTAATTAAGTGTTCAAATATTTGTGACTCGAATTGACTCGAGCTAAATACTTGACTCGACTCGACTCGACCACACTCTGTGACTCGACTCGACTCGACTCAACCTTGTTGACCTAATGACTCGACTCGACTCGAGTCACTTCTTTAAAATGACTCGACTCGACTCGAGTCACAAAAATCAGTGACTCGTTACAACTCTGCCGAGCGTGTGCGATGCATAGATTATGATAATGAGTAGACTGGATCACGTTTGTAAACACAAGGGCATTTCGAACCATAATAGGGAGTCGGGAACTAGGGCAGATTTTATGGACGGAAACCAGTTCAAGCTAGTTCCGGACTCCCTTTTTATCGTTCGAAATGCACTTGCGTTTACAAATGTGATCCAGTCTACTCATTATCATAATCGATGCATCGCACGCGCTCGGTAACGGAATCGCACTCGAGATACGGGGACCATCGAATGTACGTTGGGCATGAAGACCACATCGTGTCGTTCAATCATTAACATGAGTCGGAAATTAAACGTGTTCATGATTGCGAGGGGAGCTCTCAGAATTGAACGGGAAATTTCACTTTTCATCCGGATCATAAGTACACTTTAGTACAACTATCTTAATCATTGATGTCCACTTGTACCTCAGGTGGCAAATCTAGTAGGCCATTTTGAGGGTGAAATCTGATGTTTTTGTTGAGCAATGTTGGGTTTTTGGGTCAATGACAGAATTGACTATTGCCAGACCATATCCGAATGTTAAAAAGGCGATAAGTTGGTTCCAAGTTACTCGAACTACATGCACACCTAGCACGCTGCCACCCCGGCAGCAAACAGCACGCCTGGTATGTCTTCACATGGGGAGTTCTTACTGAAAATGTTTTCAACGAAAGTGTAGAACTTGCGGTTTATTTTCGGTAAACACGTCGCCCACGGACATATTTGCCTTTTCTGAACCCAGTGTATGCACAATTCTGGACACAAGGAATATGTAAATGATATTTCAGCTTCCTCCATCAGCTTAAAATATGAAAAAAATGTTTTAGAATTGTTTTCGCCATGGTAGTAGAATTAATACCCTGGACATAGTTCGAGTAACTAGGACTCTAGGAATCGCCTTTTTTAACATTGGGACATGGTCGGGCGATAGTAGAGTCCTAGGTACATAGCCTTATTGCGTTACTAATAACTCTTTTGACCTTTTCACTCGTACCCCCAATCAAAATCTTCAGATTTCACCCCAAGAATTGGAAATACAAATGGTGGTGGTTAAGTTAACATACCTAATTTGGGAAACATCCTTGTCACACATGCCTTGGTTGAGGCTGCCATTTTAGTTCAGGAAAAGCATCAGACAGACCAATCACAGGGCACTTTGATTGGTCACCTGGATTGGTGACCAAACAAAGTGCCCTGTGATTGGTCAGGTGACAAATCAAAGTGCCCTGTGATTGGTCTGTCTGATGCTTGCCAGGAAATAGTCTAGCCAGCCATTTAAAAGTCTACTTTTCCTGAATTCAAAATGGCAGCCTCAAACAAGCATGTGTGACAAGGATGTTTCCCGAATCGAAGGTGAAATTTCTCTTTTCTTCCAAAAGGTATGTAAACCTAACCACTACCATTTGTATTTCCAATTCCCACTGAAGCCTACAGGGTCGCATAAGGCAATTTGAAGACTATTTTGGGGTAAATGGTCAAAAAGAGTTATTAGTAACGCAATAAGGCTATGTACCTAGGAGTCTACTATCGCCCGACCATGTCCAAATGTTAAAAAGACCCTGGACATCAGTCGTAATGCAATGAAGACGTCGTCCTGGGCTATACTTTATTACTATCACAAGCTCTGTAGTATGGCCAGATGGCATACTCCCCTAAACGCTAAACTCTGATGTAGCGATTTTGCTACCGACTTTGATCGAAATTATCTTCTCATCCAGGACAGAAATATTTAAAGTTAAGGTTCCTAGTCGTAAAGGAACTCATGCTTTTTGTAGCCCTCCGTAAATTAAGGCAACATTTGGAATATTTACACCTGGTACCAACTTTATTTTTGCATTTAGACTGCGTATGCAGTTCATTTATGCTTAAAAAAACACTCAACTTGTTAACAATTAAAAAAATAATACGCAAGTGTGTAACTCTCCAGTTTCGTGTCATTTCTTGGTCCTTTTTGGCATCCTTTGTGTGTAACTCAATTGCGCCATGTTCTAACTGAACAATGCTCTCCCGCACTACACAGGGATCATTCACCTGTCAGTCACGCGGCGCGCCGCATGCCCCGTAGTCTTGGCCCAAGACCAGCTTTGTGTCGCCGATAGCGCCCTCTACCTTTGATATCATTTGGCTGCGTTTGCCAGCGCGCACGCACGCTGGCACCAACTGCACATAGACGAAAGTGTGCACGTGCTTTACGTTAGCGTTTGTTTTTGTATGTGGTGTCTGGGTTAAAAACAGAGTCAATACGTCGCAGCGAGTGCATGGCATGAGTTACGAAAACACGATTTATTTAGTTAAACTGTTACGATCAAATCGAAACAACATGCAGTATCACATTTCATATCAATATGAACAAATTGGAAAGGAGATGGGTACTTTCGAGAAGGCGTGGACGAATGATCGCAAAAACACGTACTGCACGTTGTGAATGAACAACACCAAGTACACGATTAAAGTCCTTTACTAGCCAATTGTGGTATCGAATCAGGATACAAGAAGAAAGTGGGGAAATGAGGTTGGAAATAAAGTAAGCACTGGGGACGAGGTTGCGTCCCAAATTTTTCCTCTATGCGATTTCAAAATGGCGTCTGCGTTGAAATGTATTCATTATTTGGGCGCGCTTGGGCAAGATTATGAATATGCATTGTTCAGTTCATGACCTCGTGTTTGTATGGCCAGCGGCGCCGCGTGCCTGAATGTCATGAACTGCAATACATATTCATAATCTTGCCCAAGCGTGCCCGAATAATGCATACATTACAACGCAGCACCATTTTGTAATGGCATGAAGGAACAATTCAGGACGATATTCGTGGGAGATGATGACTGAAAGTCATCTTTTAGTTAGACGGATAAAGATTTTTGGATAAAAGCACATTTTTTTTTCTCGAAAAGGTATTAGTTCCTCTACGACTAGGAACCTTAACTTTGGATATTTCTGTCCTGGACGAGAAGATAATCTCGATCAAAATCAGTAGCAAAATCGCTACATCAGAGTTTAGCGTTTAGGGGAGCATAGGCTGTCTGGCCGTACTACAGAGCTTGCGATAGTACTGTATGGCCAGATGCAGTCAGGCTAACATCGAGTCAACTCGACCGTTTGCTTTCTCTACCGTTGGCTCGAGTCAACTCCAACGGGAGTAATTGCAGAATACACTCACAACTGACTTTTTCCAAATGACTAAATGAGTATTGCTCCGTCCTTACAAACAATCTCAGCTTAAAATCACTCATACAGGTTGATATATCTCTCTTCTTTCATAAAATGGCAACAAATTTGCAAAAACATACCTCAATTTAAAAAAAAAGAAAAGAAATGGGCAGCATGATTAACTGGATGACTTTCCACGGGCACGCCATTTTGAAAAAAACAATTGTCAATTTTTTGACTTTGTGTTTTGGAATAGTACTGGCTTCTCTTGACTTGTAAATCAATAAACACTGCCATCTTTTGACTGGATAAGAAAGGAAAGCCTACTGTTCGCTCGTGCCCCCCGCCCTGCGAACAGGACGCTGGGATAGGTTGATGAATTCACGCTCTGATTGGATCGATTTTGCTTGAACTGTGACCTGCAAGTCATCACGGCCACGACCCTGTAAGGTTCTAAACGGCCGTTGAGACTGAGTCATCACTCTTTTGTTTCCATTCATAACTGCTTCTTTTCATTAAGTGTAATAATGTAGGAAAATCTGTAAAACTTATCTGTTTTGTAAATGTTCAATTCTCGTCACTTGCTTAGGTTCCGTTTCGAATTCACAATGGGTGAAATTGCGTATTATGCGACACTCAAAATTTGTCCACATGGTCGGCAATGTGTGCATTTCTATGAGATTGTTTTCGGATAGCATTTGCGCACATTTGCTAACTGCGGTCTTAAACAGTTGCAGCCAGATGTGTTTATACATAGGTCATGATAAGTTACCCAGAATGTCATCCCCACTTCCTTCACAAGATTCTGTGAACCCCAAAACTTCCTCAAAAATTCAAAACCCTACCCTTTATCTACATATATGACATACCTGCACGTTGCATCGCGGTGATCGCCATCTTTATTTTCCTTTTGCATTTTGTTGTCTTCGTCTTTGTTTTACCCCAAAATTTCCCTCACAAAAAATCAAAACCCTGTCCTCTTGATCCACAACACTCTTGTTGGTTTTAAATGTCGCTTCAACTAGTTTGGTACTCTAAGTTCAATAACCTAACTACAAAATCGCCAATAAAAAGACTTAGCTGGCAAGCATAACTTATTTGTAATGCTTTGCACTGTACGTGAACATGTACAGTACGTGTGCATGTACAGTATGTGTTGCACACGCGGAAAGCATATAACATAGGTGCCGGAGGGGGGGGGGAGTCTTGAAACCACTGCATATGCCAGGCAGGGGGAGGGGGGGGGGTCTAAAAAGTCTTTAAAAAGATTTTAAAATCCTGCGTTGATAGACAAATTACCTGCATCGAGAATTTCACTTTCTCACTTAACAATCTTTCCAAAAGGCAACCCTGACTTACCAATATCTCTTTAAAATTGGGATTGGGAAAATTTGGGAACAATGGTTTTTAGGACCTCGAGCCAACTATTTTTACAAAAAGCAGAGTTTTGACTCAAAAACATCGGAATTCTGACCCAATGAACATGCACGGATAACCTGCTGCAGACCCAGGTGAGGTATGGTGAATTTAGTCAAATCAACTTAAACAACATGTAGCAGGGGAAACGTATCAATCAGGTTTCACGTGTGCAGCATGCGGTGACCAAACCTCAAATTCGCACTAATGAACCATAGACTTGTTATTCCATTCGTTTAATGAAAACCCTAACCCCTATGCTAATCGGAAATTTGTTATTAGAGCTGGGGGGAAATGTACGTGTTTCGATGTGGGAGATAAAATGGTCCGATAAAATGACTGTATCCAAACCAGTTATACATGAAGCACAGGAGCAACTCGGATGAGAACACAATCTAGTACATGTAAGAAGTCTTACCATTGGGACGTTGCAGTCCTTTAATGGTCAGAACATTGAGGAATATACCGTGGTGTGTATATGAGCTCCAATAATCTCCAATTACATTTTACTTAAGTTTGATTTAATTATATGCATGTGTATCCATTTTTGAGTCATCTGTTTTTCAGTTTAAGTCTTATTTTATGTTTTAACCCTCCCTTTGCTTAAGAGGTCACCAATGGTCAAAATTTTCTTCCTCACCTCCTGGCATACTGTGTACAAACCAATGGGGGTCTTGACCAATATTGACCCAAATAATAAGCAGGCTGACAATGCATGTTACCATAGGAGGGTTAATGTTTTTAATTGTCTCAAACGTTTTCTAACCCTTTTATATGTAAACTTTGACTTTGATGTTGTATCTAAATTGCATGTAATCCAACCAATCCAATGAAAGAAATAAAAAAGTTTTGCAGGATATTGAAGATATTTGGGATATCAATTTGCTTACAGCTAGTGGAGTTGAAGAATGGGGAGACGTACAATGGACATCTGGTTGCATGCGACAACTGGATGAACATCAACCTCAGGGAAGTCATTTGCACATCAAGGGTAAGTCAGTGTGGTAGTCAACCCGGTAACACTACGGGGCATAGGTGTTCACTCGTGAATCAATTGGCTGGGCTGCAAGGTACTGAGGAATATCAATGAATCTTATGCCCCTATCACACAGTGCCATTCTATCGCCCTGTGCTTGATTCGATGGTCAGGACCAATTTTTTTAAAATTAAAACGTGACTAGGACGCGGGAAATTAAAAAATTGCGGCTCCAGCCTTGAATCCCAGACCATAATCTGTGTGTGCCCCACCTCACCCCGTCCTCGTCCAGTGCAAGCCGTTCTCAGGCAGTTCTATTCAAGACAAATGTGGCTCACACTCCCCTCCCCACCCCACCCCGTCCTCGTCCCATCCAAGCCCTTAGCATCAAGTCTATCACATGCTTATTCTGTGCTAGCAATGGGCGGAAGTCTGGGTAGGCACTGTGTAAGCACTAATGATGTGCATCGCGTCGGGTCGACCAGGCCAAACTGACCCGAAACATTGGAGATGTACACCGAATCCGAACCGAAACCGATCTTAACTCCCTCAAACCAACCAAACCCGACCCGACAAAAGATAAGGTAAAACCAACCTGATCCAACCTGACCTGAAAAAACCTGGAAAAAAAACCGAATACCTGGCTTGGACAAAGTCAGCACTTTTTTGTGCCTGCCCTTACCCACGTGGCATGAATTCTTTTGCAAAACCATCGTCTCTCTCTCTGTCATTGATCGAGAGTAACTCCGCTTATTAATTAAATGCATGGTCACCACGCGGTATCATGAAAACTGTTACAATCTATCTTTTTCACTGTCAGTCCCGATCCGACTAGAGAAATTATACCATGGGAACTTGATAGTGCGCTCGGCGGCCACACCACGCAATGGGCTGCGGTCACAGTGACTGTCAATAATATTGCATCACCTGAATTTCTCAACTGTTTTGGTTTATTTCGGTTTATTTCGTTTTTTTTTCAAAAGATGGCTAAACCGACCCGACCCAAAAATGTAAATGCAAAACCGAAACCAACCCGACCCGACTGAAAAGATGGACAAACCGACCCAATTAACCGACCCGAAGTCGGTGTTGGTTTGGGTCGGCCTGGGTCGGTTTCGGGTCAGGTTTGCACATCATTAGTAAGCACGGCATAGACGTTGGAGACTCGTGAGTGAAAGACGGTCCTGATGCACCTCCGTGCATGCAGTTCTCACAGTGATGCTCCCGACTTCCTTCCCGTCGGCCCCACGTCCAGACCGTTCCAGTTAAGTCCACGCTCAACCTTGCAGCGTTCTTACCCCATTGTGAATAGGACGGGAGAGTCTCCTGTTTGTTTTGAACATGCTCAAAACAGTCGGGGCACTTTGCTGTTCTGTCAGGACCTTCCAGTGTCTATCACGACCTATGCAGTTCCCCGCTAGTCCCCAACACGAGCTTACCGTTCAGAGCAGTTGCCGTCAAGTCCTTGTCCAGTTTTGCCAACTTTTATGGTCGTGACACCATCAGGATGCCAGAACGGCACTGTGTGACAGAGGCTTCAGCAAATGGCTGGCACCCCCATAGAGATACATTGTATTACGTACTTGTACACCATTTTGTTTATAGGTAAGTACTGGCTAGTCTGTTGGGGAATACCTAAATGTGACTTGGGTAAGTGTACCATCCCAAATTGCCTCCTGTCTCACCCAATCTTCTATCCAAACTTGCCTCAGAATGACGATGCTTTTAATTTAAAAAAGAAAACATCGTCAGAGGTGCAAAAGCTGATTTTTCTAACAATTGTTCACCCTAAATCTAAAAATAAAGTCTGTATTGAGAGCACAATTTTAATCCCTTTGATCAGTCGTTACTGAACAGTTTCCATGGTAGAAACACATAAGCAAGCTCTGATTGGAGTATTTTATGGATGGAAATACGTCTACGCATTAACCTATGCCATAGTGAAACTGCATGTACGTACTTATTGCACCAGAGCTTGCTAGGGTGTGCATCGGAAACCAGGGTACCCGAGTACCCAACAGTGGATATCAGGAACCGGTTCTAGATTATGGGATCGGGTAACCGTAACCAACTTTTACTTACAAACTGCACAGACAATCAAAAAGAAACCTCTTCAATGCCATTTTTTGGCGTGGTTGTTAAAAAGCATGATTTGTTGAATAGAAATTTAAAAGCATGATTTTTATGAATAGATTTTATGAATTTTAATACCTCCAAACCTTCTTGGGGATCTGTCTGTCGACCCTGGCTGCTGCCCTGGCCTATTTTCAGATTTGTTGGCCAATGTCCACAAGCATGTTGCATCTCTGAATAATAAGTACTTAGGAATACACTAAAAAGATGGATGAAAACATTTCATTGTTTGGTGTTAACCAATTGAATGAACAGTACACTTAACCAACAATGTAAATCTTATGTATAACAATAATAAAATATAAGTAGGCCTACTTGCAAGATGCACTGTCCGTGCCATAAACAAATTTGATTTTTTTTTTACTTCTTTTTTTCATCTTAACTGTTTTATATTAAAGTAATATAAAAAAGGACATTGATTTTGGGTTGCATTGTGCTCAAACAGAGCTGCCTCATGAGTGGACTGGTTCCTTGTCCTTAAATTATTGATATTGATCAAGGGTGAAAAGCAGTACAGCATACCTTGCAAGAACTGAATCATTGTAAACAGTTAAAGAAAGTAATTGGGGGGGATCATGAATCTCGTCCAAAAATGAATTACCTTTACATTGCTTAAAAAATTAATAAGAGAGTGTAGATTTGAGCTCATCCAGTTTGGAAATATGCTGCAGGTATTATAATTTGTCTCAAAACGGACTTGAAAACACATGAACATAATGTGCATTCCGTGTTTTTGACCAACACAGGATGGAGACAGATTCTGGAGAATGCCAGAATGCTATATAAGAGGAAGCACTATTAAATATCTACGCATTCCTGATGAGGTGATAGACATGGTTAAAGAGGAGGTGGTTGCAAAAGGGCGTGGTAGGGGTGGATCTCAACAAAGAGGGCGTGGTAGGGGAGGACCAGGAAGAGGAGGTTAGTACACATTGACATCAACACCCCCCCCCAAAAAAAAAAATAATTAGATAAATATCTGTATTGTAGAGGGAAGTAATATCTGTATTTTAGGAAGGACATTTTATCTTGATGAATGTTTATATTCTGATTTTTACAGAACAGTAATAAGGCCAATGTTTGTCATTTCTTGTCAAAGGGGGAGGGTTTGTAATTGGTGCTGTAGTATGACTCACCTTTTGAACTCATTTTTGCATTTTTTGGCCTTTCCGAGACCAAACACACTCTAGAAATACTTCCCAAGTAGGCATTAAATAGTGCCCTCTGTGGTTACACATTAAAGGTCTTCACTTGTCCAGTTTCACTCAGAATTTTAACCAGTGCTGAAAAGGCAAGTTTGTTGTTGTAAGCATTATGGCCTCATCAAAATGTGTGACATTCTTGAAATGCCCAAACAAAATTGTTCCCCATGCTGCGCTCTAAGCTTAGTTGAGAGTATCATATTGCCCGAGGCCTCTGATATTAACTCTACTAGAGGAAGGAAGTTAAGACCATGCATTTGTTTAGCACTGTGATCCATGGGTGGTCACTCATAATTGGTGATTGATGGATATGGAGTATTATGACAACCTGGCCTTGTCATATTTTAATGGAATGGTCTATAGTCATTTTAGATCATAAGGTAAGGGGTAGCAAATGTAAACATTAGAACTTCAACTTTTTTTATTGCAGGGTATCATTTTAAATAGAAATTGTGCTAAGCAGTCATGTTAATTGTAATTTATTTTACATAACAGTGGCTTGTCATTTCTGTAGCATTTTACCTGAACATAGTTGTAGCTCTGCATACTGATGAAATTTAGGTTGCTAAGCTGTTTCCTGGGTGGAATAACAAATTATTAGCTTCTTTTTTAGAAGAGAATTTGACATAAAGCAATGAAGACTCTTAATACGTTTCTTTGTTCTGTAAATACATGCACACCAGAGAAATAAAGATTAATGCATGACTTACATGTACTTGACAAGACATGAGAAAGGAGAGAACAGTTGAGTAATTAACCAGTTCACGTCAGATACATGCAAAGGTTTTGCGATATTCAGAATGGATGACGTATAAACACACAATGAGCGAGGCCGGAAATATCTGTCAGCGACCCGCTCGCAGCGAGCGAGGCCAGAAATATCAGGCTGTGCTACCCGCAGATGACGGCCTGAACCTGTCTGACATTGAGGTTTGTGAAAAACAATCCCGCGCCAGGGTCCGGTCATGTCAAAATAATCCTGGCGTGAACTGGTTAACAAAATCTTCAAGCGACAATTGTGTGTGCCTGCCCACTCAAAAGTGCAATTGGCCCACCTTGCTAACTTAATCGGCCACCTTAAAAAAAATTTTTTAATTAAGGCGTAACTTTGTTTCCGATAATCACACTTTTTATTTCTTTTAATTCATTGTGTCCAGTGGGAAACATTTCAGGCTGATATCCACTCAGTCTCACTGTATGTGATCTCTGGTGCACTCTGCTGGTAAACTTTGCAGCTGGTTCATTATTTTCAAAAATGCAGCATTATAATCTATTTAGATATCTTAGGGGTGATTATATGTTATTGAACTGCATGATAACAGTGGATTTACAGGTTTATTTACAAAGCGTGGTCCTGTCAGTCAAGGCTAAACCAATTTGCAGGAGTCTGGCAGTGTTGTTGCCTTATTCTTTAGTTCTTGGTGTTACAGGGCTTATAGTAAATATAGTCACCAGAATTAAGGGGGAAAGCTATGGGAATCTTCTTTTATGAGTTATTTTGAGTTATATTGGAATGCAACTTATATACATGTACATGTATGACTGAATCTATGGAAAATTTGGCTTGTTAACGAGGAAATGTTAACAAGAGTTCAGCTTAGGCTAGGGTAATTTTGACATTAAGGGAAAATTCCTAATTTTACTTCCTGATGCTGTGCTGCACATATCTTTTCAGCTCAGTAATTTTATTGTCTCACCTAAATGAAGTTTTGGGAGACATTAATCAGTCCTACATTCTATATTCCCATAGACCCGTATGACCGTACACAAAAGAGCTACTTGTGGGGTCCTCGTACAAAGGCAATGGTACTCCACAAGTGAAATCTCTAGAAAAAGGGATAAAAGAGCAACAATGCAAGTATCCCAGAACTCCCATCCACTGGAACGTCTGTAGCCCCGTATTTATGTTAAAGTTTATTTGAATTGCTCTCATATCCTAAATATTCGCCTGAATTCCATCAAACTTGGACACGAGCATCATTGAGTACATGTAGCAAAGATAATGTGGGATATATTTCAGGTCAAAGATCATAGGTCAGTGAGGTTAATAATGATTTAATTCACAGTTTTATAGGAAAATTACATTGTACATGCTTTCATGGATTTTGATGAAACTTAGATGCACTGACCCTTGGGTGGGAAGACGCAATACTGAGGTCAAAGGTCATATAGGGGTCATTAGAGGTCATTGTTCAAATATGCTTTAAATGGTTGTGTGCAGAATTTGATGGATTTTAATTTCACTTGGATGGAGTGGTCCTTGGGTGGGGGTTCATTACAACTCTTTTAAAATTGGAGGTCAAAGGTCATCTAGGGGTCGTTTGAGGGAGGTCGTTTTAAAATGCATAAAATTTGACTTTTTTTAAGAATACAAAACATATGTAGGGATTGTCCGCGGAAAAAGGCGACATGCGATCCGCGGATCACTTGTTAAACAAACTGACGTATTACAACATGAGATTATTATTAATGTAGGCTTAAAATACATTGGCATTACTTTGATAAGCTTTCCCCATGAAACGTAATTAATATAGATATTGCATCTAAACCAATCACGCTTTGTTTATTATAAACATTTAGCTATGCTCGGTAAGAGAGAAAAAGGTCTTTCTGGCTGTTGCTTTGGTTCATATCGTTGAGTCTTTCCTGTGTCTATCAAGTCAAGCTACATGATTGTGACACCTTAATCCCTCAGTGTGGTAGCCAGGAGCAGAGCTGTCACTTTCAGGGCTTCCAAACTTGTGAACTTGACATGTGTCGCTTTGTGAAGGTTAGATACGACATGTTCATGTATTTTTCAACACAGCTACTTTCTTTTAAATATTTTGAAATTGTGTTCATGTCCATTTATCTAGTTGGTCTAATATCCATAATTATTCAAACCCCTCCCCCCCCCCCAAAAAAAAATGGGCTTGGGTATACACTGCCTGAAGCTCATGCCTTACATTGTAATTTATCAAATTATCAAGCATTGATAATTATTGCAATGAAGAATGCAGAATAGTATTTGCAAATGTCGTTTGTAAGTAATAACCCAAAGACTACAAGGGGAAAATAATGGGGACAGCAACTTAGTATTTGCACCAAATTGAACCTCGTACTTTTTAAAACATATCTTTAGCTCAGTCTAACCATGGAGAAATGTCTCCATAGTCTAACCAATTAACCACTGTGTTTTGGGACTCTCAAAGTAACTTTATTATTTAACTACAAACCACTGAAGATGATTGAAGATTACAGTGATTAATAAACCTAAGTCATCATTTTCAGAACCATGTAATATTGTAAAGATGCACATGGTATCAAGGTAGACTTGTTACAAATTGCCATGGTTGTGAAATAAAATGAAGAATGATCTACATGTATACCAAAATAACAGTTGATAAGATGAGATTGATTGTATAAATGTTGCCTTTGTTGAATTCATGAGAGGAAATGCTGTGTAGGTTTTGGTTATTGTCTCACTATAGATGGCCGTAAATTCAGGGTTACAACCACTCGACTGTGGTTGGAATACATCATTAGTGTAAGTAAGTGTTCAGATAGACTACAAGAAAGCTGTTTTATTTTTATTTTAATAAGTAAAGGTGATAAGGACACTAAGTATTCAGAAAACACACCTGCAAGAAACCTGTGTGACTTTAAACAAAGTAAAGGTAATAAGAAAAGTAAGTGCCAAGAGAATAAACTTGATAATTGATTGTTCTACTATTCGATCAATGGTAAATAATCCAGGGTCACCATAACTAAAATTATGGTGACAGTTACATGTACATGTACATTCCTTTTAGATTTTAACATGGATTTATTTTTAGCATCTGTCTAGTTTTAGCATTGATTTATTTTTAAAAAGAAAAAGAAAAGTAAAACAAACAAAAGAACAGCAATCATGCCATACCTGCAAACTTGTGACTTAAGATATAAATTTATAACTTATACGCATAAGTGCCCCTTTAGTTGGTGTGCTACTACTGTAGTGTCTAGTCACTCAACTTTAATCACTGACCTTGCCAAGCTGGCAAACAGCACAGGGGTCCTGCACTTAAACCAGCCAGCTTAATGGGAGGTACAGCCCACTTCCTCAAGTTTCAAAGTGAGTTCTGATTGGCCTGCTGTGATGGTAATCTTAAGAAATGAGCCAGACTTGATGTGATAGGTGGATATTGATTGGCTAGCCTGGGGAAGACCAACACCAACAATGGCATGTATGGTTTGATGTGGAATCTTATTTCACTTGTCAACAAAGTCATTGTACTTGTCTATTACTTTTGTAATTTTGAAGTTGTGAAATGATATAGAGGCTGTTTTTCTTCGCTTTTTCATTGTAAAACTATTATTTGCTTCATCTTCTTGGTGATCTTGGGCTTGTATCGTATGTCATTGACTTCATGTAAGTTTATAATGTATCCGTTCATCTTTAAATATATGTTAAGTTTCTTTATATATTTATCGACTTATCGTTGTATTTTCCATGCTAAAATCAATCTTGGCCATCAGTAGATTGTGATATATCCATGTACATGTATATCTTGTGGTAAAATCTTTCTTACATGTACTGTATGTTCTCCTACACTTCTACGTGCGGTCCAACTCCAAAAGGGAAAAAAGTGCAGGATTTGAAGGTGTTGTTTGGGTGTACATGTACCGGTATGTGTTTTGGTCAGTACTGGAATATGGGGACATTTTCTATTTTCGTTGAAATTCTGAGTGAGTTTTGGGGATTTTCAAGAGTCCTACCA